TTCTGTTATTGCCTGGCTTGGCTGTCTTTTTTAAGCTTCGAAATACACGACAGACTTGAGTGTTTAACTCTGTAGGTAAGATTTCGCCCAGCTAGTCAAAACCATGGTGGCCTACTTTTGCGCGAAGTACAGTGGCGGGAAAAATTGCCCGGATGTTTATCACTTCGTAACTTATTGTTATGCCACACTTGTTTCAAATATAGTAACACCAATTTTTTTCAGCCCTGTTACAAGGTCGTGGAGTTATGTTTCTACCGTATACAGCCTGGCACGATTGTCACTCGTCCAATTAGCAGATGAGATTTTCACATCGACAGTCGATCCGGACAGTTCATACCGAGCGAAAGTCTAGATCTATTTTCGCTCGCCACTTAGGGTACACATCGTTTCACGCAATAGTTGTTAGTATAGGAGTTAGTCCAGAAGCGAACCTACGATAGCAGTACAATGAAGCCGGTAGATGAGAAGAAGCGCGCGCGTATCTTAAGCATGTTGCGCAAGGGGCAGTCGACTAGGAAAATAGCCAAGGAGCTTGGCATAGGCAAAAGTACCTTGCATGATTACGGGCTGAAGGTGATTGCCGAGACTAGTCGCGATGGGGTGCGACCCACGATGCTCATGGATGGTCGCCCACACTTAATCACAACTCGCCTCTAGCATGGAATAGTGCGTGCGATTACCAGTGGGGAGGCGAAAACCAGTGTAGACGCCACGAAGCTGTTAGAGGAGAAGCACTCTCTGACTTTAGACTCGAAGTCCGTTAAGAACTCGTTACGATCCACGGGGCTCATCGTTATGGAGCACTCCACGAAGCTCATGCTCTCTATGAAAAAACATCAGAGACTGGCTAGATTTTGCGAGGTCACATGCCAAGTGGATGATGGAGGACTGGAAGCGCGTGATATGGTCCGATGAGACGAAGATTAATCGTTTTTGCTCCGACGGATGTGCGTACGCCTGGATTCGCGAGGGCAGCCACCTCCAGATCCACCAGATTCGTCAGACAGTTAAGCATGGGGGCGGCTTTGTGATGGTGTGGGGTTGCATGACGTATGAGGGGATGGGGTTCATGTGCAAGATTGATGGAAGGATGGATGGGTAGCTGTATCGCAGCATATTACAAGACGAACTCTCTCAGACGATCGAGTTTTACAAGCTCCCCCCCTCAGAGATCATATTCTGGCACGACAATTATCCTAAGCACAAGTCACGTCTGGTGCAAGACTGGCTTGGGGAGCACGAATATGTGGTGCTAGGATGGCCCTCGTCCTAACCGGACCTTAACCCGATTGAGCACATGTGGGCCCACTTGAAAAGGGAGCTGGCGAAGTACGAAAAGCCTCCCACCGGAATGTTGGAGCTGTGGGATAGGGTGCAGGAGGAATGGGACAAGATTCCGGCGGAAGTGTGCTCAAACTCATCGACAGTATGCCAAGGAGGATCCGGGCAGTGATTCACGCAAAGGGACGCTGGACTAGGTACTAGTTTTGCTAGTTTCTAGTTTATTGCTTGTCCTCGGTACAAACTGTCAGTTTGTGCTCTTATTAAATGCTTTAGTGTTTAGGGAACTTGTACTATACTACTCTGGTTTTAGGAGAGTTGAATGAGTGCCCTAACTGCTATTCTCAACATGTATGCCCACCATAGATTAAGGCTTTATGAATACAGAGGACAACACATCAAAATGACCAAACATGCTAAACATCCGGACGATTTTTCCTGCCACTGTCGTTGAAGCACATCCTGGCAAGCTCGTACCTTGGCATTCAGCTTGACAAGAGTACGGACAGGCGGCGGGGGAAGCATCTCATCGACTACTTGACTTTCCTGCGGGACGAGGAGGTCGTCACCGAGTTTTATGCGCACCTCACAGTGGACAAATGCGACCGCTTCGCTGCAAGCTATCATTCTCATGCATCTCAAGGCAACTGGCATGGACCTCCAGCAGATCTGCGGCATCAGCCCGGACGGCGCGAGCGTCATGATGGGCGCATCGACTGGGCTGGTGGCACGGCTGCGATCTCGCATCCCGCACCTAGCCTCTTGCCACTGTGTCGCACACAGGTAAGAGTAGTTTTCTGTGGCACCAGCTTAGAAGCATGATGTACATTTTCCAATACAGTCACCCCCTTCTGACAACGCACATACTTGCCTTGTGTGCAGGGAAGCTCTTGCTGCCAAGGATGCGGCAGCCGACTTTCCCGACCTTGCCATTATTGACAAGGTCGTTGCAGAGGTCCTCGGCAGGTCTATTGTCTTGCATTCACGTTTCAAGCAGCTCCAGGATGTCGTCTCAGAGACGAACCTGGAGATGCAGGGAATCCACAACATCAGATGGTTATCCCAAGGTGAGGCCATCCAGAGGCTAGTCGAGGTATTTCCTGCCGCCATCATACTCCTATCGGAGCATGACCGGCATGCGTACACCATGGTAATTAGCTTGAAATTCCATTCCCTACTCTACTTCCTTGCCGATGTCCTCAACAAGCTCAACCTGTTCAACCTGAAGCTTCAGCACCGCCAGGTAAATGCTACTACTGGCAGGTGTGTGGCTTTATAAATGACTCATTTCTAACATCTCTTTGCTTTTCCTTCAGGTCGACATCACTCACGTCTGCCAAATGGTGGACAACACTAAGCTGACTCTGGCAAGGCCTTCGGTCATGGCAACACGGCCCTAGTGGAGTTCATCAAGAAGCACTCATCACAGCATAACCGCGAGGTGACGGTCGAGGGCATAGATGGCGATGGCACCAGGCTCATCCACACCTACACGCTACACGAGAAGGCTCTCCCTGGCCAGATCAGTGGCGGGGACATGAAGTCGCTGATGACCATGGCAACTGTGTTCGTGCTCGGGCTGCTGGACAGCATTGATTCCCGCTTAGCAGATCTTAAAATCCTCAACTGCAGCAAGCTCTTCTAGCAGGGAGCGTATCCATGGACCATCCAGAAGCGGGAGTGGTGATTTCCACTATGGCTAACAGGTTTACGCAACCTGTACAAGCGTGAACCCTCAACTGCAGCAAGCTGTTTTGTCCCGTGCCTAGTTTCTCCATTCCTCGATCCTCACTGTCAAAATCCATTGTTCTCGTATGTATTGACAATGCATTTCTCTTATGTCTCAATTGTGCTGACTCCATGATTTCCCCTCTGTGTCCTGCGCCTGCCCAACCTTACTCCATGCATCAACTGGATAAAGGCTCAGAAGGAACTAACCAAGTTTACAACCATCATGTCAACACATTGCAAGGACTACAGCTTTCTCGACGGCCTAAAGAACATGATACAATCCCCTGACTGGCAGACAGCCTATCCGAACCTGGTGCATGTGTGGATCGTTGTGGCGGTGCTTCCACTGAGCACTGTCGAGGGTGAGCGGTCTGAAGGGTCTGAAGACCAGTCAGCAAGAGTACAAACAAGACAAGAGCACACCAGGGCGGCACTATTAGTCATGCCACTGGAGTAGAGGCCACAAGGCCAGTCAGGAGAATATAATAAGAGTCGTACACAATCAAGGCCCTAGCAAGTGTGAAGCTATAGGAACTAGACCTAGCTCTACACAGGGCTGCTGATGATCTTTAGGCACAAGCGCCTTAGCAAAGATATCATCTGTGTTGGCACCGGAGGCCAAATGAACCATGCAAGCCTGGCGGCACAACTGTAGCTCGCGCAGGAGGAAGTACCGCAGCTGGATGTGCTTTGCTCTGCCCTCAAGTCGAGGCTCCTGACATAGGAGGATCATGGCCATATTGTCAGCGTACAGAACCGGGTTAGAGCTAGGCTGCTCACCTAAGTCTGTGAGCAAGAAGGTCAGCCAGCGGAGCTCCTGTGCCGCCATGGCACCAGCGTAGATCTCAGCCTCACAGCTAGACTGTGCAACAGAAAACGAGCAGGTGGACCTCTACGAGATGGCCCCTGCACCAAGGCTAAAGCAGTAGCCCTGGGAGGACCTAAGCGTCTTAGCGTCGTCTACCCACGAAGCGTCTGTGTGCCCTGTCAGGACCCTTGGTCTATGTCCTCCTAGCACTAACCCCATGCCCGATGTGATTGCTAGATAACGCAAAACCCTCTTAGCGGTCGACTAGTGCTGTGGTCGGTGTCTGCCTGTGGCCACAATACGAGCCAGGATGCAGAGAGGGTATGCGAGTGCAAGTCATTAGGTATATGAGGCAACCCACCAGCTCTACGTAAGGACCACTAGGCTCTACAGTCTCCGCAAGGACTGGAGTCGAGAGCACGTGATCTACTGGCAGAGGTGTGGGCTATGCGGACGAGAGCTGAAGGCCGAACCTCTGAAGGACTTGGCGCACCAAGTATGACTGTGTAAGAGTGATGGTGCGCGCTGCTCTATCCCTGGAGATCTGCAGGCCAAGGTAATGGCACACGGTGGCGGCGCGGCACGCTGGGGACAACAGGAACGAGAGCTGGCTCGAACGGGGCCAGTGGGGCGCAAGGGACCAGCAGGGCGTTAGGGGGCCACGAGGGCAGGAACGGGGCCAGCAAGGCGCACGGGGCCAGGAGGGCGCTACCGGGCGAGCGGGGCGCTAAGGGGCCTGCAGGGCGTACGGGGCCGGTGGGGCGCATGAGGCAAGCGAGGCTCGACGGGGCCAGCGGGGCGCTAACGGGGCCTGCGAGGCGCACGGGGCTAGCAGGGCGCGACGGGGCTAGCAGGGCGTACGGGGCCAAGAGGACGCTAATGGGCCAGCGGGGCGCCTAGGGGCCAGCGGGACGTAGGGGCGCTTAGGGGCCAGCGGGACGTACGGGGCCTGGAGGGCGCTACCGGGCCAGTGGGGCGCTAAGGGGCCAGGAGGGCGTACGGGGCCAGGAGTGCGCTAACGGGCCAGCGGGGCGCTAAGGGAATAGCGAGGGCGGAAGCGGGTGGGGGGACGGAACCTACTCGATACCATCTCAGAGTAGCGAGATAGTTAGAAAGATCAGTACAGAGAACTTTACATAGTGGGTTGTTTTCTCTAAAGGCATACACCTAACTAGCCTATACTAACATATTGCATATATGTTTTAACACCTACTTCATAGGAATTCGCCCTAAATACCGAAGCTAGGGACTGGGCTGGGCCCTTGCCTGTCATGCCAATCATTGTCAGGAAAGAAAGAGTTGCAAATGAAGCTTGTGGGACGGGACTCGGGGGGGAGGAATACCATATCAACAGTTCACTCAACAAAAGAACACAGAAGGGTGGATGGAATCACAATCTTCCGGAGCTACGAACGAGCTCCTTATTGGCTGTCCCTTGCCCTTCAATCCCTTCCACCACCAGTGGTGGATTTGGCGTCTGCCTGCATTGGCAATGGCTTTGTGCACTGCTGCCAGCCAGGGCTGACTTCAGAGCGGGCTTTAGAATTCGCTTGTGTTACCAACTCAAGAACAGGTGAGGTTGGTTGGAGGCAGAGGAATGCTGCTCCCCATAGTGGTGGAATTGACATGGGCACGTGCAATGGCTTCATGCACTCCAGCCAGCCAGGGTTGGCTCTACAGTGGGCAGTTTAAGATCTCGTTACAACGTGCTAAACCAGCGGCACCCGCGCAATATGCGTTGAACATTCTCCTGTAAGTAAGCGAATGAGTAGGGTCCGGAACCTCCGAGCGTTCTATGCACACCCATTCACCTGCAAACAACGCCCCACAATTCACCAAATGTTAGCTTATTGTGGCATTAAGATGCCAGCCGTTCCACTCCACAAGATACGGAAACAAAGGCCTGAAATTTGTGAATACCGTGTGAAGGGGCCAAGGTAGAGAACCACCCAAGACTTAGGCCTGCAAGAATGGAGGCGCCTTTCACCCCGACTTCCTGCACTCAGCAACGAAACTCATCCGCGGTGCCGAAGGTGAGTGAAGGTGAGTGAAGAAACTCATTGGCATAGGATCGCATGCCGAAGGTGTCAGTCAAGAACAAAGACCCTACTCAAATCCTTCTGAAATGCAGAACAAGATCACCAGACCAGACTCCAGGGATCTCGCACAGTATGGTCAATTGAGGAAATCGGAACTTGACTCACACATTCGGCATGCAATCACTGCACCTGAGAGTCAGCGAGGCAGTCGATTGGTCGGTTGAACACAGATGCCATGATTCGCACCCACGCTGATGAGCTGGGAGAAAGAAGACGAGGAGGGAGGGGGCGAGAGGAGGGAGAGGAGAGTGAGTGGGGAGAGGAGAGGGTGCTTTTGATTCCACTTAAACCGGTTGAACACATATGCCATGACACGCACCCACGCTGATGAGCTGGGAGAGCGAGCGGGAGGAGAGGAGGAGAGGAGTGATGAGTGAGGGTGAGTGAGAACTCAGGTTGAAGAGAAGAGAATTGGATATGGTATTGCTTACGGTTGCAAGAAAGTGGAGCGGGACCTGGAACAGGACCTGGAGCAGGATGAAGAAGTAAAAAGGCGTGGACTTCATGCGTCATGTAGCGGGACCTGGCGGAGCAGGACTACACAACGCCAGTACCCTGTCTATGATTGGAAACGCAAAAGAATCGGAGCACTCGGATGCTCGAGATGAGAAAAGTGTCAGGTAGAAACAAGCTGACTTTTGAGTCGACCCAAAAGAGATGACAAAAGCGCCAGGTGGAAACAGTAACATTCTTACACCGACATACCGAGCACCACCACCAACAATGCGCAGAGGGGCAGTGTCTCCTGTGCTCCTGCTGCCACTGCTGCATGTGTGCATGGCGCCATAGGCTGAGAGGAGAGCAAAGGCCACCCCCTCAAGGACCTGCAAGGACAAAAGAGCCAAGAAAATGAGGGTAGTGACTGTGGCTGGGCTGCGAGCAGGGAATAGGCCACTCCCTCTAGAACCTGCAGGGATGAAGAAGAATGACTTAGAGCACAATGTGACGAGATGACTTTTGAGTCAACTCAAAAGGGATGAAGAAGAATGACTTAGAGCACAATGTGGCTTTGGCTGTGGACTGATGAAGGAGAGTGATAGGAGAGTGATAGGAGAGTGATAGGAGAGTGATAGGAGAGTGATAAAGGAGAGTGATAGGGGAGAGTGATAGGGGAGAGAGTGATAGAGGAGAGTCATCGAGGAGATTCATAGAGGATAGCTACTCCGTCTGGCACCTGCAAGAATCAGCAGTCCAAAGGAGACAAGAGACGAGAATAGGGCCCCCTTGGCAAGCACAAGTCGCTTCAAAAGCGAGCATGGATTAAAGAAAGAAAAGAACGGATGTCAAACCACACCCTATACCTTACCGCGCGTATCATGTGTGACTGAGTGGTGGCTGCAGACACGCCGATGAATGCCGCCCGCATGTTGGGGTCCTCAAATGGACACCGCTCCCCTGGAAGCATGGCATGGCATGGCGTGAGATGGGATGTGATGACGTGGCATGTCAAGGGATGGCGTGGCATGTCAAGGGATGGCGTGGCATGTCAAGGGATGGTGTGGCATGTCAAGGGATGGTGTGGCATGTCAAGGGATGGTGTGGTATGTCAAGGGATGGTGTGGCATGTCAAGGGATGGTGTGGTATGTCAAGGGATGGTGTGGCATGTCAAGGGATGGCGTGGCATGTCAAGAGATGGCGTGGCATGTCAAGGGATGGCGTTGCATGTCAAGGGATGGTGTGGCGTGGATTAAAAAAAAGGGTCGATTGCGGGTGCATAAGCGAGTGAGGCAACACATACATTCGGGAGGAGGAGGAGGAAGAATAGTATTGGCGCATTGAAACACGCTCCACAACCTCATAGGTTAGGGGCATTAAGACCATGAGTGACCAAGAGTGATTTTTTAGTCGACTAAAAAATAACCTCAGGTTAGGAGCGTTCTGACCATGAGTGACCATGAGTGACCATGAGTGACCATGAGTGTGAGGAGGAGGAGGAAGAGGAGGAAGGTTAGTATTGACGCACTGAAACACGCTCATCGGCTAGGAGGAAGGTTGAAACACGCTCATCGGCTAGGAGGAAGGTTGAAACACGCTCATCGGCTAGGAGGAAGGTTGAAACACGCTCATCGGCTAGGAGGAAGGTTGAAACACGCTCATCGGCTAGGAGGAAGGTTGAAACACGCTCATCGGCTAGGAGGAAGGTTGAAACACGCTCATCGGCTAGGAGGAAGGTTGAAACACGCTCATAGGCTAGGAGGAAGGTTGAAACACGCTCCACAACCTCATAGGTTAGGAGCATTAAGACCATGAGTGACCATGAGTGCGAGGAGGAGGGGAGTCACCGTTCAGGAAAGGGAGGTATAGGAGGCCCCCGCTGCCAGCTGGCACGGACAACGCTGCCACGTCCGCGGCATGGAACGCGGCTTCTGACACGTCTGATTGGAGGGAATGGATAGGAGGTGATGGGTTGGGATGGGATGGGGTAGGATGGGATGGGATGGGATGGGATGGGATGGGGTGGGGTGGGATGGGATGGGAATGAATGAGAAGGAATGTGAAGTGGAGTGCACATTACTTGTCAGTCGTCTTGAGGAGTTTATGAGTGCCTCATACTTCAACGGCGACTATTGAGACACTTAAAATAGCGAGGCCGAAACCACTGCAGCCCCAATACATGCAGTGCCACACAGCAGCCCCAGTACATGCAGTGCCACACAGCAGCCCCAAAACATGCAGTGCCACCCAGCAGCCCCAATACATGCAGTGCCACCCAGCAGCCCCAATACATGCAGTGCCACACAGCAGCCCCAATACATGCAGTGCCATCCAGCAGCCCCAGTACATGCAGTGCCACACAGCAGCCCCAATACATGCAGTGCCACCCAGCAGCCCCAATACATGCAGTGCCACACAGCAGCCCCAGTACATGCAGTGCCACCCAGCAGCCCCAATACATGCAGTGCCACCCAGCAGCCCCAATACATGCAGTGCCACACAACAGCCCCAATACATGCAGTGCCACACAGCAGCCCCAATACATGCAGTGCCACCCAGCAGCCCCAATGCATGTGCCACCCAGCAGCTATAGGGAAGTGCCACACTTGCCAGCGATGTTGAGGAGGGTGTTAAGTGCCCACTTGTAATTGCCACCTGCTGTCATTATTGGCGCTGTTAGGGGAAGGGACATGGGTACGAATGAATGTACACATGAGCACACACACACACACACACACACACACACGCACACACACACAGAGCTGACATCATGCGTGCTTTGTGCACTACGCACGGCACTCCCACCTGAAACCGCCCTCAGAGCGCCACTTCTCCCTCACCTGTTCTGAAGACGAGAGAGGGGTCAGGGTGTGCAAGAGTGAACACGCCCTGAGACCATGCGAGCGGTGGCGGGGGTGCAAGAGGCTGTGATGCCAACCGTGGTGATCCCTGATCGTGTGGCTGACTGGCTGGATGACGGGACGGCTGATTGGGGAACGAGCCTGCCACCCACCTGATTTGCCGGGTGCGTGGGGAGTGGGGATGGGCTTAGGGTGAGGAAGGAGAGTGAGTAGGGAGAGCATCATAGATTGGGCAAGCCTCCAGCAGACTAAGGAGGGGGAGTGAGGAGGGGGGGTGAGGATGGGGAGTGAGGGACAACAGCATGGGAGACGACACGGATGGCAGGAGGATGGGAGACGACACGGATGGCAGGAGGATGGGAGACGACACGGATGGCAAGAGGATGGGAGACGACACGGATGGCAAGAGGATGGGAGACGACACGGATGGCAAGAGGATGGGAGACGACACGGATGGCAAGAGGATGGGAGACGACACGGATGGCAAGAGGATGGGAGACGACACGGATGGCAAGAGGATGGGAGACGACACGGATGGCAAGAGGATGGGAGACGACACGGATGGCAAGAGGATGGGAGACGACACGGATGGCAAGAGGATGGGAGACGACACGGATGGCAAGAGGATGGGAGACGACACGGATGGCAGGAGGATGGGAGACGACACGGATGGCAGGAGGATGGGAGACGACACGGATGGCAGGAGGATGGGAGACGACATGGATGGCAGGAGGATGGGAGACGACACGGATGGCAGGAGGATGGGAGACGACACGGATAGCAGGAGGATGGGAGACGACACGGATGGCAGGAGGATGGGAGACGACACGGATGGCAGGAGGATGGGAGACGACACGGATGGCAGGAGGATGGGAGACGACACGGATGGCAGGAGCATACAATGGACAGGCCAGCAGCAGACTCACCTTAATGTGCCAAGATAGATGCAATCCCTCTGTGCCCGGTAAGCGTGCCCCACAGGTAGGATAATCAGTGGCAGGAGAATACCTTTGGAGGATAGCAGTGCTAGCAGCAGACTCACCCGGAGGTGCCGAGATAGATGTACTCTGTGCCTGGTAGGCCTGCCCCACAGCTGATTAGGGATGAGTGGGGGGGGGACGAGTGGGAAGAGACAGCAGGATACGTGGGGACCCATTGAGATGTACTCCGTGCCCGGTAGGGCCGCCCCACAGTCGACTCAAAAGTCACCTCGTGCCCGGTAGGGCCGCCCCACAGTTGATGAGAAGAGAGGCGAGGTGGGAGAGCATATGGGGGGACAGAGGGGAAAGCGGGGAAAGCAGGGATGCTGTGAGACGGGCAGATGTACTCCGTGCCCGGTAGGGCCGCCCCACAGCTGATGACGGATGAGTGGGGGTGATCAACCAGATAGGGGACGTAGAGGACGAGAGAGGAATGGAGGGAGAAGGGCGCTAGTGGTAGAGATCGATTTCTCTGTGTTGCGGTAAACGTACTACTTGCCTGGTAGGCCTATGTCACACGTACAACCTACCCCACAGAAACCACCTACCCCACAGTTACCACGTACCCTAACTTGCCCCACAGTGAAATACAGCGAAGGCATATGTACCACCAACCCCACGGATAACGCCTACCCCACGCATACAGCCCACCACAGATCCAACATATCCCACAGGTACCACCACCCACCCCACAGCAGAGGCCCCCAAGTCTCCACACGAGTGGAACACAGGGATGCCTGCCAGGTGGCGCGCTCCCATTCGCTCCGCTGCTTCAACAGATAAGGCGCCTGCTGAAGACAGGTCGGCAAAGAAAAGGCAGTCCCATTGCAGGGTGTTTTTGAGAATTCTTAAAGACACCCAGCAAGGACAGTACCGAACTCCCCCAGCAAGGACAGTACCGACCTCCCCATCGCATAGCCAAGAGGCGCAAGGGGCAAACAGCTACCACAAGGGGTTTGGTATGTCATGTAAGCATTGCTTGATGGATAAGGCGCGTGCTGCAGGCAGCAGCAAAAGGATATCGATGACCTGATCAGCGTATCACCCATGACATTGTCGCCTAAGGTACAGGAGCACAAGGATGGGCGGCAAACTGACTGACTGCAGGGGTGGGCGGCAAACTGACTGACTGCAGGGGTGGGCGGCAAACTGACTGACTGCAGCGGTGGGCGGCAAACTGACTGACTGCAGGGGTGGGCGGCAAACTGACTGACTGCAGGGGTGGGTGGCAAACTGACTGACTGCAGGGGTGGGCGGCAAACTGACTGACTGCAGGGGTGGGCGGTAAACTGACTGACTGCAGGGGTGGGCGGTAAACTGACTGACTGCAGGGGTGGGCGGTAAACTGACTGACTGCAGGGGTGGGCGGCAAACTGACTGACTGCAGGGGTGGGCGGCAAACTGACTGACCGCATGACTGGGTGGGCGGCAGGATGTCCGGGAGCAGTGGCAGCCAATGGGAGAGGCCGAGCGAATGAAGGAGATCAGAAGCATATGAGACGCCTGGGAGAGAGGGAAAGGCACGAGGGGAAGAGGAGTCATTTTTAGAATGATAAAAAAATACTCCACAGTACCCAGAAGCGTATGAGATACCTGGGGGAGAGGGGAAAGGCGGAGGGGAAGAGGAGAACAGATGGGAAGAGAGCGAGGGAAGCTAGGGTGAGCAGCTAAGATGCTGGAGGGGGGCTCGGGGTGTTTGGCCAAACGAGGCGTGTGCAGTGCTTTGCTTAAAACACGTGGACACTGCATGGCGTCATACACATGCTGCATGACGCGTGGCAGCATACCATTGGCGTTGGGACACGTGGCAAGGCCTGTGGTGGAGAGAGTGGTGCTATCCACAACGCGGGCGGGCCGACCAATGAGGTGGCTGCACACGTAGGCATGGCTGGAGGCATTCGGGTCAGGAGGAGGGGAAGAGGAAGGAAAGAAATCGTGGTTGGATCATTGGATCATGGTTGGATCAAGAGTAGAGCGCAAGGTTTCGAAACGTCGCAGAACCAAGAGTTTATGCTGTCTAACCGTTCTAAAATCAACGGATACCGCACTGTACCTTCTTGTGACGTCCCGGGACGTCACAATTTGTTATACCTCGGACACCCCCTAAGAGGGTTGCTGGTGGGAAGGTTTGCACACCTACACGATCCACTATACGGTCTATTTTTTAGGCGCCTAAATATTTCACTTTAGTGAGACGAGCGCGAGCGGGAAGGGCGATACACCTCCACGATACAATGTGCGGTCGGGAGAGGGATACTACGTCAGGAAGAAACGGCGTTGAACGACCCAACAATGCTTTTCAGTTTTTGAAACATCTCAAGTGTTAAGACTGAACTCCACTCACGCGCCAAGCAGCAGTGAGGAAGCTTCCTTCAGCGCATGTGGTTGGTGCCGCTGCAGCCACAGGAGCTTTGCCAGCACGCTGAGAGGAGAGGAGGGGAGGGACGGGAGAGAAGAGGAGGGAGCAACGGGAGAGAAGAGGAGGGAGCGACAGGAGAGAAGAGGAGGGAGCGACGGGAGAGAAGAGGAGGGAGCGACAGGAGAGAAGAGGAGGGAGCGACGGGAGAGAAGAGGAGGGAGCGACAGGAGAGAAGAGGAGGGAGCGACGGGAGAGAAGAGGAGGGAGCGACAGGAGAGAAGAGGAGGGAGCGACAGGAGAGAAGAGGAGGGAGCGACAGGAAAGAAGAGGAGGGAGCGACAGGAGAGAAGAGGAGGGAGCGACGGGAGAGGGGGGGAGGGAAGAGGGCATGAAATGGGGGAAGGAAAGATCGAGGCGACACGCACGTGGTTGGAGCCGCTGCTGCCACAGCAGCTTGGCCAGCACGCGGAGGGGAGGGAGGGAAGGGAGGAGGCGGAGGAAGGGGTCAAGAGATGGGGGGGAAGGAAAGATCGAGGCGACACGCATGTGGTTGAGGCCGCAGCAGCCACAGGCTTGGCCAGCACGCGGAGAGCAGGAGGGGAGTGGAGTGGGGGAGTGGGCAAGATGGTTTTTTTTGTGGCGGCTTAAAACGAGGAATCAGCAGCCTGGCCAAGAGCACGCTGAGTGGGGAGGAATACGGAGAGGGAGGAGGGGGAGCAGCAAAATGGGGAAGAAGCTGATTGTGTTGGAAGCAGCAAGAGACAGATCAGGAGCAGGGGGGATGGAGAAAGCCAAGGTGGTTGTGTGGGAAGTGGGTTGGGTTGGGTGGCTGGTGGGGGGAAAAATGGGGGGGAGAGGGGGTTGGGAAGGGACGGGTGATGGATGGAAGGGGACGGAACCAGAGGAAGGGATCGAGCAAAGCAGCGGGTGAGCAGAGCAGCGGGTGAGCAGAGCAGCGGGTGAGCAGAGCAGCGGGTGAGCAGAGCAGCGGGTGAGCAGAGCAGCGGGTGAGCAGAGCAGCGGGTGAGCAGAGCAGCGGGTGAGCAGAGCAGCGGGTGAGCAGAGCAGCGGGTGAGCAGAGCAGCGGGTGAGCAGAGCAGCGGGTGAGCAGAGCAGCGGGTGAGCAGAGCAGCGGGTGAGCAGAGCAGCGGGTGAGCAGAGCAGCGGGTGAGCAGAGCAGCGGGTGAGCAGAGCAGCGGGTGAGCAGAGCAGCGGGTGAGCAGAGCAGCGGGAGAGCAGAGCAGCGGGTGAGCAGAGCAGCGGGTGAGCAGAGCAGCGGGTGAGCAGAGCAGCGGGTGAGCAGAGCAGCGGGTGAGCAGAGCAGCGGGTGAGCAGAGCAGCGGGTGAGCAGAGCAGCGGGTGAGCAGAGCAGCGGGTGAGCAGAGCAGCGGGTGAGCAGAGCAGCGGGTGAGCAGAGCAGCGGGTGAGCAGAGCAGCGGGTGAGCAGAGCAGCGGGTGAGCAGGGCAGCGGGTGAGCAGAGCATCGGGTGAGCAGAGCAGCGGGTGAGCAGAGCAGCGGGTGAGCAGAGCAGCGGGTGAGCAGAGCAGCGGGTGAGGTGAGCTACTGATCAATGGTTCACGGGGTCAAGGTGGCTGATTGCGCAATTTGACGGGTTGCGCAGACAGGACAGGAAACCCGATGTGAGATTGTGTGCCGCCCACCTGGTGGGGCCTTGTCTCATCCCGGTGGCTGCAACGATTGCATCCTCGCCTCCTGCTAGCGATGCCATCTGAACTCTCTCACACACACGCACGCACCCATGCACATGCACACCCACACATGCACGAATGCATGCATGCACACACATGCACACCCACACATGCACGCACGCCCCACGCGCGCGCGCGCGCGCGCGCACAAACACACACACACACACACACACACACACACACACACACACACACACACACACACACGCATGCACGCACGCATGCAGGCAATCATAATGCTCTCCCACGTCAAAAGATAAGCTTGCGAATGCCCTACTAGAAACTCGCACTACTCACCCCCCCCCCCCCCCCCCCCACTCACCAATACACACACCGTACACACACACACCCCTCAGCCTCTCACTTGTCTGGCCTCAATAGTAGCACGAGCACCGGAGTACAGTTGAGCCAACCCTGGCAGACGAAGTTGAGAACAGTAAGAGCACCGGTCAGGATGGCACCCCCTCACCCCCTCACACTCACCCTCCTCACACTCACCCTCCTCACCCCCTCACACTCACCTCCCTCACCCTCACCCCTCACACTCACCCCCCCCCCTCACACTCACCCTCCTCACCCCCTCACCCTCACCCTCCTCACCCCCTCACCTCTCTCTCAGGCCTGAGTAATAGCAGGAGCATCCGATACAGGATGGCAGGGGGCAACTCGAGAACAGTAAGGGCACCCGTCCTCACCTCTTTGGCTTCAATAGTGGCACGAGCATCCGAGTATAGTATGGCCGGTGAAGTTTGGGTATCCTTCATTCCCACTCAGCACCGGTCCTCACCTCTTTGGCCTCGTTAGTAGCACGAGCATCCGAGTATAGTATCGCAGGGGGTACAGTGGCGCTAGTGGAGGGCGACCAATCCTGGAGGGACACGTGGACAGGGGAAGTTTGTAATTGGAGTGTGAGGGGTTATATGCACCAAAGAAACTCCTCACGGTCTCTAGGGAGGTGTGGGGTGCACTAGGGAGGAAGGGTAGGAGGGGAGGAGAGGGTAGTAGGGGACAGGTGCAGGAGGTACAATCTTCAGGCTGCACCTGGCGTAGGTGGCATTCGGGGTGCAGGTGGCACGCGGTGCAGGTGGTACCTTGGGCAGGAGTATGACGTCCTGCATCTGACCGGTCACTGCCACCCCAACCACCTCCACCACATCCCTCTCTCCTTCCTCCCACTCAGTTGACTTAAAGCCCAGTTCCCTTTCTCCCCTCCCCTTATTCCCCTGCTTTTCTCCCACTCTCCGCCCCATCATTCTCCCCTTCCATCCTTCCGCTCCCCCCTTCCGCCCATCTAGCTGCGCCAGGCACTCCCCAGCTGCGCCCGCCGCCGCTCTCCACCAATCCGACGGCTCCTGCTCCGCCGTCTGCCCCCCCTGCGCCACGTCATCATCCGAGCCACGTGGCGGAGCGTGCGGCCAGAATGCGGAGGCCATGACCGCGCCACGCCACGTCACCACAGCCGCCTTGGTTCCACCCGTGCCTACATCTAGCGCCAAAACGGCCTCCTCTCTTTCCCGTTGGAGTGAAGTCGACTGCAAGATTCTCGTTCTAGGCGTCTCGAGATTTGCCTTGTTGGGTTCAAACACAGCTTTTCCTTTCACAGCTTCCCCGCTTCGGTTGTCGCCTTTATTGTCGCTTCGGTTGTCGCCTTTATTGTCGCTTCGGTTGTCGCTTCGATTGTCGCTTTGACCATTTCTCCGAGCAGATCCCTGGGCATTTTTGCTCAGTACACTCCCGCGGGCGTGTCTACCGGCGGTTTTCCTGGCACTGCTGCCGGCGGCGCTACTCACGGCGCCTCCCCCGGGTAAGCCCCTACCGTTAGCCCCGATATCAGATAGAAGCACACCGCGTGACGCCGTCGACCGCGTTAACTTTCTCCCAACACTTTTCGAGTCCACATGGCGCGGCTTGCCGATTGGACCAAAAATGGCGATGGAGCAATTGCAACGAGCCGATAGTAGCGCGTATGATAGCATTGACGGTCAGAGGATGTGTGAGGAGCCGAGTCGCGCGCTATTGGACCAATGGAATGGCGATCAACGTCCGTGGAAGTGCGCCATCCATGTATCTTTGAGGTGGCGCTTTTTGCATACTCGTCAATAGCCGGTGTAAGGGTGAACTATTTCTTCCTTACATATACTTCAATGCAGGCATCTGTGCTGTGAATTCATTATTTTGTATTGTGAAGTATGAATATTCTGTCCTGAGCTATGTTATTTCATGTATGCATATCGCTTCTAAAAAAGAAATTATGTGTTAATATTTGTTTACGAGCTAACCTCTATGGCTTAAAACTTTGTATTGTGTGGTGCCACGCCACCTCGTTTCTTGCCATTTATGAGTACGCTTATAACAAGCTTTCCCTGCCAAATTCGCCTTCAAGGAAATGTTCCCCCCAGGCAGTGGTGGGGTCATTTCCTTAGCACAGCAGTGCATGGCCGCAGTGCACCCACCCATCCACCCAGCCGCCCGCACCGGTCCTCTCCTCTCCCAACCAAACTTCCCCCAAACCAAGCACACCTTCCCTCAGGCAGGTGCGTCATCGTGGAGTGGCGCCACTCCGCAAATCAAAACCGCCGCAAGGTTGGGGGGGAACAGTACAAAATGGCCGCATCAGGAGGAGTCACGTTTGCGCTTCGCAACAGAATTTCTCCCTGAGAACCAGAGCTTATGAAGCACCTGCGCCAGGTCTGATAACAAAATGTTACCTACGAGATGACCTTTTTTTTTTTGCGGTGACAGTCCCACACTGAATTTTGTATTTATACCTACAGTCGGGCCAGTTCCTGGTTTTAATTAGGCTTTCAACTTGACCCTTTCAGCTTCCATTTTTCAGACAAATCAATTTGCATGATCAGACAAACCAGCTATCCTTCACCCTCTGGCAGGGTCACGGTGAAAAACACCTGATGGGGTCAGGCGTTTTCAGCGACATCGCAGAACCAAATCGTGCATTCGCGAACGCGTTGGCGAAGAAACACATGAACCATCATGTGCCTCTCAAGTCCACCTCCCTGACCGAGCTTTGGCTTGCTATTCGTCCACCGCCATCACCAGACCATCAAACTAATGCATCTTCCCGAATCAAACCGCATGGTGCATGTGTCGCATCGCATCCCATCTTTCTCCATTGCCCCATCTTTTGGCAGTCAATTCTTCAGGAGCATCTTCAGGCAAGGTCGAGCTCTGCGATTCCAGCACAAGAGCCACCCACTGGTGCAACTCGTCTTCGCACAAGCAACACACGGAGAGCGAGCAAACCAGTCAATCAGAGTCTATCCACTAACTTAGCCACATTGTCTCGCTCTGCAATCACACCATCAGAGCAGCAGTGGGACGCACCATAGAACAGAAACCTTGACTTGATCGCCTGAAGTCTTGTGAAGCCCATTCTTTCATTCATTCCCCCCTCGACTTGTCGAAGGCAGCAACAAGGTTTTCTAACTCGATATCGTTTTTTAGCCAGGCAAACCAAGCCATGGCCGTCCCGTCGCAGCGCATGCTGCGCGTCGTCTGCATCCTCCTCCTCGTCACCCTCCCCTGCCTCGTCGAAGCCAAGCGGAAAAAGAAAAAGGACGCGGTAGTCTTCCCCTCCGTCCGCCTCTACAAATCCACCGTCAAAGTCAACTACGCGGGAACAGCCAAGCTCTCCGCGACTGCCGCGCAAAGCGCGGGAGTCCAAGGCCGCCAGGTGCTCGAAACTCCCAGGGCTCAGCTCGGCGGGCGCCGGCTGTTGGAGGACGACGGCATCGTGCTCGATACCGCGACGACCGACCCTGCCTCCACTGGTACCGAGCCTGTTGAGGACGATGGGCAACCAGACCTGGACTTCGATCCTCGGCCTCTGCTCCCGCCGACGGAGCTGACCGGCGCCACTTCGGTTAGTATTCCAGTTTTTTCGCGCCTCGAAGCTCCCCCGCCGCTTCTGTTAGCCTTCGAGTTTTGACTCGTCTCGATGTTTCTCCGCGGTTGGTTTTCCCCGTATGACCTTGACGGCGAGTAATGCGCGTCTGCGCGCCTCACATGGCGACGCGCGGAAGACAGATTAGCGTTTCACTGAGTCAGACAGGCGGGCGCCGGGCTAGCAAAGCCGAGAGGTTTATTAGACAACCGCATTTTCTGCACTGATCACGCTAGGCAGTTCGTCGACGACCATTTTGGCGAAGCGAAGGTGTGAGTTGCTGCTAGGCAGCTGCCGTTACGCCGCAACTTCTTCGCAGCGACTGTTCGCAACCCTTTCGCGGCAACTGTATCAGGACCTGCTTGCAGTTTCGCGCGGGTAGTGTCGAGTACCTGTCACTCGTTGGCAGTTTGGGTAGTGGGCGATGCTTAACAGCGTAGCAAGAAGTCTAGTTCCGAGGCGCCTCATAACTGGATAGCAGCGTGGCAAGGAGCAGAGCATCGGTGCAACGTATTGAGCAAAGGTGCAGAGCGGCAGATGCTGAGAGAGCTCAGTCGCACCAGAGCGTCGCATTCCATCGCAGCCGCTGTCCGTTCGTCGTCGCAGCACGGACGCATTTCGATGATACCCACGCACGTCGAACAACAACGGTTTGTCTCTAGCGGGCTATGCGGACGGACCCTTGCTTTTATAGAGACAGCTCGACCGCTATTCTCCCACTACTAAATCTACCCTACTACTATTCCTCTCATTCGCTCACCATCGCTCACAATCGCTCTCAGTCGCTCACCGTCGCGACCGTACCCCGTCAGTCGTCAACAGCGGCGTTGGCAGCGCTTCCTTCTCCCTCTCGTTTTTCCCATCCCCGCGTCTTCTCCACCCCTCCCGTTTATACGCGTTACAGGAGATCGCCGCGGCGAAGAAGAAGAAGCCCAAGACATTCATCTCGCTCACCGTCGCAGGGTCGTTCTCCCCGTCCGTCCTCAAGAACGGCGTCAGCGCTGCGCAGACCGCCACCGCCGGCACCGGCGCGTACGCCGGCACGCACGGCGACTCGAGCGTGCCCGATCCGTCCGTGTGCGCGGGGAGCAACTACGTCGTGCAAATAGTCAACTGGGGTAAGGCTGGTCGACTGAGGAAAGCTTTTAGCGATTGGGGGGAGGGTGTAAGGCCACGGGGTCAGGTTACTGAGAAGCTTCTATTTCCTTGTGCGCGGCAGCAACTACGCCCGTGTGCGTGCAAAGAGGCAACTGGGGTAAGGATTCACGCACTTCCCACGGGTGAAGGGAAGTCGACTTGTGTAGGTCTAGCCGTCTGGGGTAAGGCTTCGCTTATGTTGGGCGGCACCGTCTACATCCTCCCTTTCCCGCCTCTCATGACTCGCGTCCCCACCCCTCTGCCTTTCCCCTCTTCCCCTCCCATCCCCCCCCCCTCAAACCTCGCAGCCATCCTTGTGTTCGACGGCAAGGGCCAGGCGTTGACATCCCCCGTGTCGCTGAACGAGTTCCTGGGCGTGAACCCGTACAAGGGCAGCGGCACCGTCGGCGATCTCGTCACCAAGGCGTCGTGCGTCTACGACATCTCGACCAAGCGCTTCTTCCTCTCTGCGGCGTGGCTGGTAGGTTTGGTGCTGTGGGTTTGGTGCTGTGGGTTTGGTGCTGTAGGTTTGGTGCTGTGGGTTTGGTGCTGTAGGTTTGGTGCTGTGGGTTTGGTGCTGTAGGTTCGGTGCTGTAGGTTCGGTGCTGTAGGTTTGGTGCTGTAGGTTTGGTGCTGTAGGTTTGGTGCTGTGCTCGGCTAATGCCGTAGGTGATATGGTTCATGGCTGGTGCATGCTCGGTACAGTCACCAAGGCGTCGCGCGTCGTCTACGGCATCTCACCAAGCGCTTCTTCCTCGCGGCTGCCTGGCTGGTAGGCTCGGCGTTCCGTCAATGCTGTAGTTGGCATGGTGCGTGGCTAGTACATGCTTGGTCGGGGACGTGTGCTCCCCTTCTCCCTTCGTTTTCCCTCACCTCTCCCTCTCCTCTCCCCTATCCCTCCCTCCCCTCGCTCCCCTCCCTCGCCTCCCTCCTCCCGTTCCTCCTCTCCTTCCCTCGCCTTCCCTCTCCTTCCCTCGCCTTCCCTCTCCTTCCCTCGCCTTCCCTCCCCGGACAGGCCGGCAACTCCAACGCGTACGACAAGTTCGGGCAGACGCGCAAGGACAACAAGGGCGTGACTCGCGGCTCCGGGCTCGTGATCGCTGTCTCCTCCGCCGACAAGCCCCTGGACGCGTGGAGCGTGTACTTCATCGGCACCACCAACGACGGAATCAACGGCCCGGATGATCACCTCGCGCCGCTGGCGTACTCCGGCGAGCTGTTCTACAACACGTACCCGAGACTGGGCGTGGATGGGAGCGGGGTGTACATCACGACGCAGCAGGCGACTTACTCGATGGTGAACGACGTGTGGCAGGGCAGCAACATCTTGTAAGTCGGGCGCTCCTGTGCTTGTGTGTGTTTTCTCTCTAGTGTGTGGCGGTGTGTATATCACGACGCAGCAGGCGACCTATTCTATGGTGAACGACGTCTGGTAGGGCAGCAACATCTTGTAAGTCGGGCGCTCCTCTCCGTGTGTGGTTGTCTGTGTGCAGTGCACCCTCCTGCGGGTGCCCACTTGTGCGTGCGTGCGTGCACGGGTGCTTGTGCGGGTCCATCTGCTGCTGTCTCGTCCCTCATCCCTCATCCCCTTCGCGCCTCCCTTCATCCCCGTCACCCCGTCTCCCCCCTTCCTCTCCCTTCCCCAACAGTGCCATCAGCAAGAACGCCCTCTTGAAGCAGGCCGACATCACTGCCATCCGTTTCGCCCTTCCCCGCATGTCGCGCACCGACGCCACCGTGCTCCAATACTGGACCATCGAGCCAGCCGCCGCGCCCGCCGACGGCAAATACGACATCACAAACAAGGGCACCATGTGGTTTGCGGCCTACGACGTGAGCTGGGCCATGATGGGCCACTCGGCAATCTTCGCCTTTGCTATCGTCAACACTGTTTCGATTGACACCAAGGTCCCCAGCCTCAACCTCCTCACTGCGATTAACAACTGCTCCTTCTACTACGACTGGTCGAGCTCGCAGCAGAAGCCCGGGATTGCGCCACTGGCCGAGTCTTACAGCAAGGATACGCCTCTCCTCGTGCCGCCCAGGAGCACGTCGGTGGCGTATGCGGCGGGCCACCTGTGGGTGGTGTTCCCGTCGGGGTCAACCGTGTCGCCACAGTCTGAGATCGGATTTATGCTGGCGAAGGTCAAGCCGACGATTTCCAAGGGGGCGGCGCCTGCGCTGTCGGTTGCAGTTGCAAGCGCGATGATCTACAACGTGCCGATGTCGAATCTCCTTGCGCCTAGCATTGTCTTTAACAAGTGAGTCGCACGCGCTGTCTCCTGCAGTTTCTTTCCTCCCTTGGCTTCACAAGTGTTCCCCCTTCTTTCCATCAAAACCCCTTCCCAAGCACACCCCTTCCTCCACTAACTTGTGTATGCTTCTGCCGTGTATCTCCCCATTGCTGCTGTCCCTTGCCATTGCTGTCCCCTTCCAGGCAATCCTGGTGGGCCCCAACAACCAACCCACCGCGGACTTGGTGCCTCTTGACCACCCCAACCTCCGCTGACTCGCGTGCCTCTTCCCCGTTGCCTCTCTCTCCTTCACTCTTGCCTCCACCCCGTGCAGGCAGAACAAGGGCATCATCCTGGCAACCCTGGTGGGCCCCAACAACTACCCCACCGTGGGCTTTGTGCGCGTGACCACCAAAGGCATTGCTGCCAAGGCTACTTTCAACACCGTTGTGCAGAGCTCCGTGCCCCTAGACACCGACAACCCAAGTGAGTGGCGGCCACCACTGGGTATTCATGGGTAATCAATGGTTGTAGAGTAGGCAGACAGATCATGGTGTGTCCACCAAGACCAAGGCTGGCGTGGGGTCAAGGCAACTGTCCAACACCATTTTGCAGAGCTCCGTGCCCCAAAGCCCAAGTGAGCCAAGTGCCTCTCTGGTAGAGTATATAGATATACCGCTATGGCGCCACGCATGCCTGGCAGTGCACGCCACAGGGACCCTGTGCCCCTCCCACTCTCATCTTAACCCTCCCCTGTACCCTCTCCTCCTCTCTTCCTTTGTTTTCCCTCTCCCTACCATCAGCCTACGCGGTCAAGAATGCAGCTCAGACGGACACGCCGGCTTTCTGCCGCTATGGGACGACCCAGGCGCTGGCAGTGGACGCCACGGGGACCATCTGGGCTTCGGGGCAATACGCCTCAGAGGACCGCACCACACTCAACAATTGGGCTACTAGCCTGTTCTCAGTCACTGCTTGAAAGGCTTTTTGGTCTCAACTCAAGTGACTTATGACAAAAGAAGACCACCTCTACTGCTGTGGTGTGTATTGAAAGGTCTGGCGAAGCAGGGTCGGGTAAGGAGACAGCCCGGATGCTGGCTTTAATGTCAGCTTTTGTGAAATTATGTATGGTGGGGTGTGGGTTGGATGGGTGAGATTCTTTCTGTTGTGTTGTGAACGGGGGGCATCATGCAGCCGGGTGCAGCCGGCTCATTTGCACTGTAACATGCACTGGGCCATAAACTCTTGTAATTTTTATAATAGTGCCCTACTGAGGTCTGAAAGCGTGACCATGAAATGATTGATGTATCCTCACCTTGGCTGCCCCTTTTATACGAACTGAATGGGTATCAACAGAAGTGATGGACCCACAACGTCAAACCTTAGTTTTTTTTTTAATCTTGGCCATGAGCTAGTTCAAATTTGTCTGAGTGCAATATTATTTACTCGTAACAAGACTTTTGTAATGAGGTCTGAGGCTGGGTGGGAGGCTACCTCCTGGAGGGGGAAGTGAGGACTCGTGGGTGGCAATCTCCAAGAGCACTCGAGATCAGGTCCAGTAAAAATACGTCTGTGTGACCACCTCCAGCACGGCGGACCTTTGCAGTCGTGGGGGAAGCGCGGTGATGGTTGGTTGGTTAGCTAAAAGCGTTATCCCTCCATCCCTCGACTCCTACAGTTGATGTCCACCCTTATCGCTGCTCAGCCCGTCGCCCAATCAGAACCACGTCCCTAAACCCCCGATATACGGGCAATGTGAGATCCGTTTGAGTCACTCATGATTGCGTCTGCGACCAGCATATAGCAAGGGACAAGTCGTTGACGACGAGGTTTCGTCGCCATGGACCTGTGTGTTAAAATTATATAAGTTATAATTTAATATAGGCTTGGTAGGTTGTTACTGAACCTTTATGTAGAGGGTACAAACCCCTTCTTGTACTCTTCTCTCTTCCTAAACAATCTCTCTTTCTTCTCGACTTTCTCTCCCTTCCTAGATCCGTTTTCCTCACACTATTCCATGGCGGCCTTCTTCCTAGTATCCTAGCCTACCTAGCCTCCTAAGTTTAACAACCTTGAGTCCTAAGTTTCTAAGACTGTGCACCGCCGTCGCCTGATTGCTTCACAAGAGTCGCACACTGGCAACAAATATCGCCACACAAGCCCCCCCCACAAATACCCACCCATTTCGTCGTGTGCTCGTGCGAAAGCCTCATTTGCCCGTGACGAAGGACAGCGAAATATTTGACCGATTGACTCCCCGGCACCCTAAAATCTTGTGCGACTCTGTCGCGCCTCGACTGTATTGCTCTCCCCATGGCCTCCACGCCTCTATCGTACCACATATCAGGGAGTACCTGGTCACCAAAACTTTAACCAGAGGGCGCATTCGGGGGTCGTGTCATCCGGGGTTCCGGTCATCATTTGCCCCATTTCGGAAGACCCGAAGTTCCAAAATGCTGGCAAATGATGACCCGAAGCTGACCAGGTAGTCATTACAACCAAACCTAACGCTATCATGGGATGGGAGGAAGTCTGACGACCACCGCATGCGGTTATTACCCTGATGTGATAAGGGAAACTTGGATCTAGCCTTCTAATTGCTTTCGGTCGTTGTTTGTGTGAAGCGTTTACCCTGCTTTGCCAGGAAGATTTGCCCTGGATTCGATTGGGTTGGCCGCCATGTGCAGCGTGAGGGGCTGGTTCGAATCCAATGGGATGGTTCCATTTGATAACGTTTGAATCATTCTCTGCGAGCTTGTTTCGCAAAAGTCGGGAGTAACAACAGTCAAAATGTTCGGTGGGTTTTGCTGTTGCGAACAATGTCGTTTCGCCGTCTGCCTGAAAGCCCAACAAGGACCCCATACGGCCATGTGGATTACCTGTCACAACAGTGAATGTAGGCATGTTGGTTGCGACAGCTTTTTAGGGTAACTTCAATTTGCCCAAATTGCTGGCGACACCTGACCAGATGTCGCCAGCAATTCCCTGCCGCGGCGTGGCGCGACATGGGCGAAAAGGGAAACGCGAGCTCGTGTGCGACAGGTCAATGTGTCCAGCTCACGAACTTTAACGGCGTTCGCAAAAGACTAGAGAGTGGCTTGCGAAGAATTGGTTGGAGGTGTATGGTAGTTGTGGAGAGGACGCGCGGACACGGCAGACCAAGCCTGAGGTATTTCTTCCTCCTAAAGAATCCCGATTCGAGAAGAGACGGAAAATGGTAAGAACGGCGAGTTTCCTAAATCGACGTACCCTGAGGTGCGCACGCTTACGGCGGAGTAGCGATAAAAGTCGCGAGTAGTATAGGAGCCTTGACCTGAGGTGCACTATAGTCGCAGTCGTTCAGCATGCTCCGGTGGTGGTTCCACGGGACCAAATAGTAGGAAGGAGGAAATCGAAGGACTGCACCCGACTTTTGGGAACGTGGTTTCTGTCTAGACGTCCGACATGTTTGGGGAAGTACTAGGTTTCTTCAGTCTCCGTAGCTTGCGAGTGCGACACTATTGTAATTCCCATTTTTCATGGTTCTCCGTACCGCCGCTTTCAGTCCAATCGTAATTCGCCAACAGCAGCATAACTAGCTCTGCTGCTCGCCTTGCGAAATCACGAACAAGGTTACCGCACAATAGTTCAGATTATCCTTCGCGAGCAAGACGGCGGCCGCCATGGCGTACGTGGGGGGGTTGTCGGGCGACTCGTGGCTGGAGTCGCCGGGGCCGGGCGAGCGCGTGTGCCGCAGCCATTGGATGCCCAACGGCGCGATCACGCGGTGCACGAACCCCGATTGCAACCGCGAGTTCACCCGGAAAGAACGCAAGTAAGTCGCTTTCTGTCTGAGTCGACTTGAAGCTTTCAAGGCACATCGAGGGTTCGGGCGAGCGCGTGTGCCGCAGCCACCGGATGCCCAACGGCGCGATCACGCGGTGCACGAACCCCGATTGAGGCGCCTCAAAAATAGACTCCGATTGCACCCGAGAGTTCTCCCGAGAAGCTGAGCGGACGATGAGTTGAGTGGACACGCGCGTCGTCGCCAGTTGAGCGAACGACAAGTTGCGCGGTTGTCAGTATTGCGGCAATCGCAATATAGTTCACTGGCCTCCTTAGCCGTTAGTTCGTTCGTACTTTCTCCTATTGTCCTTTTTCATCCCCCCCCCATTCTTTCTCTTTCTTTCTTTTCTTTCTTTCTTCCAGGCACCACTGCCGGTGTTGCGGGAACGTGTACTGCGTCGACTGCACGCAGTGCGTATTGCCGCTCAACCCGCACACCGCGATGGTAAGCGCCGTCTCCTGCGGCTCGTACGCTCCTGCGGCTCGTACGCTCTCAATTCCCCGGCGTGCGCCTTTTGTTTCCTCGTAGATCTAATACTCGTAATTTGTTGTCCCCCCGCAGATCGAGGAGGGCGGAGAAGCATCTAAAGCCTGCGTTTTGTGTTACGAGGTACGCTCGAGTAGTGAACTAGCATTCTGCGTCGGACCTCTTAACCCCGATATCTCCCCTCCATCCCTAAGTCGCCTTTGTGAAAAAAATCGCCAAACTCGCCCTCCTCTCCAATGCGATGTCTCGTCCTTCCCTTGTGCAGCGAGCGGTCGAAGATGGTTACCATCTTGGCCGTTTCGTCCACAGCGGATCGTCCAGCTCGCTGGAAGCCGACGACGACGCAGGCGACGTCTGCGACGACGAAGGCACGGCCAGCCACCCGCCCTCCGACTCGGATCCGGACGGCATGGGCGACGCGGCGAGCGATGCTGGCGACGGTGGCGAAAGCATGCGGGCAGACTCGACGGACGCCGGGCAGGACTCCGACCCCGAGGAGGGTTTCGCGTCCCGGTACCGGCGAATGCTCACGGCGCGCCTCGACAATCCCAATGCCGCCAAGAGCAAGGGGTTTGAAGGTCGGAGGGTCGGCGACGAAGGTCGAAGGGTCGGCGACGAAGGTCGGAGGTTCGGCGACGAAGGTCGGAGCTGGAGGGACGGAAATCGCGGGGGGAGCGGGAACTGGGATCAGTTCACGCGCGACGGCAGCCCGAATCGCAGTGCTGCTAGCAGCGCCGCTAGCAGCGTAAATGGCGGGAGCCCGCGGGACGCGGATTTCGGCAAGAGCTGGACGTTAGGGTCCGCGGATAAGCTAGCTGCTCGCGAGTATAGTCGCCTTTCCAGCCGCGGGGGTGGCACTAGCAGTGCGACTAATAGTAGGTCCCTTGGTAACAGCGTTACTAGTACCGGTAGTAGGTATCCGGGTAGCAGCGAAGCGGGTGAGCGGGGAGGTTATGGTGCTGTGGCTGGGGGCAGGTATGGTCGGGTTGGTGAGTCGGTGCGTGCGAGTGAGAGGCACAAGGGAGAGACAGCACCTCAAGGATATGGCTCCCGGATTGGAAGCAGCATGGGGAGGAGTGGTTCAGGAAGCAAGACGAGGAGAGACAGCTGGGAGGGGGAAGCGGACTCGGATTCCCCCTCCGAGATCGCCTATGGCAGGAGCAGGACGCTCGACGCCTGTGATAAGGCTGCGGCTAGAAGCCGCGGGAGCCAGAGACCGATCAGTATTGGTATACTGAGTGCCGGCAGCGGCAGCGGCAGCGGCAGCGGCAGCGGCAGCGGCAGCGGGAGTGTGGCTCGGACTAGCAATGATGTTGGGGATGGGAGCGGTGCGTTCGGCATGGGGTTTGCGACCGGGTTTGGGAAGAGCAGAACGCTTGACAGCACCGACAAGGACGCGATACGGAGAAGGCAGTCGTATCTCAGCAGCGGCGGATCCAACTCCGCAAGCACCCGCATGAGCTCTGCTGCTGCTGCTGCTGCTGCCGCCGCTGCTACCGGTGGTGGTGCTGGTGGTAGTGCCGCTGCTGCTGGTGCTGCTGGTGGCGCTGGTGCTGCAGGTGCTGCGGGCGGTGGGTCACGGCGCACGCTGCGGCGGACGAAGAGCGGGACGCGGCACATGTCCATGGATCAGATCGCGTTCTCGCTGCTGCAAGAGCCCTCCGACCCCAACCATGTCTCGCTGCTGCCCTGCCCCTCCGCCCCATACCCACCCCTCGCCCCCAGTGGTACCAGTGCTGCTAGGTCCGGGATTGGCCTGCCCCCGCGCAAGGACCCCAAGCCCCGGGGATCACAGCAGCACCAGCAGCAGCACCAGCAGCATTTGCTGCCACACCAGCAGAACCACCCGCACCACCAGCAGGATCAGCAGCAGCAGAACCAGCAGAAGCCGCCTCAGCCGTCAGCCGCAGCAGCAGCAGCAGGCATGGCAGCACGGCTCCAGCACCGGCACTCCATGTACTCCCTCTTTGCCCCTGGCGCCACCCCGCTCACTCCCTCACCCCGTCGCGCCCCACCTCTCACTCCCACACTCGCTCTGAGTCGCGCCAGCAGCAGCGTCAACCCCATCTCCATCGCCCTCCTTCCGTCCTCCTCCCCTGACGGCTCTCCTCTGCCTGTCCGCCCCTCTGCTGCCAGCAGCCGCTCTGCTTCCCCCCTTCGATCGTCCCGCTCTTTCCAGCGCCTGCAAGCCGCAGCAGCAGCAGCAGCAGCAGCGGCAGCAGGCGTCGACGCAACAGCAGACGAGACAGCAGCAGCAGATGCGGCGGCTGCAGCAGCGGCAGCAGCAGAGACAGCGGAGGCCGATGCAGCAGCAGCGGCACACAGAGAGGCACTGTATAGGGAGCTAGCAGCGCCGTCGGTGCTGCGGGAGCAGCCAGCCACACGTGTGAGCAGCGCGGGAAGCAGCGTGAACCTTGAGGAGCTGCTGGCTTCGTGGGAAAAGGGGGTCAGCTTCTTGGACCCCGAGGTTTCCCTGCGCACCCCTCGGGGAGACAACAACGCCAGCTCTTCTGCCAAAGAGTCATCTCCAGGGAATGAACAGGACGGGCAGGGGTGCGATGCTCGAAGTGATGATGAGCCCTGCTCGGGCAGCAGAAATTCTCCTCCGGGCAGCCAAAATTCGCATGGTCACTGTCAAGATTCGTCTCTTAGGAATAAGAGTTCTGCCGCTGCTGCTTCGCCTGCCAAGGCTGCTGATGCTGGAGGTCTGGGAAGTCCAGGCTCGAAGCCTGGCCTCCGGAGAGCTGCCAAGGCTGAGGCCCAGGATTGGAGCGAGGTTCGGCAGAGCCTGGGGGGCGATTCTGGGGAAGGTGGTTATGGGGAAGGTGGTTATGGGGAAGAGGAAGCAGGCAGTGCAGAGGAAGGAACGAACAGGGGAGATGCGACCCAGACACACGGTGCTTCGAGAGAGAGCGATTCAGTGCAGGGTGATGCAAAGGCAGCAGGGGCAGCAGAGGCAGCAGAGGCAGCAGAGGCAGCAGAGGAAGCAGAGGCAGCAGAGGCTGAGAGCAGCAGCAGCAGGTGGGCCAGGCGGAAGCTGAACCTGCGGGTTCACTGTGGGAGCAGTGGGTGCTATGCTGCTGCCGTCCCGAGTGATGCTGCTGCTGCCTCTGGACCATCTACTGCTGCTGATTGCAGCGCTGCCAATTCTGGCGCGTCTGCTGCTACCAGTGCTGTGGTTGGTGCCCGTAATGGTGCTGGTGCTGGTGTTGGGCCGGGTGGGGCCAGTTCTGGCGGGTCACTGGAGAGTGGACCCTGGTCTCGTCCGCTCAGTCTGATCGAGTGGAGCACGAGTGACGTGTGCTCGTGGCTCATCCACAAAGTGCCCTTCGCACAGGGCAACGGGCGAGGTGAGAAGAGGGAGTCAAATCTTTCACCGGTTATTGCTTTTTCCCTTCCCCAAACCCCGCCACGTGTGATGAGTCGACTTTTGGGGTGCCTCAAAAATTGTGGCTGATCAACAAAGAGCGTTTCGCACTAGGAAGTGGGCAAGGTGAAGAGCAGGCAGTTATTGCTGATATTGCTGTCATCTGTTATTGCTGTCATCTGTTATCTGTTATTGCTGTTATCTGTTATTGCTGTCATCTGTTATTGCCGTTTCCCCTCCACACACACACCCCCCACCCACCCAAGTTTCTATTGCACACCTCAATGAGGACTTGCTTTTCTCTGACTTTCGGGCCGACTCTAAAGTCATCGCATCGCGTTCTCTAGATTTTACACCTCAAAAGGAGCCTGCCTTCCCCCCCCTGCCTTTACAGATTCCCGCCTGCCTTCCTCCGCCTCTACCTTTCTCTCAGTCAATTCGTGCATTCTCCCTTTTGAGTGAATTGACTCAAAAGCAATTCGTGCATTCTCCCTTCCCCTCCCCCCCGCCCACTTCCCCTCCTTCCCCTCCAGAGTCTGCTCACGACTTCGATCGCCACCAGGTAGACAGCCTCTCTCTCTCATCGGCATGGCTTAGTCTCGGACAGTAAATTCTCCCATTCCCCTTCTCCCCCCCGCCCTCCCCTCCGGCGTACGCGCATGGCTTGGATCATCATCACCAAGTGGACGGCCCCTCTCTCTCGTCGGCATGACCCAGTCCCACCCCGCCCTTCCATTTCCTCTCTCTTCCCTCCCACTGCTTCCCTCCCACTGCTTTCCTCCCACTGCTTTCCTCCCACTGCTTCCCTCCCCTCCTTCCCCTCCAGAGTATGCACATGACTTTGACCAGCATCAGGTAGACGGTCTCTCTCTTGTCGGGATGACCCAGTCTCACCCCGCCCTCGCGCGCATGCGCCTGGCCGACTACTCCCTCTTTGAATCTGAACGCCGACACCTCGTAACCGCAGAGGCCGCAGCCCCTCCCGCCCCCCACCAACCACCGCCATCAGCACATCTGCCTCTCTCCGCCCTTGATCTCTCCTCCGGTTCAAATGCTTCCACTGCTGCTGCTGCTGCTGGTAATTCTTTGTTGCGTGGTGGTGCTACGAGCAGCAGCGCCGGGATTGGAATGGGTGCAGTGCGGTGCGGGTCCGACCCCACCGCTCTCCTGCCGCACTTACCCAAGCAGTACTCAGTTAAGAGCCGGCACTTAGACGCCTCGTTTGACGCCGATACTCCCTCTGGTCACAGCTGTCGATCCTCCCAGCCCTCCCCCTCTGCCTGGTCGTCTCCCTCCTCTACAGCCTTCGTCCAACGAACCTCTAGTGGCAGTAGCTTCTGCTCCCTCCCTCCCCTCTCCTCCTCCTCCCTCTCTTCCTCCCACCACCCCTCCCACTTCTCCCACTCCAACCACCCCTTCCGCCACCGTCGCACCAGCAGCATCGGCGCCTCAATCGTATCAGATCTCCTACAGAAGAAGACAAATACCGCCGGTGGGGCGGGGGACGGCCGGGCGGCAGCAGTGCAGTCCCCTGCTGCCCAGATAAGCCGGCAGGGGAGCGGGGTGGTGGGGGCTGTGGGGGGGTGGTTCGCTGGTTGGGGCAGCAGGCAGGAGAGGCAGCAGGACTCGGAGGAAGAACGAGGGGGCGAGAGAGGCGTGGAGGACAAGCAAGAAAAGCGAAGGCACGGCGAGGAGGAGGAGGATGAGGAGGGGGACGAAGGGGAGGAGGGGGAAGTGGTAGCAGCGGTAGTGGAGGAGGTGGTGTGCCTGAGAGGGGAGGTGACGGCAGCAGAGGAGAGGGAATGCACTGTCAAAGCACAGTGAGTATTGTTACATTTCACAGTACTCACAGTACTCACATTACTCACATTACTCACAGTACTCACATTACTCACATTAATCACAGTACTCACATTACTCACATTACTCTGGATAAATCTCATCATTCTCTGCTTTATTTCAGGCTCACCAGAGGGGCCTCTACTCTATTCCCTTCATCCGTCATGCACCCTCGCTCACCTTTACCTTGCTCCCCTCTGCTCCCCTCTGCTCCCCTCTGCTCCCCTCTGCTCCCCTCTGCTCTCCTCTGCTCCCCTCTGCTCCCCTCTGCTGCCCTCTGCTGCCCTCTGCTCCCCTCTGCTGCCCTCTGCTGCCTCCTCCCCGCGTTCCTTTCTGTCAGGCTCTGTCACTTGGACGATCTTCTGAAGGAGTCTCTGCTCGTCGAGTACCTGCCAACCAGAACGGTAAGCACTGTTTTTTTCGCTCTCCCCCCTCTCACTCACTTTCTGTCTGCGGGTTGGCCGCACACCGATCACACTAATCGCACCACCTAGTATTGAGGCCTCCCAAGGAGTCTCTGCTGGTCGAGTACCTGCCAACCAGAACGGTAAGCACTGAGTGCTGCTCTCTCGTCCTCGCACTCTACCAGCGGGTCTGCTACATGCCAATCAAGCAGTAGTAATCCAGCCTTGACGCACCTCAAGGAGTCTCTGCTGGTCGAGTACCTGCCTACCAGAACAATAAGCATTACTTTGTTACCCTTACCTCCTCCGGTTTCCAGGCTCTCTCTGGGTCTCGCTCACTCCCTGCTCGTCTTTCATGGCTCTCACGCCCACCGGCATCGCCTGCCATTGTACCTGCACTGGACACTGCAGGCCGTGTGATAGCAACCTCGTTTTGAGCCGCCTCAAAACGAACTGATTATCAACCCCACCATCATCGCCCGCCATCATACCTGCACTCCACTGCACGCCCAAGACTGCCACTGCACTCCGAACTGAACACTCCTGGGTGACTTTCTCCCAGGGTATCTCTTCGCACTCAGATCTCTTCGCAGGCAGGTCGCTAGGCACTGACGCCAATTTCTCCCCCTCTCTTCGCCTGCTCTCCACCGAAATGGGCGTTAGAGCCTAGCGACCTGCCTGCATAGTTTGGTTTTGTGGCGCCTCAAAACTAAACTGCAACGTGCCTGCATCTGAGGGCAATGAGGAGGAGGAGGACGAGTGGGTGCCATTCTCCGTGGCGCCCTCATCATTGCCCTGACGAGGAGGACCAGTGGGTGCCTCGCTTGGAGACGCTCACCCCCACCGACATCGCCTGCTATCTGCCCGCCACCGACCTGCACCCGCAGATCTGCTCAGGCTTCATACTCTCTGGTGTCCTTCTCTTTCTCTTCTCCCCTGCTCCCACCAGAAATGGGCATCGGTGGCCAACGACCTGCCAGCACCTGCCACCGACAGCAGCAGTGAGGAGGAATGGGTACCTCGCTTCGTAACTCTCACTCCCACCGACATCGCCTGCTATCTGCACGCCACCGACCTGCACCCGCAGATCACCCTCCCCGTCGCCTCCATCGCCTCTGCCGGCACCCTCTCGCTCACGCCTGTAGCACCGGCTGTAGTGCCAGCTGTAGCATCAGCTGCCGCTGCTCGTGGATCTGTCTCTTCTGCAACTGCTTCTTCTGTGTCGCCCCCTTCGCCATCGGCCGAGTGGTTCGCCTTCCACGTCATGACCAGCTATGGGTTTAAACTGGAGTGCGCCACCCGCAGCTGTGCCAAGGTGAGGCTAGTGAGCTGGCATGGACTTCAACTTTTAAGAATTCTCATAAATCAACTTACCTCACGTGAGCTGAGCTGAGGACCGTTTGTGGAGGGGATTGGAGGAGAGCAGTCATTGTGGTTTGAGAGTCTTCTGGGTCAACTCAAGTCTGACTAAAGTGTGCCGCTCTCAGCGGTGCCACTGTATGTCAGAATAAATTTTGTTCCCATGCTCCGTCTCTCCCACTCTCTTTCTCCATTCCCCTTTGCAGCTGCAGCTGTGGCTGGCAACCGTGCATGAGGCCATTGCCAATGCTGGCGTCAACTCCACCACTGTGGGGAGCAGCATCCCTCTGCCCCCACCCAACCTCACCTGCTCTTGACTTGGTAACGCAGGGGATTCAAAGGCGACTCTATAGCCAACCCTGGCTGGCAACAGTGCATGAGGCCATTGCCAATGCTGGCGTCAATTCCACCACTGTGGGGAGCAGTATACCTCTGCCCCCACCCAACCTCACATGTTCTTGATTCACGGGCAGCAGCACGGACACCACATCTCACCGCATCACACCGCACCATATGCACGCACATCAACGCCACATCCCATGCATGATGCCACACCATACACGCGCGCAAATCACCACTTTGCATTGCATGCATGCATGCACTGTTACATGCACAGATCCATAGCACATCACAGCACATTACATACATACACTGAACCCATCAATGCGTTTGGTGACTGCTTGAAAGCAACTCCTTGTACATGCACATTCCCACAGTCAGGGTAGGGTATGCCCCCCGGCTCACATTCACACACTGCCTTCCACCATAGGCATGCCATGCCAGGGAACCTGCTACATGTGCGTGTGCAGGATGTGGTGGGCAGGTGATTGATGGGCATGGACCGATGTAGCAGACTTCTCCACCCCATTAGAACGATAGGACCCTCCCTCATTTCACACGATAGTTGCCCTCGTTTCAACCAACCATGATGGCTGTGTGAAAAATAAAGCTAGTTAAACATAATGGAAGTGCAGCTTGCACCCAACATGCGGCTACAACCTGCATCCCAACAGCTTGTTGCTTGAGGCTTGTGAGTACGAATGGCAGCACCTCGTTCTTGGAATAAACAATTTTGCTACATATTAGGGACCTTCATGCAGTTACCAGTACCTACCAAAGTGCTAACCATTGCCTTTTTAGGCTGATTTGGGTTTCGAGTCCAGGCCATATCTTGGCATTGGCTAGTGCAAATGATACAAAATCTTTTGAGGGACCTGTTGTTGAGAAATAAGTCTCAATGGGCAGTTTGCAAACACTGGAAAATCATAGACAACAGAAAAAACAGCCATTGAAATTAAGCTAACTAGGGCTTTAAGGTTGATATCTTAGGGCCCGACGCCACCTTTGACTTATCTACAAAGAACCTGATAAGATTGACTCGCTTGGAAGGTGTACATACACCAGCGAAGTTACACATTACAGGTTACATTTCGTTTCGCCGAATACTCACCCACCACCCTCGCTCGGACAGAACCTGGTTCCAGCATTTCATGGACGTTGGAATCTGGGAAGTGGAGCTACAGTTCGCTTTGCGCCAGTGCCTCAAGCGCATATCCAATCCGTGCACTTTCCCGCGCTCAAATTTGCGGGCCGCAATGGCACCTTGCGCCTTGGGAGTTTGGAAACTGACCAATCGAAGCACGCCATGGTTTTGCGGGTTTGTGCCACCTTCAAGAAATTGTGATCACCGACTGAAATGCGGCTCGTTCGGCCGTTCTGAAACACGCGGCTCCATCCAACTCCTTCCCATCCCACCCAACCAGCCCAAGCCACACCACCTGTGTTCTCTTTCTCCCCCTCACTGACCAAGCCTCGGAAAAAGCTCTCCCGTAACCCGTCATTCCAACGCAGCTAACAATTTTGCCTGTTGCAATCAAACCACACTCGGAACTTTTCAAACTGAACCGCCTCCCATGAGGGCAGGATGCTGATGAAAGAAAACCTGCCACAGCGAGCCTCGCGTAGCTTCCGTCAACAAATGCAATCGTCAGCAACACAACAGAACGCAGAACGCAGCCAACATCTCAATTAGTCCGTACTACACGCAACATCAAGTGTTCCTCCACGCGTCGTCGGCGAGCGAGATCTTGAGATCTCCGCCATTTGCTTTCTCAAACAAGAATGAATTTGCATAGCTGTCGCGCCGAGCCATCACTCCATGCCGTAACAGTATCCTCTACTGTACCGCGCGTCTCATAGTCTCCCCTCCATGTTTGTCCATCCCTTTTCTCGTGCCCCCATCGCGCCAGTTACCATTCAACCTCAATCAGCCCTCCCAGCAGCAACCTTAGCTGCTGCGACCTAGCCTCTTCCGTGTAATCCGCACAGTACACCTCGCTCTGTTCCGGCTAGGAGTACGATACTGCCGTGGCACGTAGTGCTCTTATCACTTGAGTGCGCAACTGCTTGTGCTGGGCCGTTGATTCCGGCCGTGCCGTCTGTACCCGATTATAGTACCGCGAGAGGGATAGTCGACGGTTACGTCCCTTCAGTCAATAAGGAGCTCCTTCCGTGTAGTCATTTTAGGATGCTCGTAAACCCGTAACTATGCTCTTCGTAGGAGTGTGAAAAGGTCTTCGTCAGGCCTCGATGCTTTTCAGAGTCGAGCGCCTTAGGTAGTTAGCTAACCACCAGTTGCAGAATACCTTCCTCAATCGAGTAGTAGCAAACGCGCTACCTCACCCACCTTAGCAAGCGAAAACCATGGCGTCGACTCGCAAACACGATCCTCGTCCGCCTGATGCGGACCAGCCTCGACGCCTGCCCAGCCCCCGCCGTCTCCCCAGTCCCAAGCGCCTACCCAGTCCTAACCTTGCTCGTAGGCACGTAGCCAGTACTAAATCCTCCGATTCTGTCGGCGGATCCGCACCGCTTCGCTCGCCCGGTGCACACGTCCCCGCCCTGTGCAACGTACAGCCGCCGGTGATTCAGAAGTCGCGATCCATGACGTGGCAGGATTCCGTTTCCGTTTCCGTTACCGTTCCGCGGCCGCAGTCTCCGGCGGAAAAGCTGCTCTCGCCAAACGCGAAGGCTCCCACGCCGAGCAGCTGGCACCGGCCGGCACGGAGCTTCCGCAGCAGCATTTCCGGCGGAGGCAGCGGCGGGGATCGCTTAGCGGCGTCCAGCGCTATTCTCGCAGCTGGTCGGTCGGCGACGGCAGCAATTGCCGCTGCCACGTCATCCCCGTCAGCCAATGAGCTGTTCGTGCGGGGAAACAGCATTTCTGGAGCCAGGAGGAGCGGCGGAGAAAGCGGGGAAATTGTCCGCCCTCCGTCTCCCTCTCCTGGCGAAGCATCCTCTCCGTCAGGTTTCCGTCTGTCTAGCATCGTTCCAAATCCGTTTCGCAGACGGAACAAAGAGAACTTCGCGTCAGCAGCAGTGTATGACGTCAGCATGCTGGAACCAGAAGAGAGCGAATCCTCCGCAAGTGGCGGTAACTTCGCGATCGCTCCCTCCTGCACGCGCGGAAGGTTCAGCCCGCGCCGCGGCCGGCCCAGTCCGAGCCGCGAGAGGCGGAAAAGCAGCGACGGGAAAGCCCTCGGGATATTCGGGAGCGATGGGAGAGGGTCCGTGTTGTCGCGATCTCACAGTAAGGAGGCGCGCGATTTGCTCCCCGAGCTAGATGCTTACGCGGCGAGTATTAGTACTCCTGGCACAGATGCGGTAGGCGCAGCGTCATCGTCGGCGGCGGCGATGGGGGCGCAGTCGCTCGCGCTGGTGCCGGCGCGCGCGCGCGGCGGAAGTGGGGGGAACTGGGGGGAGCTGATGGCGGGGCGGCGGGCGGAGGAAGCGGCGGTAGCGGCGGCGGCGGTGGCGGGAGAATGCGCGGAAGTGGTGATGGGCATTCTGTGGAAGTGGGTGAACCTGGGGCGAGGCTGGGGCATGCGGCTGTTCGTTCTCGAAGGGGTAAGTTGGTTTCGCTCGAGGCTGCCTGCCTGCCTGCACGGGTCGTACGCGATGTGAGACAACTCGAAACTGGTTCCAGAGTGTTTTGGTTAGATTCTTAGGCAAGAAGAGGGCGGAGTGCTCTGACTTGCGTCTGGTTTTCCCCAATTTGGGCCCCATGGCGAGATGCCTTCCCTTGAGAACGTCGAGTATTCTCGAGGCGATGCCAACATGCTGCGGTAATCCCAAGGGAACAATTGGGACCAGAATGATCCCGGGTGATATCCCGAGGGGACATTTGGGTAATCCCGAGGTGATTTTGATAACACGTCCAAATCAGTTCCCTTTGCTCAAATGCATTGTGAGTCAACTGAAAAGCAGTAAGCAGCAGCATTTTTCCTGTCCAGTAACGTCTCTTACCCTGTTTACCCCTCTCCGTTGTTCCTCCTTTGTCTCCCACCAGGGGGTGCTTTCTTACTTCAAGTTGGAAGGCCCTGATCGGGTAACCGTGCTACAGGAGCTCGAGCGTCGCCCGGGTGCGCGACTAATTGGCGACGAGATTCGCCATTTCGTGAAGAAAGAGCGCGAGGATGGGGTCGTGCCTAACGAAGGCGAGCTTGGCGATCGCATGCCACATGGCAGCGTCCGATTGGAGGTCTCGACGCTCCGAGCCAGCACGGCTGACGGTAGAAAGTTTTACGTTTTCGGGACGAAGACGCTAGGATTAAGGACGGAGTCCAAAGCCGGGAGGCTACTATGGATGGACGCGCTTCAAGCCGCGAAAATGAAGCACCTTCAGTCGATGCGCGCTTCGGCACAAGCTCCTTCGATAAGCGAATCGAGGCTGGTAGCCGCGTCGTCGCTGGCGATGGAGCCGCTAAGAGCGTACTTAGCGAGTATAAGCGTCGGTGTGGAGGAGATCGCTAAGTGCGAGGAGATTGTGAGGCGGCAGGTGGTGTTCAGGCTGGAGAATAAATTGCGGGAGGAGCAGAAGCGGCGGCTGCAGCTGTTGCGGTTACTGAGGCAGCTTGAAGCGGATAAGGTCGAGCTGGAGACGGCGATGCTGGAGGAGACGCGGAACCAGGGATACGCTGGCAACAGCGTCGTCATGAGTGCGTGTCTCTCACTCGAATCCCTCACTCTCTCACTCATTCCCTCACCCTCTCGTCATATCTCTCCCTCTCTCGCTTTTTGAATCACTCACCTCTCTCACAAATTCATTCTCTCTCTTCCTGTCTCGATGTGACATGAACTTGGTTTGTCTTCATTCTTCCTTCCGATTTCGTCGTCCCTTCCTCATTGCTTATCTCCTCCATCTCCTTCTTTTCCTCCATCTCCTTTTCAGATTCTTTTCCTCCTCTCATTATACCCCCCCCCCCCCCCCCCCCCCACCGTCCCCCCTTTCCTCCCTTCCCCACCTCAACAGCTGGTGATGGCGATGACGCCAGTACGACCTTTGATGAGGACGAGGACGAGGAGGACGAGGAGGATGAGGAGGATGAGTATGAAGAGGAGCAAGGGGAGGAGGAGGAAGAGGAGGGGGGCGATCAGGAGGCAGACAGCGGTGCAGTTACCACCAGCGTTACTGGCACAGTTGCAGAGGCTACACCAGAGCGCAGGAGCGGTGTTTTAACCACCACGCACGGCAGTGGTAACCCTATGGTAGCCACTGCCACCCTTGGGCCGTTACATCGCACTGGAAGCGGCCACAGGGCGAAGAGGACTGGTAACAGCATCAGCAGGTCCGGGAGGGCTCAGAGCAAGGCTCGGCGGGCCGCCAAGGCTGCGGTGCTGGCTCGGGATAACGACGAGGACGAGGAGGGGTCGGGCAGCAGCGGCGGGCAGGATGACGAGTTCTTTGAAGCCATGGATGACTTCGTCAGCTCGGGCAGTGTGATGACGGTGGTGGACATGCAGGAGGTGAGGGGGAGGTTGGGGTGGGTAGTGGTTCATGTGACTTGGCTGGGGCATTGTATTGTTCGAGTCAGCGGTAGTGTGATGACGGTGGCGGGCATGGAGGAGGTGAGGCGAGAGCAGGGAGGGGTAGTGGATTGTGATTACATGTGATCGTGTCGTATACTCTGAGTCAGCTCGGGCAGTGTGATGACGGCGGTAAAGAGATAGAGGCAAGGTAGCATCTGGTCGATCCGGAAAGACCGTGTAGGCCAGGACCTGTTGCTTACCCCCCTCTCCCGCCCCCAACCACCAGGTTAGCTTCACATACCCGAGAGTACAGCGGATGGAGCGCCTACCTCCCCCAGCGGAGAAGGAGAGGCCAGTGCGCATCTGGTCCATTCTCAAGGACCTGGTGGGCAAGACCAATCCTCCTCCTCCCCCCTCGTCCCCCCTCCAAACACCAGGTTGGGTTCACATACCCCAAGGTAACACAGTGAGAAAGGCGGCCTCCCCCAGCGGAGGAGGGGAGGCCAGTGAGCATCTGGTTGATTCTAAAGGACCTGATGGGCAAGGACCTCTTCAAGGTGTCTCCTTCCCTCCCCCCTTCCCAACCCCCTTCCCGCCCTCCCCAACCACCAGGTTGGCTTCACATACCCGAAAGTACAACAGAGGGGAAGGCTGGCCCCCCTCGGCGGAGGAGGAGAAGCCGGTCAGCATCTGGTCGATCCTGAAGGACCTGATAGGCAAGGACCTGCTCAAGGTGTCCCATCTCTTCTGCTTCCCTTCTCCCCATCCCGACAGGTTGGCTTCACGTACCCCAAGGTAGCGCGGAGGGAGCGCCTACCCCCCCCAGCGGAGGAGGAGAAGCCTGTGAGCATCTGGTCGATCCTGAAGGACCTGATAGGCAAGGACCTGTTCAAGGTGTCGCTGCCCGTGAGCTTCAACGAGCCCATCAGCACCAACCAGAAGTACTGCGAAACGTACGAGTACTCGTGGCTGCTGGACCGCGCAGCAGAGTACGGCCGCCGGGTGAGTAATAGTCAGTAGCTGGCTTGCTGCCTGGCCGTGCTTACTGTCTTCCTAATCTTGCTTGCTTGGTCACAGTCTGCCCTCCTCCTATTCTCTTACTGGAACCCGAAACCTCTGCATCCTCTGCATCCTCTGCATCCTCTGCATCCTCTGCATCCTCTGCCTCCTCTGCCTCCTCTGCATCCTCTGCATCCTCTGCATCCTCTGCATCCTCTGCCTCCTCTGCATCCTCTGCATCCTCTGCCTCCTCTGCATCCTCTGCATCCTCTGCATCTTCTGCATCCTCTGCATCCTCTGCCTCCTCTGCATCCTCTGCATCCTCTGCCTCCTCTGCCTCCTCTGCATCCTCTGCATCCTCTGCATCGTCTGCATCCTCTGCATCCTCTGCCTCCTCTGCCTCCTCTGCATCGTCTGCATCCTCTGCATCCTCTGCCTCCTCTGCCTCCTCTGCCTCCTCTGCATCCTCTGCATCCTCTGCATCCTCTGCATCCTCTGCATCCTCTGCATCCTCTGCCTCCTCTGCCTCCTCTGCATCCTCTGCATCCTCTGCTTCCTCTGCATCGTCTGCATCCTCTGCATCCTCTGCCTCCTCTGCCTCCTCTGCATCGTCTGCATCCTCTGCATCCTCTGCCTCCTCTGCCTCCTCTGCCTCCTCTGCATCCTCTGCATCCTCTGCATCCTCTGCATCCTCTGCATCCTCTGCCTCCTCTGCCTCCTCTGCATCCTCTGCATCCTCTGCTTCCTCTGCATCCTCTGCATCCTCTGCATCCTCTGCCTCCTCTGCCTCCTCTGCCTCTTATGTACATGGCAGGGCAGGGCAACAGGCTGATGAGGGCGGTGCACGTGGCAGCGTTCGCCGTGTCTCTGAGTCATTATGCTTCCCTCTTTAAATCTCGCTTCTCTTCGTGCCAACGCTATCCCCCCCCTCTTCAATCATGGCAGGGCAACAGGCTGATGAGGGCGGTGCACGTGGCAGCGTTCGCCGTCTCGCGGTACTCGGGCAATGCGGGTCGCATGCACAAGCCCTTCAACCCGCTGCTGGGGGAGACGTTTGAGGCGGACTGCCCCGACAAGGGCTTCCGTTACGTCTCAGAGGCGGTGAGTTGTTGCTCCGTTACATCTCAGAGTTGTTCCGTTACATCTTAGGCGCACCCATAACTCAGAGACAGTGAAGTATCACCGAGGCAGCCTGGTCGCAGCGACCAAGGAGTGCAGTGACCAGTCTGGTTGAATATCAACTCAACCCTGACTGCAGCAAACACATGCCTCAAGGTGCGCTTCTGGGGACTGTCCGTGCAGCTGAACCCCTGGTCTTCTCCCTCCTGTCTCTCCGCACCCTCTCTCTCTCCCCTACTCTCGCCTGGAACTGTGAGGGCACGGGGTGGAGGAGTTGGGGCGATGCGTGACTCAAGGTGCGCTTTTGGGGGCCGTCAGTGCAGCTGGATCCGGTGGGGGTGCTGTCAGTGGCGTTCGACGACGGGGGGGTCTTTGAGTGGAGCAACATCACTGTCTGCATCCAGAACCCAACCGTTCTAACTCCTCCCTTCGCCCGTCCCTCCCCTTCTCCCTCCCCTTCTCCCTCCTTCTCCCTCGCCCTCCAACCCCAATGACAGGTCCTCCACTACCCCCCTACTCTTGCCTGGAACTGTGAGGGCACAGGCTGGCGCAGTTGGGGCGACGCGTGTCTGAAAGTGCGCTTCTGGGGGCCGTCGGTGCAGCTGGATCCGGTGGGGGTGCTATCAGTGGCGTTCGACGACGGGGAGGTGTTTGAGTGGAGCAACGTGACTGTGTCCATTCAGAACCTCATTCTGGGGAAGCCGTTTGTCGACCACTACGGCACCATGAGGATACAGGGGAACCGGGGGTTCTCTGCTCGCCTGCGCTTCAAGGAGCGGTCTACTTTCGACCGGAACCCTCACCAGGTGAGTTCGAGGTAGAAGGTTCGGGGGTTGGCGTTTGTTGATGTGTGTGTGTGTGTGTGTGTGTGTGTGTGTGTGTGTGTGTGTGTGTGTGTGTGTGTGCGTTCGCGTGCGTACGCGTGCGTGCGCGTGCGCGCGTGTGTGCGTGCGTGCGCGCATGTATGCATGCGTGTGTGTGAAACGAGGAGAGGTGTTCGAGTGTAGGAGGACGTCAACAACTTCCCTCACTGGGGAGGATCGGGACTGCAAGGAACCTAAAAGCCGCCCACCCTAAGACCCTCCCATGCGCCTAACTGTGCAGGTCAGATCAGGGCGTAGAGCAGAGCGACGACGGGGAAGCTGAGCAGCAAGTCGCAGAAGGAGGAGAGTGAAGTGCTCGCCACGGTGCAGCGTGGGGAGGAGGGTGGGAGGAGCAGAGTGAGGTGTTGACCACGGCGCAGCTTCAGCTCTCAGCTCTCCCCTCCCCCACCCTTGCCCCTTTCCCCCTTTCCCCCTTGCCCCTTTCCCCTTCCTCCTCCTCCCGCTGTCCATGCACATTCACAACGCAGTTCCGAGGCATAGTGCAGAGTGGCGACGGGTGCAGAGACGTGACGGGGAGGAGAAGGCTACTCTGGTGGGGCGGTGGGACCAATTCCTGCACGTGCCGGGGGAGCTGAGCAGCAAGTCGCAAAAAGGGGAGAGTGAGGTGCTCGCCGCGGATCAACCTTAAATCCTCTCCCCTACCCATCCATCCCCTTCCTCTTGTCCCAACGTGTCAGGTCCGAGGCATAGTACAAAGCGACGACGGAGAGGAGAAGGCGACCCTAGTGGGTAGGTGGGACCAGTTCCTTCACTTTGTACCGGGGGAGCTGAGCAGCAAGTCACAGAAGGAGGAGAGCGAGGTGCTCGCCACGGCGCAGCTGCTGTGGCAGAAGTGCGCCCCCTCGCCCTACCCCTGCAAGTACAAGTTCACGCCCTTCTGCATCACACTCAACGAGATGACCCCGGGGCTCAAGGTGAGACGCTCTTTAGGCGCCTCAATGTGCCCCCTCTCTCTCTCTCTCTAACCCTGCAAGTACAAGTTCACGCCCTTCTGCATCACACTCAACGAGATGACCCCGGGGCTCAAGGTGAGACGCTCTTTAGGCGCCTCAATGTGCCCCCTCTCTCTCTCTCTCTAACCCTGCAAGTACAAGTTCACGCCCTTCTGCATCACACTCAACGAGATGACCCCGGGGCTCAAGGTGAGACGCTCTTTAGGCGCCTCAATGTGCCCCCTCTCTCTCTCTCTCTAACCCTGCAAGTACAAGTTCACGCCCTTCTGCATCACACTCAACGAGATGACCCCGGGGCTCAAGGTGAGACGCTCTTTAGGCGCCTCAATGTGCCCCCTCTCTCTCTCTCTCTAACCCTGCAAGTACAAGTTCACGCCCTTCTGCATCACACTCAACGAGATGACCCCGGGGCTCAAGGTGAGACGCTCTTTAGGCGCCTCAATGTACCCCCTCTCTCTCTCTCTCTCTCTCTAACCCTGCAAGTACAAGTTCACGCCCTTCTGCATCACACTCAACGAGATGACCCCGGGGCTCAAGGTGAGACGCTCTTTAGGCGCCTCAATGTACCCCCTCTCTCTCTCTCTCTCTCTCTCTAACCCTGCAAGTACAAGTTCACGCCCTTCTGCATCACACTCAACGAGATGACGCCAGGACTCAAGGTGAGTCACTCCTTAGCGTCTAAAGCGAATCTAACTCAGGAGGCAGAGAAGTGCACCCCCCCGCCCTTCCCCTGCAAGTACAAGTCCACTCCGTTCTGCATCATGCTCAACAAGATGACCCGGGGCTCAAGGTGAGAAGCCAATCCATTTCTTAAAATTCGAGGTGAGAAAGTATCCCTTAGCCACCTCGCTTACCCGCTGTGTGACATTGTAAAGAGGTGACTTTTGAGTTGACTCGAAGTTTTTTCGAAGGTCTTTTGCCACAGCTTAACTGCTGTGGCAGACGGTTTGAGGCGCCTCAGAATGCCCCCTCCCTCTCTTCACCCTTGCACGTAGATCGTCCTCACCTTTACGTCGGCATCTCCTGTCGTTTTCCACTTGAATGTGGCTCGTTTTGTCTTGAATGTGCCTCGTTTTGTCATCGTGTTTCCTCTTTCCTGTCCCTCCAATGCCTCCTGTGTTATCTCAAAAGCCACCTCAAAATCTATTTTAGTGCTTTTGAGCCACCTCAAAAGCACCCTGTGTTATCTCGATTTCAGGAGAAGCTTCCCCCAACGGATTCCTGCCTGAGGGCGGACCAACGGGCACTGGAGGGGGGGTACTATGACCTGGCAGTGAGAAGCTGCACCTTCTCACTTGCTCTCCCTGCTTTTCCATCACCCCGTCTTCCCTTCCAGGAGAAGCTTCCCCCAACGGACTCCCGCCTGAGGGCGGACCAACGGGCGCTGGAGGAGGGGTATTATGACCTGGCTATTCAGGAGAAGTCACGGCTGGAGCAGAAGCAGCGCAAGGTGAGAGTGCCTCTGGTGTGGTGTGGGATGTCGTTTGAGGCGCAAAGGCGAACAGCTGGTGCAGGAATGCAGCGAGGCAACAGGGGTGCTACGACCGGTCTATTCAGGAGAAGTCACGGCTGGAGGAGATGCAGCACAAGGTGAGGAAGGCAGTGTGTTGTGTGCTGTGCTGTTTCCCGAGGGCCATTAGGGTACCGCAGGAGCAGCAGCAGCGCGTGGGGGAAGATTTGGCAATTTCGGAGATGCTGATATCACGTGTTGAGGGTTTCTTGAGAAGCTTTGCTGTTTCTGGGTGGGTGCGGTGGGAGGGAGGGGGGGTGGATGGGTGGGTGGGAGAGCGTTAGCGGCAGCAGATGGAGGAGATTCACTTATAAAGCACAGCACTTCCTAAGCTGATACTGTGTGTGATGAGTCTGCTTTGAGTTGATTCAAAATGGGGGCATGCACTTACACGCACAGCCTTTCCTTCCTCTATCACTTTCCCGATGCATCTCTTTCCCTTTGACTCCAGGCCCTGAAGGCAGGCGAGCCGGGGTGGCACACGCGGAGGTTCAAGCAGCAAGGCGGGCTGCATATTGTCTCATTTTCGCCCTTGACATTCTTCCCATTTCACGCCTTCCATCTCGTCCCTCTCTGCTCCAGGCCCTGAAGGCAGGCGAGCCGGGGTGGCACACGCGGAGGTTCAAGCAGCAAGGCGGGCTGCATATTGTCTCATTTTCGCCCTTGACATTCTTCCCATTTCACGCCTTCCATCTCGTCCCTCTCTGCTCCAGGCCCTGAAGGCAGGCGAGCCGGGGTGGCACACGCAGTGGTTCAAGCAGCAAGGCGGGCCGCGAAGAGTTCTCATCTTTTCCCTTGACATTCTTCCCATCTCATCCCTGTCTGCTCCAGGCCTTGAAAGCAGGCGAGCCGGGGTGGCACACGCGGTGGTTCAAGCTGCAAGGCAGGCTGCATATTGTCTCATTTTCGCCCTTGACATTCTTCCCATTTCACGCCTCCCATCTCGTCCCTCTCTGCTCCAGGCCCTGAAGGCAGGCGAGCCGGGGTGGCACACGCGGAGGTTCAAGCAGCAAGGCGGGCTGCATATTGTCTCATTTTCGCCCTTGACATTCTTCCCATTTCACGCCTCCCATCTCGTCCCTCTCTGCTCCAGGCCCTGAAGGCAGGCGAGCCGGGGTGGCACACGCAGTGGTTCAAGCAGCAAGGCGGGCCGCGAAGAGTTCTCATCTTTTCCCTTGACATTCTTCCCATCTCATCCTTGTCTGCTCCAGGCCTTGAAAGCAGGCGAGCCGGGGTGGCACACGCGGTGGTTCAAGCAGCAAGGCGGGCCGGGCAGCACGTGGACGTATGTGGGGGGGTACTGGGAGCGACGTGGGGCGCACGACTGGTCAGGGATTAAGGAGATATTTGCCGATGATGTGGATGCGAGTCAGCAGCAGCAGCAGCAGCAGAAGCAGCAGCAGCAGCAGCAGGAGAAGCAGCAGCAGGAGAAGCAGCTGCAGGAGAAGCAGCAGCAGGAGAAGCAGCAGCGGGAGAAGCAGCAGCGGGAGGAGCAGCATCAGGAGAAGCAGCAGCAGGAGAAACAGCAGCAGGAGAAACAGCAGCAGCTGCTGCTGCAAGAGCTGAAGCATCAGGAGCAGCAGAAGCAGCAGCAGCAGCAGAAGGAGCAGAAGCCGGAGCAACAGAAGGAGCAGAAGCCGGAGCAACAGAAGCAGCAGCAGCCGGAGCAACAGAAGCAGCAGCAGCCGGAGCAACAGAAGCAGCAGCAGCCGGAGCGGCAGGCGCAACCACTGAAGGTAACGCAGGAGCCAAGGGAGCAGAAGGAGCAGCAACAGCACCGGCAGCAGCAGCAGCAGCATCCGCAGCAGAAGAAAACGGCGGTGGTGCATTCGAAAAAGACACAACAGCCGCATGCAGTAGGAGGGTCGGGAGCGAACAGAAAGAGTGATGCTCGTAAGGTGGAGGAGAAACATTCGGCACAGTTAGGAAAATGAGGAAGACGGGGATTGCAAGCTGCACATAACGCCCAATTATTCCCTCGTGGGGTTGTCTTGCATCCTCATTCTGATTTCGACTCACGCTCCTACGCAACTTTTTCACCGTTGCCCCCTTCTGCATTCTTCTTATCCAGCCGATTGACGTGCCTGCCACCAGTTGTGTGGCTGGCCAGATGTTTCTAGGCTGCTACTAGCTGTCAAATAATGTGTAGGCATGGTATGGTACCAAGTTCATTCAACAATGAGGGCGTTCGGGACTAAAGGTATTCTGAGCGTTAGTGTAATGTGATGTAAATGGTTGGTAATAGTAGTCATTATGTAATAGATGTTAAAAAATGCAATTTAAACGGACTTCCCAAGCAGATGGTTGGCGAACAGCCCCAGGTCACTCACAGATCGCTAAGGAGGAGTTTCTCCATAATACATCCCTCTTTCCTGCCGTACTTTCAAGAACTGTTTTACCGGTACATAATTTGTAGGAGTGAAAAAGAAACAAGTAGCAAAACCATGCATACAGCTCACTGACAAAAACAAACGGGGAAAAAACTTCCATGGCTGTATCACCATGGGCAATACCGTAACAACCCAAAAACCATTTACTGCACAGCTCCTCCCACTGCACGGTTGTGGAGTCACCTTATAGAGGCGGCAGGGGCAGGTGCACCAACGTCACAACCAACCACACAGCATGTCAGCCACCACAACTAGAGCTGGTACCAACGGCAGTAGGAGAAGGAGCAGGAGCAAGAGCAGGAGCAGCAGCACCGCCACCAGCTATCGTAGCAACGTCACTAGCACCACCACCGATGCTCTCATCAGCAAATATGTCTGGAATGCCGTGCCAGTCCTTAGCCGCCTGTCTGTGTCGCGTTTTGCAAGTTCTCCAATACCAACTCACCACCAGCACCACCACCGATGTTCTCATCATCAGCAAATATGTTTGGAATGTCATGCCAGTCCTTCGCCGCCCGCCTCTCCCAGTAGCCACCCTTGTACGTCCAGGTGCCGCCAGCTGCCTTCTGTTGAAACCACCTGGGCTCCCAGCCTGACGCCTGCACCTGCCGTGCCTTCCTCTGTTTCCCTTCCAGCCGCCGCTTCTCCTCATTCGCCCGCGCCTCATCCCCCTCCTCCAGTGCCCTCTGGTCCGGGCGAAATCGCGAGTCGGTGGGGGGAAGAAAGGGCTGCAATAATAATGCAGGGGGGGGGGGGAGAAGACAGGGTAAACGTTAACCTCGGAGTTGACTCTCCTCCAGAGCCCTCTGGTCCGGGCGAAAGCGAGAGTCAGTGGGTGGGAGGAAGGGCTGACAGGGGGGGAAGACAGGGTGAAAGGAAGACAGGGTGTCCTCTGGTCCCTTTATTAGATTAGTTCGGTTCAGGGTGGCGTCTGGTCCCTCTGTCTGGTCCCTCTGTCTGATCCCTCTGATTTTTTCTTCAAGTCACTCGCTAGTTCTCTCTGGTCCTTGCACAATCAGGAGTCAATGGGGGTAAGGACGGGGTGCAGACAGGATTGTGGTAAAGGAGGGGAAATTAGAGGAGTATAAGCAGGTGCGGTAATTGAAAGTCGATTGATTCTAATGGAGAAGCGATGCTGGTGGGTGGGTGGGATAGGGGCTTCCTCTTTTTCAAGAACAACTCTTTATTGCTCTTCCTTTTTCTAATACATTTTGACTCTCACCCTCCCTTTGAAAAACCACACTTATCCTCCCTCCAAACTCCCCCACTCACCGCAATATCCAGTGTGATCTCATAAAGCGTGACACAAAAGCGCGTGAAGTTGTACTTGTCGCTATGCCGCTGGCATATGAGCTTAAACATAGATGCACTCATACGCCCTCCAAACTCCCCCACTCACCGCAATATCCGGTGTGATCTCGTTGAGTGTGATACAAAAGGGCGTGAAGCCATACTTGTTGCCATGCTGCTGCTGCTGCTGGTGATGATGAGCCGATGCTGCCGGCTTGTGCCACAGGGACTGAGCTGCCAGGCGTGTCGCTGGGTGCACATGTGGCTGCACACCTGGCTGCACACGTGGCTGCACAGGGTGCGTTGCTGGTGGGAAAGGCGCATCCCTCTCAGCACCAGCCCTACCATGCAGCACAGCCACGCTACTGCCACCCACATCAGGCCCAGAAGTAACCTCCCCGAGGTGCTTTCTCCCCTCCCTTGCGCCCCGTGCCTCCTCTTCCTCTTTCTCCTCCTCCTGCTGCTGCTGCTGCTGTTGCTGCGCCTGCTGCTGTTCCTGCACCTGCACCTGCCGCTGCTGCTGCTGCGTTAGTTGTGCGTGGCTCTTTGAACCCAATCCTGCTGCAATACCAGAGTGTGACTGCATCGAATGGTGGCTTATAGTGAAGCCCAGGTGCTGGTCCCATCGCCCATGCAGGAACGCTAGCTTCTCACCCTGCTCGTTCTGCACATGGCCATGCACCTGGTGGGGATGGGGGGGAGAGGAAGGATGGGGGAAAAAGGAAGGATGGGGCGGGAATGGGAGGGCGGTGGCAGGAGATGCACAAACCCATGCAGCAATGCCAGCTTCTCCCCGTGCTCGTTCTGCGCATGGCCGTGCACCTGGTGGTGTGGATAGGAGGATGGGGATAGGGGGGCGGGGAAGGGGGGGAGGAGACAGGGATCACTCGGCCCGCATACTGCTTGAAGCGCCGACAGGGTGTTGCTGAGAATTCTAAAAATACACCCTTTTTTTAAGTTCCAAAAAAAACACCATGCACACGTACTGCTTGAACGGCCGACACACTCCAGTCCACGTCACCATCTGATAGGAGTTTAGTTTTGAGGCGCCTCAAAACACACTCCAGTCCAGGTCACCATACTGAATTTTGAGTCGACTCAAAATACAACTGGACAAGCTGACACACGGTTTATTCTCCGGCCGACGTGCATTGATTGCATGGAAGCTGCCAAAAAATATCAAGGATTTTATAGTCACAGCAAGGAAATGCTAGTTTAGTGTTTCAAATTTGTTCCACTTATCTAGTTTTTGGCTAGGCTACAGTGACCCCTTCTCGGGGATGGTGTGGACCCTCGAGTTTTTCTCGGGTCGCACTCTCACTATTTAGACAGCTCGAATGCTCCGATGTTCAGTAGATGCTGATGAAGGCTTGTATAAGCCGAAACTAGTTCATCACTGGTTTTCCATCAAAACTTCCTGAACATCCCTTCAGCTCGAGCTTTTTCAGAACCGCTGCCTCGCAAGGCTTTTTCCACCATGGTTAACCCTAAGAAATATGGGTCCATTGGTCTCGCCTCAAAACACACTCCAGTCCAGGTCACCATACTGCCTGGATACCTGATTGCTTCTGATTGCTTCTGATTGCTTCTGATTGCTTCTGTCAAACAGTGCCACACGGGCAACCCCTGGCTGCCCTTGATGTGTATCGAGCCAAATTGTCCCACTTGCAGCTTAAGATGCCAGCAGTCAAGGCAATTGACGCACTCAGGGCAGCTCAAGTGTTTTATGAGTCAATTCTTCTAGTCGACTCAAAAACAGACTCATAACACAGACGGGCAGCTCACGGACCGAGCTTTAATTCACCCGGGCTTGCATCTTTTGAGTCGACTCAAAAGTCACCCGGGCTTGCATCTTTTGAGTCGACTCAAAAGTCACCCGGGCTTGCATCTTTTGAGTCGACTCAAAAGTCACCTGGGCTTGCATCTTTTGAGTCGACTCAAAAGTCACCCGGGCTTGCATCTTTTGAGTCGACTCAAAAGTCACCCGGGCTTGCATCTTTTGAGTCGACTCAAAAGTCACCCGGGCTTGCATCTTTTGAGTCGACTCAAAAGTCACCCGGGCTTGCATCTTTTGAGTCGACTCAAAAGTCACCCGGGCTTGCATCTTTTGAGTCGACTCAAAAGTCACCCGGGCTTGCATCTTTTGAGTCGACTCAAAAGTCACCCGGGCTTGCATCTTTTGAGTCGACTCAAAAGTCACCCGGGCTTGCATCTTTTGAGTCGACTCAAAAGTCACCCGGGCTTGCATCTTTTGAGTCGACTCAAAAGTCACCCGGGCTTGCATCTTTTGAGTCGACTCAAAAGTCACCCGGGCTTGCATCTTTTGAGTCGACTCAAAAGTCACCCGGGCTTGCATCTTTTGAGTCGACTCAAAAGTCACCCGGGCTTGCATCTTTTGAGTCGACTCAAAAGTCACCCCGGGCTTGCATCTTTTGAGTCGACTCAAAAGTCACCTGGGCTTGCATCTTTTGAGTCGACTCAAAAGTCACCCGGGCTTGCATCTTTTGAGTCGACTCAAAAGTCACCCGGTACTTATCGTTTGGAACCGTCACTTTTGAGTGACGGTCACCCGGGCTTGCATCTATCGGTGACGGTTCCAAACGATAAGTGTTTGACAAGCCCGCTGCCACGTATGGCTAAAACTACCACCAAGTGGTGTTCTCCCGAGCTTGCATCTATCAATGACGGTTCCTTCAAATGCAGCGTGAGGGTTCTTGAATACCTGGTGCTAAGAGGGAATTTTCTTTGAAATTCAGGCGGACCGACAGGCGTCCGCACCATTATTATGCTTGGCACCTCTCCCCCAGTGCCTTAACATACCTGGTGCTCGCTTCTATCAAACAGAGAAGGTTCCTTGAAGTGCAAACGAACCAAGAGCCCTCGACTGCCTCGGATGTGCATGGGGCCTCGGATGTGCATGGTGCCGAAGTGCTCCACCTGCAGCTTGAAATGCACGAACTCATAGGGTAACTCACGCTCTGTGCTTCATAGGGTACCTGGTGCTGCTTTTGAGGTCAATAGAGCTCTTGAGTCGACTCAAAAGTCTGCTTCGTAGGGTACCTGGTGCTGCTTTTGAGGCGCCTCAATAGAGCTCTTGAGTCGACTCAAAAGTCTGCTTCGTAGGGTACCTGGTGCTGCTTTTGAGGCGCCTCAAAAGAACTCTTGAGTCGACTCAAAAGTCTGCTTCGTAGGGTACCTGGTGCTGCTTTTGAGGCGCCTCAATAGAGCTCTTGAGTCGACTCAAAAGTCTGCTTCGTAGGGTACCTGGTGCTGCTTTTGAGGCGCCTCGAAAGAACTCTTGAGTCGACTCAAAAGTCTGCTTCGTAGGGTACCTGGTGCTGCTTTTGAGGCGCCTCAAAAGAACTCTTGAGTCGACTCAAAAGTCTGCTTCGTAGGGTACCTGGTGCTGCTTTTGAGGCGCCTCAATAGAGCTCTTGAGTCGGCTCAAAAGTCTGCTTCATAGGGTACCTGGTGCTGCTTTTGAGGCGCCTCAATAGAACTCTTGAGTCGGCTCAAAAGTCTGCTTCATAGGGTACCTGGTGCTGCTTTTGAGGCGCCTCAATAGAACTCTTGAGTCGGCTCAAAAGTCTGCTTCATAGGGTACCTGGTGCTGCTTTTGAGGCGCCTCAATAGAACTCTTGAGTCGGCTCAAAAGTCTGCTTCGTAGGGTACCTGGTGCTGCTTTTGAGGCGCCTCAATAGAACTCTTGAGTCGGCTCAAAAGTCTGCTTCATAGGGTACCTGGTGCTTACTCCTGTCGAAGTGAATTAGAGTCGGCTCAAAAGTCACCAGGGTAACTCACGCTCAGCGCTTCAATCTTGAGGCGCCTCAAAACTAAACTCACGCTCAGCGCTTCAATCTACCTGGTGCTTGCTCCTGTCGAAGAGCGAGGGTTCCTTGAAGTGCAAACGAACCGAGAGCCCCCGGCTGCCCCTGATGTGCATCGTGCCGAAGTGCTCCACCTGCAGCTTCCCCACTATTATGTTGTAGATGCCCGTCGTCACCTTGCTCCAATCGTACCTCTCCCCTCCTCCTCTCTCGCTTCTCCCGCTTCTCCCGCTTCTCCTCCCTTCTTTCCGACTCCTCCTCTTCACACTCTCCTGGCTCTCTCCCCTCTCTTCACAGCCACCACTCTTCTCCCCCTGCTTTGCCTCCCCTATTGCCGCCTCCTGCCCTTGCCACTCCTCCTCACCCTCCTCTCTCTCCTCCTCACCCTCCCATTCCTGTTCGCTCTCCTCCCCCTCTCCCTCCTCCCCCTCCCCCTTCTCCCCCTCCCCCTTCTCCCCCTCCCCCTTCTCCCCCTCCCCCTTCTCCCCCTCCCCCTCCCCCCCATCATCTTCAAACACGACTGAGATGACGCCAGACGGCACCAGGTGCAGGGACGGGCCCCAGAACCGCACTTTGAGGGTGGAGTCGCCAAACAGCTGCCACCCGCTGCCCCAGCAGTGGGCCGCGACGGTGGGAGGGTGGTTCAGCACCTGGTGGCGATCGGGGGCAGTGGGAGCATGTGGAGAGCCGCTGAGATGAAGGACCCAGACGGCACCACGTGCAGGGACGGGCCCCAGAACCGCACTTTCAGGGTGGAGTCGCCAAACAGCTGCCACCCGCTGCCCCAGCAGTGGGTCGCGACGGTGGGAGGGTGGTTCAGCACCTGGTGGTAAGGAACAAGGAAGAGAGATGTGTGGGTGGATGGTTCCTATGTGTGGGGAGAGATGGAGCAAGGAACGCCACTGTGATGACCCCAGACGACACCAGGTGCAGGGGCGGGCCCCAAAACCGCACCTTGAGAGTGGAGTCCCCAAGCAGCTGGCGCATGTTAACATAGATGGGTGGATGACACGGGAATGAAGCAAACACAGAGACGCCAGAATCTCAGACCCAAGGGTGGAACTGCCAGGAAGCAGCCATTCTCAAGGTGAAAAAGTTGCCAGATAGTTGCCAGGAAGTTGCCAGGAAGTTGCCAGAAAGATGCCAGAATCACACACCAAGGGTGGAACTGCCAGGAAGCAGCCATTCTCAAGGTGAAAAAGTTGCCAGATAGTTGCCAGGAAGTTGCCAGAAAGACGCCAGAATCACACACCAAGGGTAGAACTGCCAGGAAGCAGCCATTCTCAAGGTGAAAAGGTAATCAGGTAAAAGTTGCCAGACAGTTGCCAGAAAGTTGCCAGGAAGTTGCCAGGGAGTTGCCAGGAAGTTGCCAGACAGATGCCAGAATCATACCTTGAGAGGGTGGAACTGCCAGCAAGGTGCCATCCCTTGCCCCAACATGGGAAAGTCACCAGCATACCTTTTCTGCCAGCAGCTTAAAGCCCTTGTCCCGGTAGTCAGCCTCGTAAGTCTCCCCCAGCAGCGGGTTGAAGGGCTTGTGCAAGCGACCGCTGGTGTTGGCATAGCCTGACATTGCAAAGGCTGCCACGTGGAGGGCCCTCATTAGCTGATCGCCCTGGAGAGGAAGGGGAAAGGGGTTGGGGGGGAGGGGTGGGGGGGGCGGTTTGGTGGTGGGGTTGGGAGGGGGGAAACGTGCGAATTGCAACCGTCAGTAGTAGCACCTATGAGAGCTGTCTCCTGCTGAATACAGCAGACGTGGGTGATTGATTGGGTGTAAACAGCTAGGCGGGAGATGCGAGTATGGAGCAACGCAGGGCCATCCTCAGCGCAATCCACGGCTTTCAGCACTGAGCGTTTGTTGTCCACGTCAATGTCTACATCAATCCAGCATCCATGTATACGCCCACAGATCCACACAACAAGCCTTTAGTACCTTCATCAGAATTCTTGACTTGTTTTAACCGCCATGAATTCCAACAGAATATTCTGCGTTTTTTCCCATGATCCTTTAGCTTGCTCAGCCGACAGGACCGCACATCGCGCGTTTTGCGTGTAGGTCAAAGAGAAATTGACGGATGACTGACAACGGGTTGCGGAAGTGCCGCCCCCACAACCTGCTCTCCGCCATACCTCGATGTCCCTTTGACAGACATGTCAAACGCGCGATGTGCAGCCTTATTGGCTGAGCAAGCTCAAAGAGGACATAAACGAGCCCTGCAGGAAGGATTTTTGAGAGTTCTCGAAAACCTATCAATCACAGCCTAGCTTAAAATTCCCTCGCTTTGTTAAAGAGAGCATAAACGAGCTCTGCACGAAAGGAATTGAAACTAGACCAGAAACCAGCGCTTGGCTGCTAAGATTAACACGGATTTTCAAATTCCTTAGTTCCTCATGGACTTTTTGGATCAGCTTCATGAGACTTTTTGGATGTTCAACGTCATGAGACCTCATGCCATGCCACCTCACCCAGGAAACCGCTTTTTAAATATAAAAAAATCCAGCTCGCATTGGTCGTGAATATAATTGACGTCCCTTGCAAAACACTTCAGTGAAATTCTCCCCCTCGGCAGATGGAAGACAAAAATCATGTGAGCCTTGAAATCCAGCTGGCCCACAAAGTTCCGGCTGGGCCTATGAGCGCCCCGCATTTTCAGAATCGTAAAAAACGCTCCCATTGACACACTCAGCCGACCATTGACTCGCCCCCCTCCCTCCCCTCCCCACCCCACCCGACCCCACCCGACCTTACCCCTGAAATACTTTACCGCCCACTTACCCGCCGGCCGTACTCTGCCGCCCGGTCGAGTAGCCAGCTGTGCTCCATCTCCTCGGCGCATTTGTGCAGCAACCCGATTGGCTCGTTCAGTTGCACCGGCAGGCACACTCGGGACAAGTCCCGCCCCACGCACTCGCGCAGCGCCGCCCACAGCCCCCCGGCAAGGGTTCCTGGGCGGTTTTGCTTGTCAGGTAGTGGGAGATGCGTGCGGCGCGGAACGTACGGGTAGGAAAAGCCTACCTGGGGCGGGGGGAAAAGGGAGTGAGATGAGCGGGCCAGGGGCCCGCGGGAAGGGGGAAGAGGAAATCATGTTGTGGTGCATTACATGTTGTGGTGCATTACATGTTGTGTTGCATTACATGTTGTGGTGCATTACATGTTGTGGTGCATTACATGTTGTGGTGCATTACATGTTGTGTTGCATTACATGTTGTGGTGCATTACATGTTGTGGTGCATTACATGTTGTAGTGCATTACATGTTGTGGTGCATTACATGTTGTGGTGCATTACATGTTGTGGTGCATTACATGTTGTGGTGCATTACATGTTGTGTTGCATTACCTGTTGTGGTGCATTACATGTTGTGGTGCATTACATGCTGTACCCTTTATGCAATGCAACATGTTGAAGAGTCTAGATCTGCACCAAAGGTTTCAGATAGTTGCATAAAACGTTGAACGTCCTCCCATTCATTCCTCCTCCTCCCAGAGACTAGCTTTTCCCACCTTGTCTATCGGAACCTCGGACTCTACAGCCCTCACCCCTGCCATCATTCCCTCCGGCTGCTCCGCTCCTCCCTCCCCTCCTCCCTCCCCTCCTCCCTCCCCTCCCCCCTCCAATACCACTCCCCCCTCTACCCCGCCGCCTTCCCCTGCCCCCTCAAACCCCTCTCCCTGCTCCACTTCCCCCTCACTTTCCCCCTCCTTCATTCCCCCCTCCTCGACTCCCACGTCAGCCAGTCTCTCCGGCTCTCCTACAAGCTTCTCTGCTGCCTCAAAGAAACGCTCCTCATCTCCCTCTTCCTCTCCCTCTTCCTCTCCTCCGTCCTCCTCCTCTCCCTCTCCCTCTCCCTCTCCCTCCTCCTCTATCTCCTCCTCGTCCTTCCATGCCCCCATCCTTCCCTCCCTCCGCCTCTGCAACTGCATGCGCATCAACTCCGACTCTAGAATAGCCTTCTCCACCTGTTGCGCCCATGACCATGCCACCATGCCATGCCATGCCCATGCCATGCCATGCCATGCCATGCCATGCCATGCCATGCAATGCCATGCCATGACCATGCCACCATGCCATGCCATGCCATGCAATGCCATGCCATGCCATGCCATGCCATGCCCATGCCCATGCCCATGCCCTTGCCAGCATTCCACATACGGGCAAACGAAAGGAAGGAAAAGGATGAGATCGCTTGCGCAACCAGGAATTTGTGTGTGGGGGGGGGGGGGGGTGTAGAGGAGTGGAGGGGAGAGGAGAGGAGGTGGGGGGAGGGGGACAGACTAACACACTCCAGGCCTTTTGAGTTAAGACTTACAGGCGTTTGACTTCACCAAACGCACACACAGCACCAAACACCTTTTGGGTTACTTTCAGGAGAGCAAAACTCACCTCCAGCTGCTGCATCCTCGTTATAAGCTGTTCTTTTGCTCGCCTCTCCCCCAGGAGGCCTCGTGCCAACTGTTGCCGTACCACATGCTCGCATCGCACGATGACGTCATTGCTGACATCAGCTGCCTTCAAACAATCGATCATAAGTTGGAAGGAAATGTGCACAGCAGTCGACTCGATGCCCACGTCATCACCGCCACCGTTGATGACATCATCAGTATGACTGGTGACATCAGCAGCAGCAGGAGTAGGCGTGGCAGCAGCAGGAGCGGGGGGCATAGGAGCAGGGGAGGCAACAGAGGGGGAGATAGGAGCAGTAGCAGTGGCAGCAGCAGGGGAGGTAGGAGCAGAGAAGGCAGGAGAAACAGCAGCAGCAGTAGCCACAGCAGGAGCGGTAGCAACAGTAGTAGTAGCAGCATCAACACCAGCAGCGGTGGCGGATCCCCCTGACATGGAAGGTGAAGACCTTGCAGCAGCCTGCGTTGCGGCAAGCAAAGGGAAGCAGAAGCCCAAGAAGGGAGGGAGAGCATGTAACTGCACTGAAGGGACCAGTTAATAACGCGCAAGAGCCAATCAATCCAGGAGTTGGATCCGATAAAATCTAGGAGCTGAGCTGCACCCGATCAGTCAAGGAGCTCCATTCTAAGGCAAGGTGCGCTGGCTGGAGTAGCAAAACACGGAAAGTGAAAGACAGAAGGGGTGAGAAAGGAGTGCTGAATCTCGATAGCAGTCAATTTCTGACAGTTTTCAGGCGAAACGAAAAATCTATGGCCAACACAGGACCGCTGGATCGGAGGGAGTGAGCAGAGGTGGTGGTGATACGAACCTCGATAACCTCCAGCCAGAGGGAGCGGTCGGTTGCTGAGTCAGCACAAAGGATGAGCGTGCGCGCTGACGTGGCAAGGTAGAACTTGGTGGGGTCGGTGCTGCTGGGACACAGGGAAGAGATCTGGAGGAGATTGGGAAGGGGAGGGGGGGGGGGGGGGTGGAGAAAATCAGGGGAAAAATAAAACCCGAAGGAGGGGATAATTGGAGGTGAGATGATATTTTATTGAAGCACCATTGTCTTGTATCGAAACAATCACCCCTTATTGTGACAACCTTATACCCTAAGCGACCAAACCCCAAACAGGCTGAATTTTAACATGATGTACAACGGGCACATTGTAAAAGCACCTTGCAGACAGGCGTAGCAGCCAGCAGCTCACCGTTTCAAGCTCAACCACTCCCTGCGGCTCCTCTGTCTCCACAGCAAGGCCAACGCCTCTCGCACCTCTATCACCCCACCCCGTCCTCCCTCCCTCCCCGCTGCCCCCCACTTCCTCTCCCTCCCCTCCCTCCTCTCCCTCCCTCCTCCCCCTTCCATACCCGCAGCTCTCCAGGGGTCTCAGCCTTGGGGACGACGACAGGAGCTTAGACACCGTGGCGCTTAAAGCCCGGGGGGTGAGGGGCGACGTTCTCAGAACGCTGGGAGCCCTCAGCTTGAGCCTGTGGTGGTGGTGCTGATGATGGCGATGGTGATGATGGTAGGGTGGACTGTGAAGATGCTGACGTGGACTGTGAAGATGCTGACGTGGACTGTCAAGGCGATGACGTGGATCACTGTGGGGATCATGTTGGGAAACTGGCAGCATCTCGCGTTCGTCTTCCCGCCTAGTCTCCAAGATAGGATCCTCATCATCCCTCCCCTCAGCAGCAGCAGCAGCAGCAGCAGCAGCAGCAGCCTCGCCACTCGCATGGTAACCCTCACCATAAACTCTGGCAGGCGAAAACGACCTCCTTTCATCGATGGTAACCCTATCGTCAGCCGAGCCCTGTTTTTCGTCGATACCCAGAATCTCCTTTCTCAGCCGTGATGGCAGTACCCTCATCGGTACCCGCGCCACATCTTCTTCATTTTCATCCATGCTCCCCTCTCGCCCCTCCCTTACCTCCTCCTCTCGCCTCCCCTCTTCCCTTTCCCTCCTCCATCCCTCCTCCCCCTCCTCTCCCTCTCCCTTCCCTTCCCGCTCCTCCTGCCCCATCTCCTCTCCCTTGCCCTCCTCCTCCTCCTTCCCCCCCCTCTCCTCCTCATCATCCTCGCTTTCATCCCGCGACCTCTGTTGCTGCTGCTCGTTCGAGGGATGCTGCTGCTCCTCGTGCGCTACGTCTCGCCATGTGGTTCCCTCACTCTCACAACCGCACTCCCGCCCTCCTACCCCTTGCTGACCCCCCTGGTTAGCAACCCTTTCGCTGTAGTCACCAACCAGGTCCGCCACGCCCCTCCCTATAAAAGCAACGCGATCGTAGCGCTGCCGGAGCTTCCGGATCATCACAGCCGTTGATTCGCCGCGGAGCTTAAAGTACAGGAGATGATGCTGATGGGATGGGAGAGGGCAGACAAACGGGACATGAGCAGAGAAGGGCGACAGGTGACGAGAATAGAAACGAGTCTGTGTGCAGACAGGTGCATTTTGAGGCGACTCAAAAGGTACCCGTCAAGAGAACGGGATACGGAAATACAGAACAAGGTACCTTAAAGACACTTTTCACTGCACTTTCCCACGAGAAGAGAGGAAAAGTGTAGTGAGAATTAAAACGCGTACGAGGTTTTCATGGTAAAAGGGAAAATAAAGGGCAAAGGGGGAAAATAATGGCCCAAGGGGGAAAATAAAGGCCCAAGGGGGAAAATAAAGGCCCAAGGGGGAAAATAAAGGCCCAAGGGGGAAAATAAAGGACCAAGGGGGAAAATAAAGGGCAAAGGGGGAAAATAAAGGGCAAAGGGGGAAAATAAAGGGCAAAGGGGGAAAATAAAGGGCAAAGGGGGAAAATAAAGGGCAAAGGGGGAAAAGTGCCGAAGGGGGGGTCGGGGGAGACAGGTGATTACTTGCTTTGCTCTCTTGATTTACTCAAACCACATGCAGTGTGACGAATCCAGTACATGGCGGAGTGAAGGGCTGCAACAACGACTTTCAGAGTCTTTATGGGGATTTTCACATGCCATGGCCTTACCTGCCATGGTTTCACATGCCATGGCTTTAACTGCCATGGCCTTACCTGCCATGGTTTCACATGCCATGGCTTTACCTGCCATGGCCTTACCTGCCGTAGCACGAAGAGCCTCGAAGCCCACCCACGGCCGATGTGCACCCACTTGGACAGAATGCCCACCGTCACCGTGCTCTCAGTCGGGATCACCGTGCTCTCATGATGATCCCGAGTCATCTGAGATGCTTCCTGACAAGTCTCAGTCGTCGCCATTGCATCCATGCCCACACAGACGCCCAGGTGGATTCAATGCCCACGCGAGAAACGACTAGTTAGGTCGTCTGACTGTGTCGCCCAGTTCCGGTTCCGCTGGTCACCCAGGTCGTCTGACTGTGGTCACCCAGTTCCAGTTCTCTAGAATCTTTCACCCAGTTTCACATCTCTCCACAATCACCAGCGCTCGTCTCGCGTCGATGGATCTGGAACACTAGCGTGTGTCGTCCGCCGGTCCCCCAAACAGCACGCTACCCAGTCCGCCCTGAGCCAACAGTCCCGACCGCTGGCGTCCTGGCGTGCTCCCGAGGACGGAGGACTCTGGACACTCGCCAGTGAGAGGCGGGAGATCGCTCTCCTGGTAACCGCTGCTTGCAGACCGGGCGGACACGCGCAGGGTGGTGATGGGCGGACGCGCGCACGATGAGCGCAAAAGGCGGAGATAGAGGAGGAAGCCAGGCGCGCAGGCGCGCGTTGGGCCCGGTGAAACTCTGCGGCATGGAGGATGAGGGCAGGCGCAAGGCACTGAATGAGCGCAAGCGCGCAGGCGGAAATCTGGCGCGCAAGCCCGCTGGGGACGGAGGAGGAGGGGAGGTGCAGGCATGGCGGACGGGAGCCGAATATGCGCAGCGCAACGCCGCCAAGCGGAACTGCCATTCGGCGCACAGGGGGGAAGGTCGATGCTCGCAATGCGATGCGGCACTTGCGGCATACGAGAAAGGGAGGGTGCGTCTAGCTGGAAGCGAAGGGGCGCGGGGCGCGTAGATATGCCAGGGGCTAGCTAGGAAGCATGCAGGGTGTGCGAGATGCACGTGGCACGCGCTCAAATTTGGAAGAGATGTCGGCTGCTGGACTTGAACGCGATACAGGAAGGTTTTCTGTAGCATGTCCACGCTTCCGTGCTGCCTATAACTTTTATCGCATAAAGAGAAAACGCGATAATACATCATGGGTGCAACCTGAGAGCTTCTCTCATAGTAAGCATAACCAATTTGAACTAGATTGCAGCAATTTTTATGACCAGCACAAGTGCTCATAACATTTTCTAGACTTACTAACTGTACAACATATGGTTGTACACGATATCTGTTTTCTACAAATCACATGTCTATGGACCTAACCTAACACTGCAGCAGCAATGTGGTGGATGGGGAGGCGACTACCAAGCCCCATACTGAAACAGAACCTGTCAGCGCAAGTTCTGTTTTCTACCAATCTCATTCCTGCAGTCCTCCTATCACTGCCGAGGCAATGTGGTGGATGGTGAGAGGGGCATGCCGAGCCGCATACTGGAACAGAATCTGTCAGCAGGATATGACGAATCGAAACATACAAGGGGGGGAAGGAGAGAAAAGATGAGGTTTGAGAGAAAGGCACAAGGAAGGAGGTACACGCCAACAGGAGTGAATAGTTAAGAACGGAGGAGAGCCAAGAGAGGAAAGAGAGGAGGGAGAGGAGGGAGAGGAGGGAGAGGAGGGAGCAGAGGACGAGGAAGAGAAGGGTGAGAATGGAGTGGGAGAGAAGAAAAGCATGCAACCTTGGGCACACACCCTCATACCTCACACCTACATACCTCTATATCTCCATATCTCTATACCTCCATACTTCCATACCTCCATACCTCCATATCCCCATACCTCCATCCCACCACACTTCCCCCTCCCCTCCATACCTTAGAGCAGCGGTCAGCGCCCCCTCTCCTCTGGTTGGCACCGCCCTGCAACAGCAGGTCCATCCAGCCTTGGAGCACACATTTCACCTACCTCTCACCCAAAATGACTTAGCAAGGTCTATTTCTACCTTAGAGCAGCGGTCAGCGCCCCCTCTCCTCTGGTTGGCAGCCCCCTGCAACAGCAGGTCCGCCCCCGCTGAAATTCCCTCTAGTCCGCACGCACGTACTCATCCCACCAGCCGTACCTGTTGTTGACCCAATACACCAAGCCATAACCAGCAACACTCACCCCACCAGCCGTACCCGTGGCCGAAAATTGCTAAGCAAAATACAAACACTTATTTCTACTTTGGAGCAGCTGCCCGCGCCCCTTCTCCTCCTCTGGTTGGCAGCCCCCTGCAGCAGCAGGGCCGCCCTCATCCTGGTGCACACATCCCACCTACCGTTACCCCTTGTGTTGAGGCGCCTCAAAACCACATCCCACCTACCGTTACCCCGTGTTTTGAGGCGCCTCAAAACCACATCCCACCTACCGTTACCCCGCGTTTTGAGGCGCCTCAAAACCACATCCCACCTACCGTTACCCCTTGCCCCAATACTCCTTGCCATGACCACCAACAACGATTCCTACCTTAGAGCAGCTGCCAGCGCCCCCTCTCCTCCTCTGGTTGGCAGCCCCCTGCAGCAGAAGGGCCGCCCCCACCACGGAGCACACATCCCACCTAACATATCCCTTACCAATATACCTTCAAACAGCCATTCACACTCGTCTATACCTTTGAGCAGCTGTCAGCGCCCCCTCTCCTCTGGTTGGCAGCGCCCAGCAGCAGCAGATCCGCCCCCACCACTCGCCCCTGCTCCAGGTGCAACCCGTTGGGGCCTATGGAAAATCTCAGTAGCTTGTTTGGGCGCAGATGCAGGGAGGGCTGCCAGGGAGAAAAACGGAAGGGAAATGAACGGGGACCGGAGGTTGGGAGAGGGAGGGCTGCTGTGGGAGGGTAATTCTGACTTTTGAGAATTCCCAATAATCATTCTGCAGGGATGGAATCTGACATTCCTCAATAACCAACTTAATTAGACTGCATGCTCTTGCTGCAGGAGAAGAAGGCTGAATGGAGGCTGAAGAAGGGGAAGGCCAAGCAACGCCAACTTTTGAGGCGCCTCAAAAACAGGACATAGTTGGTGGGTATGTGATGGTACGTGCACAACCGAGGATACGGCAGTACGTACGTTGTTGAGCACGTGAGGGGGAAGAGATCCGAAGATCACTGGAGGGTCATCGCTTGTTACCAGAGATCCATCTGGTGAGAGCAGGAGAACGACCTGGGGTGCATCGGTGCATGGGTGCATGGGTGCATGGGTGCATGGGTGCATGGGTGCATGGGTGCATGGGTGCATGGGTGGAGAGGAGAGGAGAGCAGGGAGGAGGAAAGGAGAGAGGGGAACGTGAGGTGGAATAGTTTGAAGCAGATTAAACTATCTGGTGGAGGGCGTCGCTTGTTGTTACCAGAGATCCATCTGTCGAGAGAGCCGGAGAACGACCCGGTATGGATGGGTGGAGAGGAGAGGAGCAGGGAGGAGGAACGGAAAAGAGAAATGGGTTGTGAAGTCTTAGAACGAATCAGTGAAAACAATGGGGCATTGGTGGGGAGTGGTGGCAGGGGAAGCAGCAACAAGACATCTGCTGGTGAAAACATTGCCTCACCTGCTGCTGCTCCGGCACCATCCCCAACCCATCTGTGCCGATTGCAAATGTGCTGCAGGCCGCATAGCCGATGGGGAGGGGACCCCACCCCATACCTGAGCCTCTCACCTGCTGATGCTCCGGCACTATCCCCCACCCATCTGTGTCCTAGATTTTAGACCCTACACACCCACCTGCTGCTGCTCTGGCACTATCCCCGCCCCATCTGTGTCCACCACGAATCTGCTGCAGGCCGCATCTTTCCACTGCAGCACCAGAGGTGTGATGCCCAGCGTGTAGTGCGAGTGGCTGGTGTGGGGAAGGGAGGGGAGCAGGTGAAAGGTAGCAATAGAAGAAGCAGGTGCAGGCCGCATCTTTCCACTGCAGCACCAGGGGCGTGACGCCCAGCGTGTATGGTGAGAGGCTGGTGGAGGGGGCGATGGAGAAAGGGGGGAGCAAGGGAGGAGGAGATGGGTGCAAAGGAAGCAGGCGGGAGTCTATTTTTGAGGCTGGGAGGAGTGAGTGAGGGAGAAAGGGGGGAGCAAGGGAGGAGGAGATGGGTGCAAAGGAAGCAGGCGGGAATGGAAAAACGGACTGCAGGCAGCACCAGGGGCGTGATGCCCAGCGTGTAGCGCGAGGAGCAGCAGGAGGAGCAACAGGAGGAGCAACAGGAGGAGCAACAGAAGCAAGCTGGCACTCACCGGTTGTAGAAGAGCAGGCCGTCTCGTGTGAACTCCACGTGCAACGAAGCACCGGGAGGGCCCCCAATGGCAGCAGGAGAAGCAGGGGCTCCGTTCGCCTCTCCATTGGCAGCAGTCGCTGGTGCTGCCCCCATTCCTGCTGCCCCCATTCCTGCTGCCCCCATTCCTGCTGCCCCCATTCCTGCTGCCCCCATTCCTGCTGCCCCCATTCCTGCTGCCCCCATTCCTGCTGCCCCCATCCCTGCTGCCCCCATTCCTGCTGCCCCCATCCCTGCTGCTATCCCACCTTCCCCTCCTCCTGCCCCTCCTGCTGCTACTGGAAATGCCCCTTCACTTCCTGCCGTCCCTGCTCCTCCTGTCCCTCCCCCGGCACCGCTCTCCACCCCTCTCCACCCATGGTAAGCAGCCTCTAGCCCCTTGCCATTACACTCAAAGAAGGGAACAGGGGCGAAGCGGAAGCGGTGGAAGTGGGAGGGGGGGTCGCAGGCGCCAGACTGGGGGAGGTGGGTTTGCAGCCAGAAGAAGCGAAACTCGGTGGTGCAGTCGTACAGGGAGTAGCCGCGCCATGCCATCACGTCCAAAACATAGTACGTGCCGTTGGGCTGTTCGTTTGGAAAGTGGAGGGTGGGAAGACGAAGGGTGAAGGATGAGGGGGGGATCGGAGGCGCCAGCCTGGGTCACTGGGGCAGGTGTGTTTGCAGCCAGAAGAAGCGGAACTCAGTAGTGCAGTCGTACAGGGAGTAGCCGCGCCATGCCATCACGTCTAGAACGTAATATGTGCTGTGCTGCCAGACTCAGAAGAGGGCGACGTGCAAGGGGACAGGGGAATGAAAGAATCAAGGGATTGGTGGCGCCTGACTGGGGCAGGTGTGCTCGTAGCCAGAAGAGGCGGAACTCGGTGGTGCAGTCGTAGAGGGAGTAGCCGCGCCATGCCATCACGTCCAACACGAAGTACGTGCTGTTGGGCTGGTATAGGGAGCAGGGGGGGGGGGGAGTGGAGTGGAAGCAGTTAGAACGGCGCGTGGCGCCTCACTGACTGGGGGAGGTGTGTATGCAGCCAGAAGGTGCGAAACCCTGCTGTGCAGTCGTAGAGGGAGTAGCCACACCGAGCCATCACCTTATACCCTGGACTCACCTCATCCTGGACTCACCTCATGGAAGATGCAGTCCAGGATGCAGTACACGTGGGCGCCAGCAGCAACACCTGGAGCCCTGGCGCCGTTTGGGAGGTGCGAGGGGAAGCGGTGGAGGATTCGGCCATTGCGCAGACGACTCACGGTCGTGCCGTTCGCAGATACCACCAAACAACGCCGCCCGTCCGGCCGCGGCATCACGAACCTGGGGTGGGAATTGGGGAGGAGGGATGGGAGGAGTGAGAGGAGGAATGGGAGGAGTGAGAGAGGAAAGGGAGGAGTGAGAGAGAAATGGGAGGAGGAACGGAAGGGGGAATGGGAGGGGGAACGGAAGGGGGAATGGGAGGGGGAACGGAAGGGGGAGGGGAGGAGGGAGCAGGGGGGATGAGAGAGGGGCGAATGGGTGGGAGGGGAGAAGGAGATGTTTGAGAATGAATCATGTGCGCACGAGCAGGAAACCTGTCCTGAGGGCATGTGTCAGAAAACGCTCACGTGTATCCGGGGGGGGGGGGGAGGAGGGGGGGGGGGGGGGAAGAGGAAGGGAGAGGGAGAAACGAGCACCAGGATTGACCAAGGCGAGACCAGGTAACAAAGTGACGATGGGCTGACCAAGGCGAGTCGACCATCCATTCCGGCAGCATCAATTGCTGCGAGTACCACTCCCCCACCCCCTCCAACACCCCTCTCTCTGTGTACGGCTTCGCCACCAACTGACGGGAGGGAAGACGCAGGACGCACCTACTCACCAGAGGCAAGATTGGAGACGTACCAATCAGAGGCGAGTCGAGGGGGCACGTCGACCATCCATTCCGGCAGCATCAATTGCTGCGAGTACCACTCCCTCGCCCCCTCTGACACTCCTCTCTCTGCCTCACCATCTGCCCCACCAGCCTCTCCTCTCCCCCCTCGCCCCCCTCTCCCCCCTCTCTCCCCTCTTCCTCTTCTCCCCCCACCACCCCCCTTGCCAGTCACAGCATGCGGCACAAACAGCCCCCTCATCTCGTGTTCAATCCCAGCCGCCCCCCCACCATCCCCCTCCCCCTCCCCCTCCCCCTCCCCCTCCCCCTCCCCTTCCCCATCCATCTCCATACCCTCCCCACCCGCTTCACGCGCCAACCCCGAAACCCCCTCCCCGCCTCCTCCTCCGCCCAACTCATTCCCCTCGGCCATTCTCCCCTCCGCAGCATGACAACTAGCTGCAAAGGCCTCTAATCTCGCCCCAGAAGCATCAGATTTGAAGCCGTTTTGGTCGATCCTCCTCCCTGAGCCGTCGATTCTGAATCCATCCTGGTCAATTCTCGTCCATTGCCCCGACGCCTCGTCAAACTCGCAAATCTCGGGAAGCAACGGCGATATTTCCCTCCTCTCCGCCACCGCCGCTGCCGCAGTAGACTCGCCCGCGTCGCTCTCCTCAGCGGGGGTCACGGTGCCGGTTGCGGCGAGCGCCACGTGTCGCGCGTGTAGCTGCAGGTCCCGCCGCGCCGCCCGCTGCCGCTCAAGAGCCAGCTCGCGCCGCCGCTGCTGGTCGGTCGCGCCGTGCCGGCCGGTGGGCTTGTGCGGGCGGACGGGGGACGGCGCGGCGGACTCGGCAGGTGCGGAGGCGGAGAACATCGGGGGAGTGGCGGAAGAGGGGGGCGTGGTAGATGCGGGGAAAAGCGGGGGATTGGCGGATGCAAACGGTGCGGAGGCGGAAAATGGGGAAGATGGGGGGAAGGATGAGGAAGGTGCGGAAGGTGCGGAAGGTGCGGAAGGTGCGGACGCTGCCATAGAGGAGAAACGGGCGAATTCGGAATGCTGAAAGTTTGCTGATCGGAGGTCGCTCGCGGGCGATTCTAGGATGGGTGATTCTAACGAGGGCGGTTGTGTCTTATCGGGCCTTGACGACGGGAACAACGGAGGCGGAATGGAGTGTGGTGACGGGTGCACCATCGCGTCGCGGCAACATCTAGGTCAAGCAGAAATCACGCGGGCAGGTCGGTGAGGCGAGCGGTACAATCGGAGCTAAGAGCGGTACGATCGGAGCTTAGAGCAGTAGGTTCGGAGCTTAGAGCGGTACGATCGGAGCTATGAGCGGTACGATCGGAGCTTAGAGCGGTACGATCGGAGCTTAGAGCGGTACGGTCGGAGCTAAGAGCGGTACGATCGGAGCTAAGAGCGGTACGATCGTGTGACACAGGCGAGGAGAAAGAGCCCAGGAAGCTGGTTCTGACGAGCCTCTAAATTCTATCGGGCCGATGAGGATCAGGCGAACGGTCCGATCAGGCGAACGGTCCGATTAGTGCGGTAGATCAGACCAGGAGGCTGCTCAGGGCGATCGGCGACTCTCTTGTCAGCTAGTGAAAATAGTAAACTAGATTGATGAGCGGCCAGAGAGGATTGGCGATGGCGACACCAGTTAGCAGAGGACGGTCTAGGCGTGAGTCTGCGACCTGTGCGATTGAGGGCGCATTTCTGCGTCGCATCATCCGCGAGTGTCAGCCGAATTTCAGTTTTTCCCGGGATTCTGAAGTCTGAGCATTTTCAGAATCAGCTGGATATTTGGAGAGATTTACGAACGGTTTAGTGAAAGTGGGCACTACCACACTAGAGGGTTTCGACTTCTCGTCTCTATCCTCTCTAAATGCCCTCGATTTAGCGGGCATCAGTTTGTGCACCATCCTGGTGGTTCCGGGCAGGATACAGGTCGAACTGTCAAGTTAAGGAATTTAAACGGAACCGAAGTTCAAATGTATTGTACCCTGCGAATATTTTTACGAACCGTACTGTATCGTTTTGTTACCTCGCTTCGTGACACTCTCTGACCTGAGCGCCGAATGCAGACACGCCCCAAGCACCCCCTCCATCCTCAGGTTGAGTCCTCAGTCTCCACTCTCGAGTCTACTCATGGAGTTCCCAAGGCTCGCGTTGGCTTTCTCTCAGGCTGCCCACGCCCACCCCGTTTCACAATTTCAACAGGCTGCTGATCAGGACCAGGACGCTCGTTATTTTACTGCGTATGCATGTCATGGTCTCTTATGATGTATTAAGAATATGTAGGCTACTTATATTCGTCTGAGGGAATGGCTGGTAACCGGTTTCGTAGCTCTTGCTTGCGAGTGACCGCGCTCTGCCGTTTCAATAAGCGGAAGCTGCAGCTTCCCTCATGATAGCCGAATTTCCTCCTCGGGATGCACGTTTTTGTTTTAATCCGTTCGTTACAGTAACGCCATCTTCGTTTCTGTCATGACTCGCGCGTTGATCCGTCGATCGTCGCTAAGGAAGGACGCCTCCTCCCAGCCGCGTGTTGCTTTCTCAGCGGCGCTCGCATCTCCTCTTCTCGTCCTCGTCCTCCTCACGCTCGCTCTCGCCGTTCGTGCACAGCAGGTCAGAGCGATTGTCGTGTGACGTTGTAACGAGGTGACTTTTGAGCCTACTCAAAAGCCTCTCTCTCCGTTCGTGCACAGCAGCAGGTCAGAGCGATTTCCAGTCAGCAGCCCAGTTTTTTCTTATCCCCTCACGCGTTTGCCTTTGTGCTGTGAAGCACGCACTCGCACATCCACAGCATTCCACCGCTGCTCACCACAGTACCCATACGAATTGAATAGGTTTTTCAGAATTCCAAAAACCAATTCAACTGTGAAGCCAGCATTCGCACACTCACAGCATTCCGCCGGTGCTCGCCTCAGTATCCATACGCATCGCCGGCTCATCGTTCCTGCTAAAAGCCGCGTGCTGTTGTCACAGCAATCCAGTGCGCTCCATAGCACAGTTTTGAGGCGCCTCAAAATGCGTGCTGTTGTCACAGCACACGGCTTTTAGCACCCATACGCGTGCAATCCAGTGCGCTCCATGGCACCCATACGCATGCAATCCAGTGCGTTCCATGGCACCCATACGCATGCAATCCAGTGCGCTCCATGGCACCCATACGCATGCAATCCAGTGCGCTCCATGGCACCCATACGCATCGCCGCCTTCACCTTTCCTGAAATTGGGTACTCTGGTGAAGCAAACATTCGCAAATTTCTAGTAAATGGCTTTTCATCAATTCCAAACTTGTTACCACCGTTACCACTCTGTTACCTCCCTCCTGCCCTGCAACCTCTGTGATACCACCTGCAGCCATCCCTGGACAGCCCAACTGCACCATCCGACCCGTCTCTCATTCAACTGGAATCCGACCCTCCTGGTGTGACTATAGGGAGAGTGATTCAACTGGAGAGGGAGTTAGCTGCAGCATCCGCCTCTCCTCCTGACCTGCCTCCTCCTCCCACCAGCACCAGCAACAGCAGTGGCAGCAGTACTACTAGCAACAGCAGCAGCAGCAGCAGCAGCAGCAGCAGCAGCAGCAACAGCAGTGGCAGCAGTATTACTAGCAACAGCAGCAGCAACAGCAGCCAATCATCTGGCTCCAACGTGGATCTCAGCATAAGGGTTGACTGGTGGGTGTTCTCTCTTCGCATCTCCATTCCCCCCTCATCAAGAACCAGACTAAGTGAAAGTTGCATCTCCACTCCCCCCCCCCTCATCAAGAACCAGACTAAGTGAGAGTTGCACATCCCATTCGTCTCACTTGCCTTTTTTCGTTCCCTCGTACCCAAAATCGTAGCCCATCCCTATCCCTCCTCCCATCCCTCCCCCTATCCCTCCCCCAATCCCTCCCCTCATCCCTCCCCCCGTCAGTCTTCCCATCTCTCCTCCCATCCCTCCTCCCATCCCTCCTCCCATCTCTCCTCCCATCCCTCCTCCCATCCCTCTTCCCATCCCTCCTCCCTCCTCCCATCCCTCCTCCCATCTCTCCTCCCATCCCTCCTCCCATCCCTCTTCCCATCTCTCCTTCCATCCCTCCTCCCCTCCCAGGGATCGCCGTGAGTCAAAGGAGCAGCGGCGGAGCGAGCTTCAAAGAGCGAGGGAGCAGGGGAGGTGCACAGGCAACGGGGGGCTGTTCAACGTGCACCAGACCTCTCTCCCCCTCTTCCCGTCCCGTCTGCCTGCCCTGCCCATTTCCCTCCCAGGGGTCACCTCGCCAGGTATCCAAGGAGCAGCGGCGGGGGTGGCTGCAGAGGGCGAGGGAGCAGGGGAGGGGCACGGACAAGGGGGGTTCGTTCAGCGTGTACCATGCTTCTCTCCCCCCCTTTCCCATCCCGTCTGCCTGCCCTGCCCATATCCCTCCCAGGGGTCGCCAGGTATCCAAGGAGCAGCGGCGGAGCGAAATTCAAAGGGCAAAGGAGGAGGGGAGGTGCACGGACAATGGGGGTCTGTTCAACGCGTGGCCCTGGGAGGGGGGCTTCTCGGATGGCTTTTTGGCGTGGGAGCCGCAGCCGGATAAATACATCCTCATGGACTGCCAGAGAAACCAGGTAAGTCTGGGCTTCTGGGGATACCAGGGTAAGGGTGAGAAGCGAGAGAGCGAGGGAGGAGGGCTGGTGCATGTACAAGGGGGGTTTGTTCAACGCGTGGCGTGGCCCTGGGAGGGAGGCCATCAGAGAAGCCTTCCTGGGTGGGAGGCCATCAGAGGGAGGCTTCTCTGATGGGCCACGCCACGCCATTCCTGGGTGGGAGGGAGGGAGGCTTCTCTGATGGCTTCCTGGCGTGGCAACCGCACCCGGATAAATACATCCTCAGAGACTGCCAGAGATACCAGGTAAGATCGAGGTTGAATGAAATCTGTGTTTATTTGATGGTGTGGATGTCGAATGGCTACATGGTGTGGTGTGGGAACTTCAGGCGGATAAGTACATCCTCATGGACTGCCAGAAATCCAGGTATTTCCTGGCCCCGGAGAATGCTAGTTTTGAGGTGCCTCAAAACTAGGCCCCGGGGAATGCTAGCATAAAGGGTGAGGAGCAAGGGAGCGAGGGAGCGAGGGAGCGAGGGAGCGAGGGAGGAGGGGGGGAGGCGCAGGGAACCAGGTACTAGTACCGCGGTCAGGATTTAGCATGTGGATGTTGGGTCAGGAATTCACCACCCCCCTAACATTCTCGTGAATTGGCAGAGGAAACAGGGAAGCCCAAGCAAACCCAATTCACCACCCCCCTAACGTTCTCGTAAATTGGCAGAGGAAACAGGGAAGCCCAAGCAAACCCAATGCACCACCCCCCCTAATGTTGGGTTTGCTTGGTCAGTTAGTTTTTTATATCACTATTAAAAACGAGCATGCTCGTTTGCCTGGCCTCAAGCAAACCCAATCCCCTGGCTTCGTCTGGCGGCCCCACCAGGTGTCCAACTGCATCCGCTGCATTTGCAATTACCTCATTGTGGCCGGGGTTCTGAAAGGTGTGCTTTTTTATCCAACTTCGAATGTGTGCCCCACCCCGCGTCTCCTTTCAGGTGTCCAACCGCATCCGCTGCATCCGCAACTACCTCATTATGGCTGGGGTTCTGAACCGCACTCTAGTGGCGCCGTTTCGGCCGTCGGATGTGAATCGGGGATACGATCGGCGCGTGTTCTTCGATCTGAACCACACTCGGCGCTGCTACGGACCCCGCACTGTCATCACTCTCGATGAGCTGCTGGCTGAGAGGAGAGCCGTGCTGAACGGCCATGGGAGCAGCAGCAGCAGCAGCAGCAGCAATGACGCCAGCATTGGTGGTACTGCTGACAGTGGCAATAATAGTAGCACTGGGGGCAATGGCAGCACTAGTGACGGTAGCAGTGGCAACAGCAGCAGCAGCAGCAGCAGCAGCAGCAGCACATCAGCGGACATCATAGTGACTCAGGTGGTCTGTCCGTACGACACCTGCTACGACCAGCCAGGCTGGGGCCTCCCCACCGTCTTCCCTACCCTAGAAGGCGTAACCTTTGAGGCCCTCACTTTCACCGACGCCAATCTCCCCCGAGACCACTCGATCAACATCACAGATATCAGGAGACTTGGGGATTTGATTTTCTCTTCGTCAGATTTGATTCCACTAGGGGATCTCGGCTCGTCGCTGTTTGACGAGTCGTTCCACATGGAGATTGACGTTCCTTTTTTTCGGCGGCCGGGCTGCCCGAATAAGCTGGCGGTTCAGCCTCACCCGGCGGTCTTCGAGGCTGCAAGCCGCTTTGTATCGGATGTGCTTCTAAAGGACGTGACTCAAACGAGGGAGAAGAGTAGCAGTGCAGAGAATAGCATTAGTAGCCAGAATGAGGGCCATCGGTACATGGCGATTCACTGGCGCCGAAAGGACCTGATCACAAGTTTCCAAGACTCAGGCGCTCATCTCTCCACAAACCGCACCGCCAGATGCATAGCAGCCCGGATGGCAATTTCCGGGAACCTCAGCACTGTGTTTCTAGCCACGGACGCCGAAGCTGCTGAGGTGGAGGAGTTGACCAAAGCTGTCTTGTCCCATGTGCCGAATCTGCGGCTGATGCAGCTGCCGCCGAACCTAGAGGAGCAGGCTTGGGCGCAAGTGCTGCTGCCGTACCGGTTTGAGCATCCAGGGTTGGTGCGGGCGACTCTCGACAAGGCGGTCTGCGCGCTCGCTGATGTGTTCCTTGGCACGGTGGCCTCGTCCTTCACGGACGACATTCAGCGAATCCGGACGGGGTTGAGGCTGGCTGCATGTGAAGACAAGGTGCTGTGTGAAGATGAGCTGTAGGAGGTGTAGAATGAGGTGTAGAATGAGGTGTAGAATGAGGTGTGTGAAGTGGAGTGAGCTGGTAGTGTGAGCTCTTAAAGACTGAGCTCTTCACACGCATGTACACCACATTTCCCAACTGGTCTATCATGCACACACGCACTCTGTTCAGGCAGTGCCGGACCTATGGTGTTTGTTTTGGCGTGCAACGTGTTATATTAGACAAGTCAGATACTGTACTCGTATTACTACTACCACTACAACACATGCAAAGGTTGTGTACGCGGGCCGACCGACAGCACACGGCCCAGTTGCCTTGAGTCAAGCCTCCTGTCCTGTCCCTCTTCAGGGTCTTCCGGGTCTTGGAGCACGTGTGCCAGTCTCCCCCTTTCTCCTGCTTGCTTCTCCTGTTACCAGTATCCTCCTGCCGCTTCTCCCTGATCAACACCTGCTGCCTCCCCCCCTCCGCAAGTCCATGTCAGGTGGTGCACTGCTTCGCTACAGCTGCCAGCATTCCATCCCACCAGTGCCTAGTCAGCCCGAGTCAACCCAGGTCAACCTTAGTCAACCCAGGTCAACCTTAGTCAAACCAGGTCAACGGAAGTCACTGCTTTGCCACTGCTGCTCCCCACCAGATTTGGAGTCAGCACGAGTCAACCAGAGTCAACCAATGTCAATCAGCACTCCAGGGGCACCTCCATGAGCGCCTGTGCCACGTCGCTCATCTCGGGCCGGTTGGTCCTCGTTGTGCCTCGCTACGCGCTGCTGCCACAGCTGCCGGCATCCCACCAGATTCGAAGTCAACCTAAGTCAACCCGAATCAACCCGAGTAGCTCGAGTCGACCAGAGTCAACAGAAGTCAGTCAGCACTCCAGGGGCACCTCCATGAGCGCCTGTGCCACGTCAGTCATCTCAGGTCGGTCCTCCTTGTGCCGGGCAGAGCACTGCTTCGCCACTGCTGCCAGGATCATGGCCCCCCGCCGGGAGAACCTGCCCTGCAGGTTCGGGTCGATCCAAGCGTCAGGCTCGGTGACGTTGGGGTACAGGTGCGGCGCCATCCATCTCACGAGCTTGATGTTGCCCTCCTTGGCGACAGCATCGCGGCCTGTGAGCATCTGGCGGTGGGTGTGGGGGAGAGGGAGAGGAGTGAAATGGGGGAGTGAGTGCTGAGTCCACCATGCCATCCATCTCAAGAGCTTGATGTTGCCCTCCTTGGCAACGGCATCGCGGCCTGCGAGCATCTGGGGGGAGAGGGGGGGGGGGGAGGTGGGGGGGAGAGTGTGGTGGGGAGAGTGTGGGGGGGAGAGTGTGGGGGGGAGAGTGTGGGGGGGAGAGTGTGGAAAGAGGTGGAGAAGATTTGAAGGGAGGAGGTGCGGCACCATCCATGCCACAAGCTTGATGTGCCCCCCTCGGAGACTGCATCGTGGCGGCCTGTGAGCATCTGGGGGTAGATGTGGGGGGAGATGGGGGGGGAGATGTGGGGGTAGATGTGGGGGGAGATGGGGGGGGAGATGTGGGGGTAGATGTGGGGGGAGATGGGGGGGGTAGAAGGGAGGTGGAGGAGTGGGTTTGGAGTCAGTTGAAGGGGCACCCCCTGGCCATGCCCCGACCGAGCCGAGCTTGACATTGCCCTCCTTGGAGACTCTATCGCGGCGGCCTGTGAGCACCCGGGGGGAGAGGCGGGGGAAGCGTTGTGGGGAAGGGATGTGGGGAAGGGATGTGGGGAAAGGATGTGGGGAAGGGATGTGGGGAAGGGATGTGGGGAAGGGATGTGGGGAAGGGATGTGGGGAAGGGATGTGGGGAAGGGATGTGGGGAAGGGATGTGGGGAAGGAATGTGGGGAAGGGATGTGGGGAAAGGAGCAATGTCAAACCCATTTGAAGGAGCCGACCGCATCCGTGTACCAAGATGGCACCGTGGGGTGGGACCACACGTCGGCTCTGATCCCTCAGGCGGTCCGTCCCCATGTACGCGGGTCCAGATACCTCACTCACTCCACACTGCAGCATGCACCCACGTCCCCATGACATGCCTGAAACAACACCTCATACCGAGCTGACTTTTGAGTCGACTCAAAATAACGAGCTGACTTTTGAGTCGACTCAAAATAACGAGCTGACTTTCGAGTCGATTTAAAAGTCTCCACGTCCCCATGACATGCCGGAAACAACACCGCATACCTGTAGCAAGATGACTCCAAGCGAGTACACGTCGCTCTTGTCCCTCAGGCACCCCGTCTCCATGTACTCGGGATCCAGGTACCCCATGGTTCCCATCACCCGCGTCGAGATGTGGCTCATGCTGCTGGCTGCCTGCTTCGCCATGCCAAAGTCGGTTATGCGTGCATGCATGTCCTGTTGGAGAAGGGCGGAGGGGGTGGGGCAGGGGGGGGGAGGGAGGGACATGGGACAATGGTATGTGGCTCACGCGTCTAGTTTTGACAGAGGTATGTGGCTCACGCGTCTAGTTTTGACAGAGGTATGTGGCTCACGCGTCTAGTTTTGACAGAGGTATGTGGCTCACGCGTCTAGTTTTGAGGCGCCTCAAAACTGGACAGAGGTATGTGGCTCACGCGCCCTAACACCCCGGTCTCTCCAGGTCGAGATGTGGCTCACGCTGCTGGCTGGCTGCTTAGCCCTGGCAGAGTCTGTTATATGCGCGTGCATGTCCTGGAGGGGAGGGGGGGGGGAGGGAAGGGGCAGGAGGGAGCTGTGTTCTAAATGTTCCACAGCACCCGCAGTCTTTGGGTCGAGATGTGGCCCACCCTGCTGGCTGCCTGCTTCGCCATGCCAAAGTCTGTTATGCGTGCTTGCATGTCCTGGGGGGTGGGGGAGAAGGGGGGAGGGGGGAGAGGGGGGGGGGGATGGATGTATGTGCTGTGTGCCATATAGCACCAGCCCGTAAGGTAAGAGACGTGCCTCCCGCTGCTGGCAGACTGCTTCGCCATGCCAACGTCTGTGCTGCGCGATGCCTAGGGCCAAGGACAGGAAGTGCGTGTGGAGAGTGGAGGGAGGTGGTAGCTGAAGGAATTGAAGGTGGCGCTTCAGTAATGGTAGCAAGGGAAAGTTGAATTCTAGCAGCGATTGAAAAAGGTATTTGAGTAATAGAATCAGGAGCATACATAGGAAAGTTGGGAAGGAAGGGAAGCTAGCAAGAGAAGGATGAACAGTACCACATGCAGTTGGGTAGGAACAGTAACCAACCACCATAGGAGCCACTTGCGTGGTTCCAATATTGTGGTCTTGGTGCTCGGGGGATCCAACCACAAGTGGGTTGGATTAACACCCCTTGCACTTTGATGTGTACACCTAGCTAATATACGAGTCTAGCATGTTACAATAGATATATATAATCTAACAGTTGCTACACGCTACAGTCTGGTGTGGGCGCTGCAGCAGCCCCCCTGCGCAGCTAGTGAAAGTAGGTCTGTTCTGAAACGTCTCACAGTAAACCTACTTTCGCGTGGAGGGAGGTGCGTGTGTTTTTCTCCCATGATTCCTACATTCTGGTGTGGTGTGGGTGCTGCAGCAGGCCCCCGGCGTAGTTCCCCACCCATGATTGATTTCAAACGCATTCGGCACCCAACCTTGTCGACAGCTTCAGATCCCGGTGGTGCCACGAGGTACGTCACCCAACCGCACTGAACGTACCCGCTGGTTCAGATCGGAACAGCTCGACACTGAGGACCGCCAACGGACCGCACTGCTACAGTGTGAGAGGGAAATGCCAGTGTGGCAGAGGCTACCTCAGACGTGCTCTGAAGTGGCGAGGGGGGAGCTGTGGTGATCTCGGTTCGGTACCCCTTTGCAGCTGCCCCTTTGCAGCTGCATATGATGCATGAATCAAGCGCACACAGCATCCTACCTTGTGCAATAAAATATTCGACAGCTTCTGATCTTGGTGTATCACTTTGCTCTCGTGCACGTTCAGCAGCCCCTGCGCCGCTCCCAGTCGTGACTCATTGCTGGCACATTCAGCATCCTACCACTGCCTTATTAAAGACGACTGTAGTCATCCTCAAATCCCTACCTTATCCAATAAGATGTTGGACGGTTTCAGGTCCCGGTGAATCACTTTGTGCTCGTGCAGGTGCAGCAGCCCCTGCGCTGCCCCCTGCGCTATCCGCACCCGGGTGGGCCAGTCGATGATCTCCTCCTCCGTTCCTGCAGGTTGGGGGTGCGAAGAGATAGGGGGAAAGGGGACAGGGGAAAGGGGGAAGGGGGGGATTGGAATGGGGAATGGGAAGGGTTGAGAAGGCTGTGGGGAAAGGGGAGAAGGTTGAGAAGGCTGTGGGGAAAGGGGAGAAGGTTGAGAAGGCTGTGGGGAAAGGGGAGAAGGTTGAGAAGGCTGTGGGGAAAGGGGAGAAGGTTGAGAAGGCTGTGGGGAAAGGGGAGAAGGTTGAGAAGGCTGTGGGGAAAGGGGAGAAGGTTGAGAAGGCTGTGGGGAAAGGGGAGAAGGTTGAGAAGGCTGTGGGGAAAGGGGAGAAGGTTGAGAGGGCTGTGGGGAAAGGGGAGAAGGTTGAGAAGGCTGTGGGGAAAGGGGAGAAGGTTGAGAGGGCTGTGGGGAAAGGGGAGAAGGTTGAGAAGGCTGTGGGGAAAGGGGAGAAGGTTGAGAAGGCTGTGGGGAAAGGGGAGAAGGTTGAGAAGGCTGTGGGGAAAGGGGAGAAGGTTGAGAAGGCTGTGGGGAAAGGGGAGAAGGTTGAGAAGGCTGTGGGGAAAGGGGAGAAGGTTGAGAAGGCTGTGGGGAAAGGGGAGAAGGTTGAGAAGGCTTTGGGGAAAGGGGAGAAGGTTGAGAAGGCTGTGGGGAAAGGGGAGAAGGTTGAGAAGACTGTGGGGAAAGGGGAGAAGGTTGAGAAGGCTGTGGGGAAAGGGGAGAAGGTTGAGAAGGCTGTGGGGAAAGGGGAGAAGGTTGAAAAGGCTGTGGGGAAAGGGGAGAAGGTTGAGAAGGCTGTGGGGAAAGGGGAGAAGGTTGAGAAGGCTGTGGGGAAAGGGGAGAAGGTTGAGAAGGCTGTGGGGAAAGGGGAGAAGGTTGAGAAGGCTGTGGGGAAAGGGGAGAAGGTTGAGAAGGCTGTGGGGAAAGGGGAGAAGGTTGAGAAGGCTGTGGGGAAAGGGGAGAAGGTTGAAAAGGCTGTGGGGAAAGGGGAGAAGGTTGAGAAGGCTGTGGGGAAAGGGGAGAAGGTTGAGAAGACTGTGGGGAAAGGGGAGAAGGTTGAGAAGGCTGTGGGGAAAGGGGAGAAGGTTGAGAAGGCTGTGGGGAAAGGGGAGAAGGTTGAGAAGGCTGTGGGGAAAGGGGAGAAGGTTGAAAAGGCGGTGGGGAAAGGGGAGAAGGTTGAGAAGGCTGTGCGGAAAGGGGAGAAGGTTGAGAAGGCTGTGGGGAAAGGGGAGAAGGTTGAAAAGCGGGAAAGGGGAGAAGGTTGAAAAGGAAAAATGGGAGATGAGAAAGCTGCTCCTTGCTTGCGCTATCCGCAACCAAACCAGCCAATCAATGAGAAAGCCGCATCCATATGCAGATACAAACATACATCTAATAATTACAAGTATGTATAAATAAAATAGGACTCTCATTCCGGAAGAGCCAGTCATCAGGACTGCTTTGGCACAGCCCATACAGCAGAGCCTCGCCCTTCTATAGAGTAGGATACATAAGCACGTTCACTCAGCAGAGGAAAGAAGCTCACTTGGGAGCAGCCGGACGCCCAGACCGCCCTCGGCGCCACACGAGCAGAGCCTCGGCGCTACACCAATTTTTTAGAAATTCAAAAACCGGTACCGTACAGTAAGCAGCTCACCGGGGAAAAGCCCACTGTTGAGACTCGCTGGGGATAAGCACGCACTCGCTGGGGGAAAAAGAAGTGACACTCACTTGGAAAGAGCCGGTCGTCCAGACTCCCGTTGGTGCACAGCCCGTACACCAGCAACGCCTCACCCTTCTCGGCACAGAAGCCCAGGAGCTCCACCAGGTTGGGGTGGTGCAGCTTCCTCAATAGCACGATCTCGGCCTGGCGTGGTAGAGAAGAGAGAGGAGGAGGAGAAAGAGAGCAGGATTAGGAGGAGGAGCACCGGAGAAGAAAAGCCAATGAGGTGCACCGGCTTGGGGTGGTGCAGTGCAGCTTCCTCAGGAGCACGATCTCGGCCTTGGGGGGGAAGGAGGGGGCGCGAGAAGTGGTGGAGGATAAAAGGGGAGGTGTGCAGTGCAGTGCAGTGCAGTGCAGCCGATTGACAAAGAGTACAGGGATCAGCCAATTGACTGAAAGGCGCAGAAGCTAAGGAGGTCCACCAGGCTGGGGTGGTGCGGCTTCCTCAGGAGGACGATCTCGGCCGGCCTGACAGGGTGGAGAGGCAACGGATACAGACACACCAGGCAGTGGATACGGGCTGCCGGTGGATAAGCAGGGCGAAGGGGAAGAGAGGAAGCCAAGGAGGTCCACCAGGCTGGGGTGGTGCGGCTTCCTCAGGAGCACTATCACGGCCGCATTGAGTGACTTTTGAGTCGACTCAAAAGTCACCCACATTGAGTGGGGTTGTGAGGCAAGGAAGCAGGAGAACGCATGAGAGGGGTGGACGAACAGGGAGCCACATTGGGACGCGAGAGAGCGAATATGCTCCGTCCAGTTGAGGTGGTGGTGGAGGAGGAGGAGGAGGAGGAGGAGGAGGAGGAGGAGGAGGAGGAGGAGGAGGAGGAGGAGGAGGAGGAGGAGGAGGAGGAGGAGGAGGAGGAGGAGGAGGAGGAGGAGGAGGAGGAGGAGGAGGAGGAGGAGGAGGACTGGGCGAAGCAGAAGCGGATGCAGTCCACCAGGTTAATGTGGTGCAGCTTCCCCAGATACACCTCCCCGAATGTGCCCCCCCGCCCCCCCCCCCACACAAGCAGCACCACAAGCAGCGCCACAAGCAGCGCCACAAGCAGCGCCACAAGCAGTACCACAAGCAGCACCACAAGCAGCACCACAAGCAGCACCACAAGCAGCACCACAAGCAGCACCACAAGCAGCGCCACAAGCAGCGCCACAAGCAGCGCCACAAGCAGCACCACAAGCAGCACCACAAGCAGCACCACAAGCAGCACCACAAGCAGCACCACAAGCAGCACCACAAGCAGCAACACAAGCAGCACCACAAGCAGCATCACAAGCAGCTTCACAAGCAGCACCAGCACCACAAGCAGCAACACAAGCAGCACCACAAGCAGCAACACAAGCAGCACCACAAGCAGCACCACAAGCAGCACCACAAGCAGCATCACAAGCAGCATCACAAGCAGCACCAGCACCACAAGCAGCAACACAAGCAGCACCACAAGCAGCACCACAAGCAGCACCACAAGCGGCACCACAAGCAGCACCACAAGCAGCACCACAAGCGGCACCACAAACGGCACCACAAGAGAGCCAGACTCACCAGCCATTCGTCCAATCCTTGAGAGCTTTCTGGATTCAGTTCCTTCGCTGCTACTTCCACCACCTCCCCACTCTCCTTCCCCACCAGCTTCCCCAGATACACCTCCCCGAAGCTGCCCTAGCAAGAGCTGCCCCTCCCCAAGGCTGCCCCGCCCCAGATAAGCACAAGAGAGCCCGACTCACCAGCCATTCGTCCAACCCCTGTGAACTTTCTGGGTTGAGTTTCTTGACTGCCACTTCCACCACCTCCCCGCTCTCCTTCCCCGCCAGCTTCCCCAGATACACCTCCCCGAAGCTGCCCCGCCCCAGCAGCGCCTTCTTGTTAAACGACGACGTCGCCGCCCGCAGCTCGTGCAGCCGGAACTTGCGGGCGGTGCCCCGCCCGTCGTTGGCCTCGGCGGATGGCGTCCGGGCAAAAGAATGGGCGGCAGAGGCGGAGGAAGACGGGTCTGAGGTTACTGGCTCTAAGCTTGAGGTGCCTGTGCAGGGGATTGGGGAGGAAGGGGGGGGCAGGGTGCTGTGTATGAGATGAAGAGGGGTCTAAGGATGATGGTTCAAAACTCGGGCCGCCTGTGCAGGGGAGGGGGGTTGCCTGTGCAGGGGGAAGAGGGGGGGGAGGGGGGGGAGAGGGGGGGGGAGAGGGGGGGGTTGGGGGGAAGGAGGGAGAGGTGGGGTGGCGGTGGGGGGAGAGGGGGGAGGGGAACTGGGCGGGGAGGGGGGGCCGTGTATGAGCGGAAGAGGGTTATGAGGCTAATGGTTCTAAGCTGGGGGCGACTGTGCAAGAGGCGGAAGGCGCGGAAGAGCAGCAGTCCGTACCTGCTGTGACGAAAGTTCCGTGTGGCATTGTAACGAGGTGACTTTTTAGTCGACTCATAAGTAACTCAGCTAGGGGCGCCTGTGTAGGAGGTGCAAGGTGCAGAAGAGCAGCAGTCCTTACCTGCTGTTGCCAACTTGCCACTGCTGCTTTCCCCACAGGGACGCTCTGCCAGGTTACCAGCTCCGCCGTAACCATCGCCGCCCGGGAGGGGAGAGGGGGAGGGGGGAAATGGGGGGAGCAGCAGTCGTTACCTGCTGTTGCCACTGCTGCTTCCCCCACAGGGACGCTCTGCCGTGCTGCCAGGTTAGCAGCTCCGTATACAAAATCCATACGTGAGGAGTCTAATTTTGAGGCGCCTAAAAAATAACAGCCCCTGCTTTCCCCACAGGGACGCTCTGCAGTGCTGCCAGGTTACTCCGCCGCAACCATCCCCGCCCGGGAGGGAAGGGGGAAAGAGGGGGGGGATGAGGGGGAGAAAAACATTCCTTACCTGTTGTTATAGCCCCTGCTTCCCCCACAGGGACGCTTTGCGGTGCAGCCAGGTTACCGGCTCCGCTGTAACCATCGCCGTCCGGGGGGGAAGGGGGCGAGAGGGGGGGAATGCGGGGGGGAACAGTCCTTACCTGTTATTACAGCCCCTGCTTCCCCCACAGGGACGCTTTGCGGTGCAGCCAGGTTACCAGCTCCGCCGTAACCATCCCCGCCTCCCCCTCTCCCATTCCCTCTCCCGATTGGTCCCCCCTGCCTCTCCGCTCCCCTTCCCCACCCTCCGCCCCCCCCCCAACCGCCTTCGTTCCGCCAAGTCCGTTCGCCGCCCTCACCTTTCTCCCCGCCACACTCCCATGCTTCCCCCCTCCGCCCCCTCGTCCATATCCACCCCCTGCTCCGTTAGAGTCAGTCTCGCTATTATCCCCCCGTCCCCGCGGTGTTCTTGGCGAAAATTCCTTGGGCGTTCGCTGGTTACCAGGGCTGGAGGTGACGGCCTGTGCGTTTCTGGGAGTAGAGGTTGTGACAGTAGCGATAGGGGAACTGGGAGCGCTCTCTGCAATCACTTCTACGGATAAGCACCCGCCCATTCCTTCTCCGGGGCGGGAGCCAGGCTACACTGATTCGGTGTAGGTCCCTGGCTTTAAAAGGGGTTAGAAGCCACCGTATAACTGCGAAAATATTACTAAGACGATGCTGCTGCTTAGAGTGAATCCAGAAGTAGTCTAATTCTCGATAGTAGTTCTCGATTCTGCTGCTGTCGAACCTAGACCGGGATGGTCGAAATAGGAAAGCTAGTTAAGTATAACGCTTGGGACAGATGCGGGAAGCGACTGGCTCCGTTAGCGACTGGCTCCGTTAGCGACTGGCTCCGTGAGCAGGTTAGCATAAAATGCGCGACTTGAGACACAGCATCTGAAGAAGTAATATCGACAGACGCTGACAGCAGGCCGCGTGTCGCCATAGCGGACCCATGAGTGGTGGCTGGTGAGTCGAAGCGCATTCGCCTTCTTTATCAGGCAAGGCTAGGATGTAGTATATAGGAACGCGGTGTCTAATGCGACTCTCAGTTGACAAGCACGCATCCTGGAAAACTTCGTCTTAGTAATAGCTTGAGGGTCATGATAACTATGTCTCAGCAACTCTACAAGCTCTTTCACCGCTACGTTTCACACGAATAAGAAGGTCATCATAGCACGAGAATGTGACAGAGCTAAAACTTGGCCTTAAAGGAAGCTTATAACGATGACGATACGGCGCACAAACGGGCGCTTCGTCGAGACTGTAACCTCCAGATTCTGAAAACTGGATTAGGGTACTGTACTGCGACCTCTAGGCTTTCGCTGGAAGTGAGAAGCGAACTGTATATCACGACTGAGCAAGAAGCTGCTGGCACTTGATGCGGGAAGCATACGAGCGCTTGAAACGCGGTATGGAAACGGTGGTGAACCGTGTGAGGGAGGCAGTCGAAAGGTTGGGGTGAAGAATCAGGTGGCCTCGATTAGGGCGTGCCACTAAAGTACGTGCTCTGTTCAACACCGAGTTCAGATACCACTTTTAGGGTTGTAACCCTGAAAAAGCGCCAAAAATGACACGCTCGAACCACAGCCGTAGACAGGGGACACGCGCGCACATTTCAAGGTCCTGCGAACAAACAAAATGAAGAACCCCAAAACTCCAGCTGGTGGCTCACACCCAGGACCAGAGCAAGCGAAAATTGTCGACGGAAAAATCAACGTCACAAAATCTCGCTTGTCGCAAAGCAAATGCTCGCCCAAGTGTGGAAGCCAACTCGACACGGCTTCGCTAGGTGGTACTCCGTTACCCGCCATCCTGCCCAACTAGGCACGGGCCTGCCCTCCCCAAGTGCGCCCTTATTGTGGGACCCGACTCTAAACCAGGTAAGTTTGCGAAATCGATTCGCTTTTCGCGACGTCGGACGTCTCGCCGTGTCCAAAACGGCTTAACTATTTTTAGCGACACGCCCTTACTGTACTGCTGACATTAGGATTGACGAACGAGAGGGCATGTTTACTCAAACTTTCCCGTATTGTCCCGTGTAGGCGTGGATTGAGAGTGTACCGAGGGTCTGGATGTGTCACAGGTGTGTCTCGGCCTGTGTCACTAGGCTGTCTCCCACGTTCACTCCCCCGTACAGTGAAAGCGGGTTCTTTCTGACACAGTCCAGAAGCAGCAGGCGGGAATGAGAGCACGGGCCAAACCAACTCAACTCGGAAACGACACGCAGCACGACGCAGAACGGAACTTCTATCTTCTACACATGAAGTTCTTTTCAGGCCCGGTTGTTTTCGGAGGGGTGCTTCAAAGTCAAGCACATAACTTTCACGGGCGAATTGGGCCAATATAGGGTAGTCTGGTTACCTCGTTGGCATTTTCCCGTCTAAAGAGGATGACCATTGTTTGTTTTGCGTTCCTCGGGAAACAGTGTAAGGTTTGAGAACGTCCCGTCTGCACGTTTGGAGGTCTCCGTATCAGATTCGGTAGCCGCTGCAGATCTTTGAGCCTGTTTAGATTGGGCCGTTGCCCGTGCGTTCGGACCAATAGACTTGTAAACGCACACGTGGCATCTAACGAATGGGTGATTCACTGGACGTCAGGTGTATTTGAATCACAGTCCTCTTGTAAATTGGCAAGGTACACTGCATAAGCGAGCCCTTGTACGTGCTGGGGAAATGGTAGTGATGACTTATTGTTATGGATATTCATCATGATATATGAGGAATTTCTTGGTCTAAGTGATAGAACTTGAGTGTCAGATCCCATTTATTGATCATATACAGTATTGTACTCCTCCTCTTCTAGGTAGTGATAACTGTACGCTCATTCGTTTCTTGTTAGGCTCTTTACATCGGACCAACGTATAAACCCTGCTGGCGTAAACCCCGGTAATCATCGTGACCAATCGCGGCTCTTCGCTTTCGCGTGTAACGCAAGCCACAACAAGCAGGCCCAGCACGTCAGCGCTGAGTCAATCCAGACTTCATTTGTGTCAGACCCCCGAGCTGTATGTTTCGCAATATTATCGACGAACCGGTTACCATACACAGAGTTCGCTCCATATGGTTACCTTCACACACTAGTGTCGCAGATCGTCAATTCTGGGAGGGACACCGGGTTAGCGAAAATATTCTCCCTGCAGTGGTCAACGAAGGCACTAACATTTGACTCTAAGAGAAATCGCTTTGGTCCAGCGGTGGTAAGTCAAGACACTCCTACTAGTGAGAGCCTAGGAGGAGCATCGTGGCTCCATGGATGTCAGAGCACGTATAAGAGCCGGGCGCAATCGCTGCTCGACCATCAGTGTGTTACTCGTTGAATCCCTGCCAACATGTAAGGTCAGAACGATACGCATTGCGAACCTTTCGTTATCCATCTCCTTCGAGAATCGAACTCGCATTTAGTATTACCCAGCGCATTCTCGCCCGGCGTTCTCTTAGTACCCACCGCAACCGCAGCCATGGCTCGCCAACAGCGCCTCGCTATCGCTTCTCCTAGAAACCCCCGCCGCGTGAGACGGATACGAAGCGTCGCAGGCGGCCGAACTGGATCCTCCGTTTCCACCGCCGCCGCGGCGGACGCCTGGACCCAGCGGCAGTGGCGGCGAGAGTGGCGCCGCAAGTGGCGAGTTAGTGGCACCGCCGGCTCCAGCCGCCGAGACGACCCCCACGACTGCCGTGGGAAGAACACTCAACCTTCAATCCCTGCTCCCCCCCGAGCAAGCTTCAGTGGAGCACTGCACGAGCAAGCTTTGGACGGAAGCAGCGGCGGCGCTGGTTTCGACGGTGCTGGCCGTGAGCCGAGTGGTGGGCAGAGTGGGGGGGATTTCGACGGCCCGGGCGGCGCAGGAGGGGAATCCGATCCTGGACGAAGAGAATCAAATCCAAGAAGTGGGAAATCGAATCATCCCGTTCGCTGCACCGACTGTTGCTTCTGGAGTGGATGCTCGAGTCAACGCCCATGCTGTAGCGGCTGTAGCGGCTGGAGCGACGACAGCAGCTGTAGCGTCTCCCCTTCATGTCGCTTCCAAAGAAGAGGCTACTGCTCGATCCACCTCGGACGCTACGGGTGCTACAACCGCCGCAAGCTCTGGTGGGGATCTCGCAACATTCGCTGCTACATCCGCTACATCCGCTGCAGCATCACATGCTGACTTCGTCATTCGCTCCGTGGCGCCCTCAGCGGCCGTTTCTCTCCTGGAGGCGCTCAGACGCGCTACAGACGCTGCCACGGCTGTAGCTCCACTGGTCACGTGGCGGGATGACGAGGACGCTGACGTGGACGAGTGCTGCAGCAGGGAGTTCTGGGCAGCAGTTGCGGCAGATGATGGTGTGGCAGCAGGAGACGAGGATTGGATCCTGGCCGTCGATTCCCTTGGGTTATGGTGGCTCTTTGGACATCTGGACGGTGCGACTGCCAACAGCGTGACTGCATGCGAAGATGATTTCGGCCCCGGCTTGTGTGCGGACTCACAGCTGGAAACACAATACGTGACTACAGCGAATGATGTTGAAGCGGGTGTGACTGCAACTGCTACGGGTATTGCGACTGAACTGGAGGGGGCAAAAAAGGTGGCTGAATGCCCAACTTCTCATACTGGCGATGAACTTATCGAAGACATCTCCGAATGCTCACCGTCCCATTCTTGCAACGAAGAGCGCTACAAAGAGTCCCAGGTTTTCGTGTCCGAGTTTGAGGCCCGGGCGCCCTTCCTGCACTTCTCCCTGTCCGAACATGCTGCCCGGGTTGCTTCCTCGCCTAATGCAGGCGGCGCTTCAGTGATTTCCGAGGTGAGTCTTCCCAGATGCTGTTCCTCTCTCTTCCTCGCCTCGCCGTCTCCTTCATATCGCTCTTTTGTGAGTGTTGTCTATCTCAGCGCCTGTCTTTCAGCTATTATGTAAGTTCCTGCCGTCCGCATACGTGCATTATCCCCCTATGGCAGTCTCTTTCTGTGGAGTATTTTGTCCGTCATTTTGGTGCCACTGATGTCATATCCGAGATGGAGGTAAGCAGTGTGAGCTAGAAATGACAGCCTTTAGTTCCTTTCCTTTTTCTCCAACTTGTATCCCAAGCCTTATAATTGCCACTCTCCTTGTCTATTCCAGATTAAGTATTGTGACAGCAACTGGAAGAAGGTGGACTACATCTGCAGCTTGTTTGGGCAGCGCTTTGGAGTGTCTGTGACTCGAGCCATGATGTACCCTGACCCCGCCCTCTTCGATTCTCATCGTGCACGGGCCCTGCTCAGGAAGAAACTACATGGGCTGGTGAGTTCTGCGAGGGTTAAGCCACGATGTCCCCCGAGCCTGTTTTTGTTTTTTGTTTTTCTACCGGTATGCTGATCGTGCGCGGGCCATTCTCACAAAGGACCTCTATGGGATGGGAAGACAGGAGGGCTGGTCAGACAAGCTAGCTTCTCCCTGTTCTGTTTCTTGCATCACACTGTGCCCGAAGGGTTCCAATTGAAGCCATTGTGTGTGCTGTTTTCTATTGTGTGAAGGTTGTGGCATGGTCAGGTGTATCACCGATGCACTGCTTCTCTCGAGCCATTCTCCATGTGTGGTGCGAGACATCTCACATTGCCAACCTGCTGCAGGAGGCATTCCCAGGTAAGAACTGTTATGCGTTTGTAGTTTCTCCCTTTCTTCCTCCGCAGTGAGTGCCCTTCCTCATCATGCAGTTCTTCATGAAATACGAATGCATGCAGAGGTTTCAAGCTTATTGGATATGCAAGAAGACGTGCTAATGGTGCTGACTGTTGCCGAAGGTCACCAAGGTTGGCCTATCTTCTATGAATCGTTGTACAAGGTATCTGGAATGCCAAGGGAAGGAGGGGAATGGTGTTTACGGACACAGCATGCACATCACCCTTGGTTCGGGATAAATGTGAAGCCTTGTGTAAGGGTTGTGTAAATAGCGTGTATATATTTTATTATTCAAGCCTAACACTTGTTTTAATCGGTGTGCAGCGACTTCAACAAGGTGTGCAAGAAGTAAAATAATTTGAATAGTTGTAAATATATTCCCCTTGTTACTTCATCACATGGACATTTTCATCGGGGTCAACAGACATAATAATGTAGCATGCAGTATTGAGTAATTGGCGTGCTTTCCCAGTCCGACACGATTCCACGTGTAGTATTGTACACATGACTCCTGGTTCTCACACAGTCAGCATCACATTGACCAATTGCTATGCCGTTCTCCATCAGGAGCTCAGTCAATTTGCATAGCATGCCAATCAGCGCACAATATGGCGGCGCGCTTCTTACATTTATTCCCTATCGCGCATCAGATGCCCCTGCCCTAGGAGCATCATTCAGGTGGCAGTGCACACACACACATTCAAAACCACTTGCCTTGCCTGGCTAGCGTATTCCACCACGGCACAACCAGCTGCACCGTACGAGATCTCTTTCCAGTCCATCGAAATGATCGAGGTCCGAATCTGGGCTCTCGCGCATTGCAGCAAGCTGCACTTCGACAATTGTCAATGGCAGGCTGCATGAGTCATTCTCCTGTGATTTCCCGCCATGTCCCGCCTGTCCTGTTCCCCTCGCTGACTACCCTTCATGTGTGTTGCTCGCCAGCGTAGTGCCACACCAGCTCCACTCCACACCCTAGTATGAGCCGCGTCCGTAACAGCAGTGACCTTCGCTGTCTCACTCCTGACACAACATGGTAAAATCGAACCAGCCCTGCGCGCAACCGACTGCCTTTTCTATATAGTCCCGTTTCTGTCCGAGCATATTCCCAGGCATCTAGTGGCGCCTATTTGGTCGAGGAAAAGGTATCGCCGATTTCCTCTCGGCCGGAGTCGTTCCTCATCGCGCACGAACTTAGTAGCCGCCACGAGGAGGCGTGCTTTTTTAGAACGACGACCTTATAATCACTCCCTTTTGAGAACGACGAGCAAATGGTACCGTTTGTAGAAAAGCCCCGCCCTAAAAGTTTAAATCTCTGGTAAGGAAGCGCCAAGGGTCTCGTGGATTCTCTAGGGTCGCACGCGTGTCAACCGCCCCGAAACCATCGTCAACACCTTTCACAATTATTACCCCGAGAATAACCGACGCCCCGAGCGTAGCCTACACCCCGAGGTTCCATGGCCGTCGTTTTGCCGCTCAATGGCTCGTTCTCTCACTCCTTACCAGCCGCACTATCCAGCCCATCAGTTTCGACCCCGCGATTTCCAAGGCGCACCATCCGCGTTCCAACTCTCTCTTGTTTCAAAGCGCTCACGGAAGCTTCGGTCGAAGCAACCGCGTCGCGGAATTCGGCCAGCCCATGTTCTAATCTCCGGCGGCTTCCCGCCAGCCCAATTCGGCTCGGCGTTCGTAAACGATCGCTCGACGAATTTCGGCGTCAGCGTTGGTCGCGAACGCAAGAGCTCCTGCCGGCTTGCCGTCCGTTATTCCCTCCAACCGCCGGCCGCTGCTCCCAACCGGCGTGCCGACCGATCTGCCGGATACACGCACCGTGCCACTCCAACTGGGACTGCGGCGGCGGGAATGGCTCCTTTCGCAGCGGAGTTCGCCGCGCCGTCGCACGATTTCGTCGTGCGAACACTGTCGCCGCGGTCCCCCTCGTGCCGAGTGTCGCTGCGGGAGGCGCTTCAGCGAGAAGCAGCGGGCGCGGTGGTGGCGGGCGAACCTACTACTAATACTAGTAGTAGTATTGGTACTAGTAGTGCTACCAGCAGCGCCATCGTGCCAGGAGCGGCGAACGCTGACGTGGACGAGAGCCGCTGGTTGACGAACGATGTATGGACGGTAGCTGATGATAGGAGGAGGGTGGAGAGCGGCTCGTCACCATCCTCCTCGTCCTCCTTATCATCATCCTCGGTAGAAACAGATGTGACTCTAACTTCTTCTCTTCGCGATGGAGATTGGGCTCTGATCGACGATAGCTTCTGCATGGACTTGCTTTTCGACTCCGCTAGTGGCGGGGTAGACACGGCGCAAAGCGCGGAGTCAGAGTATTCACGGCGCGAGGTCGCTCGAGCTAATGGGCAGAGTCAGAGTCGTCTCGGAAGCTCGAGGAACGTGGCAGAGTCAGTCGAGGTGAATCAGCAAGCAAAGGAGAACGACCTTTGTGTAGGCCCTGGTCCATCGCCGGAAAGCGCGACTCCGAGTTCATCGGCACTATTTTTAGACGGTCTCTCCGACGGATTGTCCAGCCTACTGGGCACCTTTCCCCGCATTCCCCGCTCGGACGAAACCTTGTCCCGCTCCCACGCGGTCATACATCCCCATGGGCTCGACGCCGCACTCGCTGTAAATAGAACGCATGGTTCTTCTGAGATAGGGGAATTGGAGCGAGCAGAACAGAGGGGCATACCAGTAACAAACGCGAGTTATTCAGCTGCGGGCAGCGACATCGATAAAGGGAGCAGATTAGATGGCGGTGGAGGAAGAGAAGGGGAAGTGAGTGTACAGGACGGCCGTGTACATAATCAGATTGTAGACGAGTCTAGGTTAGGCGAAGTGGGTGTAGAGGAGAAGGCTGTTTTCCTGAGCGAATTCGAGGCGCGGGCCCCGTTTGTGGAGTTCACTCTATCGGATGACGCTGTTCGGGTTGCTTCCTCCCCAAACGCTGGTGGCGCGTCCATAATTTCCGAGGTACTGTATATAAATTCCGTTTGATGATTCAATTCTATATTTTGTTTAAGTTTTATTGAGGGTCGTAACCATCAACTCTCTATTTGAAAAAAAAAACAGTATTTTGAAAATCTTTTCTTGTCACAAATTGATTGCCAAGAAGTTTGATTCATTTTCAAACAATTGGGACTTCTTCCACCACCCCCACCTTCCAGTCCCTCTCGGTGGAGTACTTTGTGCGTCATTTTGGCGCATCTGACATAATCTCGGAAATGGAGGTGTGTTGGTCATGCTTGTCAATTATCTTGGAGCCAACGATGTGTGGGCATGTTGATATCTGTGAATCTACTGTCGTTTCAAATTGCAGCTTTACTAGAACAACTTTCCTCCTCCATTCACCTCCCTCCACCCCCGCATTGTTCGACCTGCATAGATGACAAACTATGTATGGTAGTTTTCCTCTGTTACAGGTTCAATATTGTGACAGCAACTGGAAGAAGGTGGATTACATCTGCAGTTTGTTTGGGCAGCGCTTTGGAGTGTCAGTGACTCGAGCCATGATGTACCCCAACCCCACCCTCTTTGACTGCCACCGGGCAAAGGCATTGCTCAGGAAGAAGTTGCATGGGCTGGTAAGATTCACAATTCTTTCTTCCGGGCGAACTACATTGCTGTTCGAAGTCTGCTTTACAGTGTGCTTGAGCTTGCTCGTCTTTATGTGTCCCCTGCTCTAGTCCTTATCCCCCTCACTCCTACTCTCTTGCTGTCCGTCTTCGCTGCCAGGTGGTGGCATGGTCGGGCATATCCCCCATGCATTGTTTCTCTCGAGCCATCCTTCACATTTGGTGTGAGACGCCAGAGATTGCCACACTCCTATACCAGGCTGTCCCATGTATACCACCTATCCTTATCCACCCTTTCCATCCAACCAAGCCCCTTTTCCTCTTGTAATTACTCTCAATTTTCAGCAAAACGCTCTACTCTCCAGCGTACCTCTATAGCCTGTCTTTTTGTGGCAATATTTTCTAGCTCTGACCCTACTAGTATCCTCACATTGTCTTTGTTTGTGTTCACATTAGCTGTGTGCAGAGAGCTCGAGCTTCAAGAGGATGTACTGATTGTGTTAACGGTTGCAGAGGGAACTCATGGATGGCCCATATTTTACGAATCTTTATTCAACCGTCATTCTCTTATGGCTCAATCTTTAGCATGGACTGATCCAAGTCAAATGGATCAAAATTCTCTTTGCAATTGGGTACATATGGATAAGAAACATCAATGTACATCATAATGTTACGAGGCGAGCTACAAATGTAAATATTGTGTTGTAAATAAACGGTATTTTGATTGCCATAATGGTGTAAGGAACCTACCTTATTTTAAGGGCAGTGATTTCATCAGCAAGGATTTTGGAGACCCAAGCTAGGAGTGAAGGTAGGACATATGCGCAATCATCTATGTTTGAGCTCATGGTATACTAAAGCACGTTTAACAGTTCTGGTCAACAGGCAATAAATTAGCATTCGTCGACGCGAAGCCGCGTTAAACGAAGCGCAGGAGCTCCAAGAGGAAGTGCTGTGGCATGCCATCCTGTGCTCCAGTGGTGTGGTCCGGCAAGCACAGCAGGGCAAACCCGCTCGCATCAATCGGCGGCAGTCCCATGGCAAGCCCGAACCAGGCATGGCATGGCATGCCAGGCCAGCCAGGCATGGCAACATAGCCCGCCCCGGGAATATCCCGACAGGATGACCCCCCCTCCCTCCCCTGCACTTCGCCTTGGGAATTCATTCTGGTCACTCTATACCACGCTGTTTCACACTGTAACCTACTAAACCGTTTTGAAGCCCTTGGAATCAAGCCCGAGCCAAGTCATAACTCATGACAAACCGCCACTCCACGTTCTCGAACGGCTGGTGCAGTAGAACCAGCATGGTAGTAGTCGGTCAGTCGCTCTTGCTCTTCTTTTTACCACCGCGATCCTCGGCTTTGGAGTCTGGACGGAGGTCCGTCTTACTAGAAGCTAGAACTGGTAGGAGCGCTTGCGTGAAAGGCGGACGGAGCGGTAGTGATATCCCTGCTGCGTATAAGAACCGACAGTGTTCTATATATTAGGCCTTCGTCGGCTTTCCCTGGTGTGTTTCAGCTCACGGTTAGACGGATTGGTCTCTTGCTATCTGACCCGTCGCCTAACTCATACAGCTCAGGGAAGCAAGGGGAGCTATTTGCGACGTAGGAAGCCGCAGCAGCGTGCTAATGTGCCGAGGGCTGCAGAGACCCTGAACTGCAGCCACGTGGCACTGGGGCTAACCATATGACTTCTCGCGTAGGCGTACCTCGTCAACCGACCGTAACTGATCTCCGCAGTTCGCAGTTCCGTCGACGCTTCGGCGGACGCAGCACCGCCAGATGACAGGGCGTATCCTGCTGTAACAGGAGCGATTCGCTATCTGTCGTAACTTATCCAGCTCGCCATTAACCTACCCAAGGGCCCTCCGTTTTCGAATAATCTCTCCGGGGTCTCTTATTCCCCCAGAAGCGTCTCGGGGGTCACTCGCTAGAGGTCCTAATCCTCGTCTTAAAGCCCATGGCGGAGGTAGTAGAGCAATTCCACTGAAAGGCCCCGGCTCCAGGAGGTGTTTTGTAAATCGACTAAGTCCTGTATCCTCCTTACAGAGCGTTCCGATAGTCATGGCGAGGCTAGTAGAGCAATTCCACTGAAAGCCCGCAGGTTCCAGGAGGTGTATTTTCTCCTCAGACTCGATTCCGTATCCTCGTTACAGAGCCTTCCGATAGTATACGGGCCGTGATGGCGAGGCTAGTAGAGATATTCCACAGAGGGGTTCCGAGTAGTAGGAGAAGCGTTTTGTAAATCGGCTAAGTCCTACATCCTCGTTACAGAACGTTCCGATAGTCATGGCGAGGCTAGTAGAGTTATTCCACAGAGGGGTTCCGAGTAGTAGGAGAGCCGGCGCGAACAGCGAGTGGGGCGCGTACGCGCTGGGTGCGGTAGACGACGAGGAGGGAACCGTCGCCATGATGGACGGCGACGTCGACGAAACTGTTGGCGAAAAGAGTAACAGCGGTGGGGGAAAGCGTCAACGACAGCAGCAGCAGCAGCTATTGTGGCCGCCGCAGTCGCAGCCGCACCAGACGCTGCTTCCGCAGGTGGTGCTTCCCGCGAGCCTAGACGCAGCGGGAAACGCGGCGGGAAATGCGGGTAGAGGTGCACCGCAGCAGCAAGTGCAGGCAGACGGAATGCAGCAACAACAGCTTCAGGGGCAGCTGCAGGCGCAGCAGCAGCAGCAGCAGCAATGGCACCAGCAACAGCAGCAGCGAAACCAGCAAGATGATTTATTCACCTTCAGAGCCACCGCCGCGTCTCCCGCCGTGCAATCGGAAGCCATGGAGTGCTACTCGCCCACTAAGCTTATCCGCACTAAGTCCCTTTCCTTCCACCCCGCCTCCACCACTTTTAACCCCCTCCCCTTCCGCGACCTAACCCTCCCCGCCTACTCCCTCATCTCCTCCCCGCATTCCCCCTCGCGCTCTCCCCCGCGCGAGGTCTCCCCCTCGTCCGCGGAACCCATGTCCGCGGACGCCTTCTCCGCCGCGCCCTTCGGTTCCCCCTACCCTTCTTCCGCCTCCGCAAGCGCGACCTTCCCCGCGAGCTCCCCCCCGTCCCCCTTCCCCCCGCCGTCGTGCGCCGGCGCATGCTTCTTCCCCGCGGGGGGGCTTCCACCTCCGCCTCATCCGCCTACGTCTCCGCTTCCGCCTCCTGTTCCGCTTCCGCCGCCGCGGCAGGTGGATTGCAGGCGCATGAACCCGCCGCTGGGGCGGTTTATCTCGCGCCTGTGCGGGTTTCAGTCGGGGATCATGCAGCGGCGGCAGCACGTGTTCGTGATGCACCACGGGGAGCGCGCGGACGCCGCGGACCCGCTCTGGGCGCGGAGAGAAGGGGCGGAGCGGCCGTGGGATCCGCCACTGTCGGAATGGGGGAAATATCAGGCTTATGAGGTGAGAGCGGGGAGGGGGGGGGGGGAGGGGGGGGGGGTTTAGTGGGATGGGGGGGAGGGAAGTGGTGGGTATGGACCATCCGCAGCACGTGTTCGTGATGCACCATGGGGAGCGCGCCGACGCCGCGGGCCCCCCGTGGGTGCGGAGAGAAGGGGCGGAACAGCCGTGGGACACCCCACTGTCGGAATGGGGGAAATACCCGGCTGACGAGGTGAGAGGTGCGACGGGAAGGGCAGGGGAAGGGGTAGGGTGGGGTGGGGTGTGGTGCGGTGTGGGGGAAGGAGGGCAGCTCGTTGTTCTGCCCCCCTTTTTTTTTTCGCGGCATGGAAACAGCCCCCCCGTGTTTGCTCGTCGTTGCACTCATGATTCAATGATTCAATCCCCCCATCTCCCCATGGCACCAGGTGGGCATGCGGTTGAGGCAGGAGGGGTGGGGCGTGACGCGCATAGTGTGTGCGCCATACCTTCGCTGTGTGCGGTTATTTCTCATGCTTGCCTCCATACAATCGGCTCCTCCCCTCCCACCAGGTGGGCATGCGGTTGAGGCAGGAGGGGTGGGGCGTGACGCGCATAGTGTGTGCGCCGTACCTTCGCTGCGTGGAAACAGCCCTCGAGCTCCTGCTTGCACTCACCGATTCGCAACCACCACCCTCTGCTGCTGCTGCGGCTGCTGCTGCTGCTGCTGCCGATGGTGCTGCTGCTGGTTGTAGCACTGCCGTTGCAACTGCTGCTGCTGCTGCTGCTGCTGATAGTCCTGCTGGTAGCATCGGTGCGAGTAGCAACAGCAATAGCAGCAGCAGGAGCAGCATGGTACCTGGGGGCAGCAGCTTCCTCTCGTCCTTCTTCTCCTCGCGGTTTCGCCGCAGCAATCTCAGCGGCCGGCATGCTGGTTCAGACACTGGTGCTGGCAGTGGTGGCGCTTTAAGCTCTGCGTCTGCCCGCCAGCAGCACCTTATGAGGCGAAGACAGGTACCTCTTGTTTCCCCCTCGCTCCAACTTCCCCCCCAACACCGCCCCCCTTTCGATCCTCTATATGTGATATCTCCCCTCCCTTTCTCTGCGTCTGCCCGCCAGCATTACCTCGAATACAGGTACCTCTTGCTTCCCCCTCGCTCCTTACTCTTCCCCCCCCCCTCCCCCTCCCCCTCCCCACCCCAGCGCCCCTCTCACGACTCTCTATATGTGATATTTCCCCTCCCTTTCTCTGCGTCTGCCCGCCAGCAGCACCTCATGAGACGAAGACAGGTACCTCTTGCTTCCCCCTCGCCCCCTACTCCCCCCTCCCCCCCCCTCATGTGGGCACCCAAACCCGCTGACACTCGCCAAATTCATACCAACTCTCCCCTCCCTTTTCTTCTTCCCCCTTTCCGCCCTTCTCGCAGCAGTCATCCCTCAAGCCCCAGCCGAGCCTGGCCCTTCCCCCGGACCGGAAGCGCAAGTTCGGCATGTGGGATGGGGGGGGCCAGGGAGGGGGAGAGGTGAAGGTGACAGTGCAGTATGGGCTGCATGAGGTCGTGCGGCAGGTGGGAGGGGAGGAGGGGGCGGCAGCTGCAGCAGCAGAGCTTTTCTCACAGGCTGGAATAATGAGGGCAGGGTTTGGTGATGCTCCTACCGCTGACACTACCAATGCTACAACCACCAACACCACAACCACCAACACCACAACCACCAACACTACAACCATTGCTAACTTCGCATCTGCTGCCATTAACAACGCTGCCACCACCATTAGTGCCAACACTGCCAGCAGCGCTGCTGCCTCGCTGGCGCCTCGCGATTGGCTGGAAGCCATGTTTCCTCCGGGCTCTGTGGAGAGGATCTTGCCAGGTGTCACTGGGATGGCAGCTGCTGCTGGTGCTAGTGGTGCTGACGTGGCGCTGCCAGGCTGGCCTGAGGACGTGGAGGAAGCAGCATTACGGCTGCTTCGATCGATTGACCAAGTGGCGGAGCAGGTGGGCAAGTGGGAGGCAGGTGGGCGAGTGGGAGGGCAGGCAGGAATGCAGAGACAGGATGAGAACATCATCGTTGTCAGCTGTGCCGATGCCGTGCATGCATCTATCCTCCGTCACTTGTCAACCTCACCTGCTCCCTCTCTATCTCTCTTGCCTTCCTTTTTCCACATGCCTTCCTTGCTATTGCGCCTTCCCATGCAGTGGGAGGATGATGGCACCATCGTTCTCAGCCATGCCGACTTTCCGGCCCGCGCATGCGTCCATCCTCTGCCACTTTTCAGCCTTACTGGCTCCCTCTCCTTCCCTCTTCTGGACTGTTGTGCCGTCCCAGTGGCAGGATGAGAATCGCTGTGAGCCACGTTGATGCCGTGCACGCGTCCATCCTCTATCTTGACTCAGCCTTACCTGGTCCCACTGTTTTCCTCTCTTGGCCTGTTGCTCCACCCCATGCCCTTCCTTGGCTCCACCCCATGCAGTGGCAGGATGAGAACATAATCGTTGTCAGCCATTCTGATGCCGTGCATGCATCCATCCTCCGATGCCGAAAGCATGTGAGTGCATATATTTCTCCGCACTCACAAACGTGAGTGCATGCATCCATCCTCCGATGCCGAAAGCATGTGAGTGCATATATTTCTCCGCACTCACAAACGTGAGTGCATGCATCCATCCTCCGATGCCGAAAGCATGTGAGTGCATATATTTCTCCGCACTCACAAACGTGAGTGCATGCATCCATCCTCCGATGCCGAAAGCATGTGAGTGCATATATTTCTCCGCACTCACAAACGTGAGTGCATGCATCCATCCTCCGATGCCGAAAGCATGTGAGTGCATATATTTCTCCGCACTCACAAACGTGAGTGCATGCATCCATCCTCCGATGCCGAAAGCATGTGAGTGCATATATTTCTCCGCACTCACAAACGTGAGTGCATGCATCCATCCTCCGATGCCGAAAGCATGTGAGTGCATATATTTCTCCGCACTCACAAACGTGAGTGCATGCATCCATCCTCCGATGCCGAAAGCATGTGAGTGCATATATTTCTCCGCACTCACAAACGTGAGTGCATGCATCCATCCTCCGATGCCGAAAGCATGTGAGTGCATATATTTCTCCGCACTCACAAACGTGAGTGCATGCATCCATCCTCCGATGCCGAAAGCATGTGAGTGCATATATTTCTCCGCACTCACAAACGTGAGTGCATGCATCCATCCTCCGATGCCGAAAGCATGTGAGTGCATATATTTCTCCGCACTCACAAACGTGAGTGCATGCATCCATCCTCCGATGCCGAAAGCATGTGAGTGCATATATTTCTCCGCACTCACAAACGTGAGTGCATGCATCCATCCTCCGATGCCGAAAGCATGTGAGTGCATATATTTCTCCGCACTCACAAACGTGAGTGCATGCATCCATCCTCCGATGCCGAAAGCATGTGAGTGCATATATTTCTCCGCACTCACAAACGTGAGTGCATGCATCCATCCTCCGATGCCGAAAGCATGTGAGTGCATATATTTCTCCGCACTCACAAACGTGAGTGCATGCATCCATCCTCCGATGCCGAAAGCATGTGAGTGCATATATTTCTCCGCACTCACAAACGTGAGTGCATGCATCCATCCTCTGATTCTGGAAGCATGTGAGACTGCGAAACCCTTATTTCCTGCAAGCTTTTTCTTTTCCTTTATGGCACATACTTCTGTCCGTTCATCTTACCATTCACAATCAACTCTTTCCCCTCGACTTCTCTTTACAAGCACACAAGTTTACCACCTGCCGGATATACCTCCTTTCTAATCACACTCGCCCCCCCTCCCCCCCATTTCTCCAACTTTTCAAGTGTGCATCGATGATTCTGTGATCAATCAGTCATCTTGGCCAACTATTGCGTTTTTTGCGTTTTGTCACCACGTGCAGGCTACTGTTCACAACATCTTGACAGCAGGATACGTGCACACGCAGAGGAATGTGTATCGGGACCAGGAGGACGAGGAGGAGAGAGGGGTCGGCCAATGGCAGCTCGCTTCTCGCTCTGGGAGCACAGGGATATTTTACAACTAGTCTGCTCTCCTTCATACTCGCACGATGCACGTGTGCTTGTAATGGCTGAAGATATGCGCACACACAAAGGAATATGTATCGGGACCAGGAGGAGGGGGTGGAGAGGTCTGGGCCAATGGCAGCTCACTTTTTGCTCAGGGAGAGCACATGGCTCGCCGCAAACTAGGCTCTAGCTTTACTACAGTGCGGGTAGTATTTGCAGCATGCGAGTACTAGCATAAAAAAAGTAGCGAGCATTAAATTATAGGGGGGTTCAAAGCATTCAGTGCCCTCCAAACTCAGGGTAACATTGACGTTCGTTAAGGAACAGTTCTACAAGGGTGAATATGTTGCTATATGTTAACCATAAAACACTTTCGAGTGAGGTGGAAAGATTTTTATTTTTCTGCTTCCTAACTTCACCTTTCCCGGTTGGGCCTATATGTTTATTTTTATTTTTACGATTGCTTTTAAACCGTTTTCCACTCTGGGGGAATCCACTTCACCGCATTTAGTCTGCTCAATCCGTCCGAGGAGAAACCAGCCAAGATGAACCTTTCCACATCACGCGTGGCCACCCACTATCGGCCAGTGGTCTGAAGATACTTTTCACGTGACGGCCACCACAAGTCGGTCGGGTCAAATTGTGCACCTATTCTATGTTCAAATTATATAAGTTATAATTTAATATAGGCTTGGTAGGTTGTTACTGAACCTTTCTGTAGGGGGTACAAACCCCTCCTTGTACTCCGCTCTCTTCCTAATCCAAATCTCTTCTCTCTCGACACTCTCGTCCAGCTCCTAGCTAAACCCCGCCGCCACATTTATGGCGGCCTTTTTCCTTCCTACTGCCTAGTTTAGTTTCTAACATGGTAACAGAGCAGGCCGTTTCCGGTCCTGCCTTCCACGCTTCCGCCTCGTCCTTGTCTTACGTTTCACTTCGTACCGTGCCGCTGATGGCAGCCTTTCGTTTTCCTGCCGCCGTGGCGGCCTTGCCTTTCCGTGCCGCCGTGGCGACTTCTCTGAGATGCCGCGGCGGCTTAGTCGAGCTACAGTCGCACCTCCGCCTCGCCGCCGCGGCATCGACGTCGCGATGTGGCGGCGTCTTTTGGTTGCCGTGGCGGCGTCATCGGGCGACAGCTGGCCGCGCATCCGTCGTTTGGCTGCCGTGGCGGCGTCATCGGGCGACAGCCGGTCGCGCATCGTCAATGGTGCCGCCGGACCTGCCGCCCGCTCTGCAGCCGCCGGCGTGATTATGGACTACGCCGCACCCCTCCCCCCCCCTCCTCCTCCCCCTCCTTCCCCTGCTTCCCCCCCTTCCTTGCTGCAGCCGACGACTGCCTCATGAGGGCCCTCCCCACCGCCGAGGTGACTGGACATGCCGCCGAGAGGGCGGGGGCCGCTGCATCAACCTCTGACGTTCAAGCCGCCGTTGCCGCCGCTGTTGCCGCGGGCCGGGCGCCGCCGCACGCCGCCGCCGCGCCGCCGCTGTCGTCCATGTCGCTGCTGCCGCCATTGCCATCCCACGGGCCGTGGGAGCTGCCCACTTCTGGAGTCGTTTCGGCTGCTACTGGGAATGGGGGTGCTGGGCTAGGGGGTGTGGGTGTGGGTGCTGGTGTGGGGGTGTGAGTGGGCTTGACACTACCAAGCCTAGGGGGTGTGTTCAAATTATATAAGTTATAATTTAATATAGGCTTGGTAGGTTGTTACTGAACCTTTCTGTAGGGGGTACAAACCCCTCCTTGTACTCCGCTCTCTTCCTAATCCAAATCTCTTCTCTCTCGACACTCTCGTCCAGCTCCTAGCTAAACCCCGCCGCCACATTTATGGCGGCCTTTTTCCTTCCTACTGCCTAGTTTAGTTTCTAACATTCTATGCTAAGGTTGACGATTTTTTTTTTTTTTTTTTTTTTTCACGCGGCTTGGGCCTGTTCCCCGTAAATGTAAAAACACGGGCGAACATGATATTAGCCCAGAAAATGCAAAGCAACTCCCAAGCAAAATGTCGAACATTTCGGCCCGAATTTGTGGGTTTATGTGGTTCAGCTTGGTACTTGGTGTTTGGGACGGAACTTAGGGGAACACGAGCTGGCCAGAATGTTAAATTATATATATTATATATATAATTGTAGGCTTGGTAGGTATTACTAGAACCTACTATAGAGGGTACAACTCCCTCCTTGTATCCCTCTCTTCTAATCTCATCCTCTTCTCTCTCAACACTTTCTCTTAGCACCTAAACCCTCACGCGATTTCTATGGCTCCTCTTGCTTCCTAGCTTGTCTCGACATGGTTTCAGAGCAGGTCCTTCTGCTCGGGCCTGCTCATCACGCTTCCGCAGCGTCCTCTCCTCATTTCCGTGCCGCCGTGGCAGCCATGTCGTGCTGCCATGGCCGCTTCGTGGTGCTGCCGTGGCAGCCTCGACACGCTGCCGTGGCGGCGTCGTCGTGCTACTGTGGCAGCGTCGACATGCTGCCGCGGCAGCGGCGCCGCGCTATGGCAACATCGTCGAGCTGCCGTGGCGTCGTCGACGGACAGCAGCTAGCCGCGCAATGTTTTAGCACCAGCCAGCTCGCCCGCACGCCAGTCAGCGCCGCGCCGCCATGGCGCCTCGCTGCAGCTTCGCCCCCTCTCCTCTGCATTTCCTTTTCTCCGCGCCGCAGCCGATGGCTGTCTCGCTCTGTGTGGCCCCGTCGTTGCTGAGCCGAGCCACATCGCCGGGTGCCGCGGTCTTCGTCGCCGCCACTGCCGCCGTCGAAGCCGCCGCCGATGCCGCAGGTGCCGTTGGCTCCGCCGCCACCGGCCGTCGCAGCCGCCGTTGTCGTCGTACCGTCGTCGACGCCGCTGTCCCCCCCACCTCGCACGTCGTGAGGTCGACAGCTGCTGACAAAGCCATCGCTGCTGCAGGGCATGGGGGTGCAAGGGTTTTGGGGGTGCTGCGTGTGTGGTGTGCTTTCGGCTTCCAAGCATAGCGGGTGTGGTAAATCATATTATATATCTATATATATATAATTGTAGGCTTGGATGGTGTTACTGGAACCTACTGTAGAGGGTACAACTCCCTCCTTGTATCCCCCTCACTTCTAATCTCATTCTCTTCTCTCTTGACACTTTCTCCTAGCACCTAAACCCTTACGTCATTTCTATGGTTCCTCTTGCTTCCTAGCTTGTCTCGACACAGAATTGCAATTTGGCACCCTAGGGGTGACAATATCTGGTGGGAATTGCAATTTGGACTGTTCGTCTGAGAACCATAGCGTGGAACGGGTGTATGACCAACCAACTACGTAATGTTGGTGCGACACGGATGTACACCTCCGCCAAACCCTTTTCTATTACGGGGAACATTTCAAGGTTTAAGGGAACCGAAGGCATTCATGGGAGATGTTCCACGCCTTATCATTTTGGGGTACAAGTCATATTCTACTAACGCAAGCTCCAAGAATGTAGGAAATTGCGCGTGACGAATATTGCTGTGCGACCCACACAAAATTGTTTACACCCTAAATCTCGTTTGTCTCAAATAACGTAGCATAAAAAATCGGATACAATCATTGCCAAGATCGGCATCTTATCACATGGAGAAATGGAATTTCATATTACCCTGGACCAAATATGGCTTAGTGTGGGAAAAAACACAGACCTTAACGGGTTGAGCTGCTGATTCCAGAAGCTCCATGTCGCGTGAACCCTCCATTCGGAACATTCTGTTTCATTTTGTCGAGAGTTGACGGTTCGCTACAGTGCGCGGGTCTTTCTGGCTGTTGCGATCCCTTCCACTATTTGTATTTTTAACTCCTCAATGGTTTCCCTCCACGTGGGACCAAACACTCATCACTCCATAATACACCCCAACATTCTTACCTCCAAGGGCTCGGGAAATACCCCTGGCGGACGGTTCCAAGGGCGGTCACGTACAATCATATTCTGAAAAAAACAAACGCAACCAACCCGACATTCAGGCTTGATTCTAACGAGTTTTAGGGTGTATATCGTTTCCGAGGTTAAGGGAGCTTTGGCGTATGCACGCTCTAGAAGGGCGGGGAGCCTGTCTTTTGTTTCGACCATGTCCACGTAGGCACGTCACCCAGTTTTTGCAATCTATAGCACACCCAAGTTTCAATCGTTTACATTATCTGTGGCGTTGCAACAAAAGTAACACAACTATAATTGAACAAACGTTGCCATATACCGTTTGGACAAAAGTCGGGTCGAGTGCTTCCAACGGTACACATACTAGGCATTTCCCAGGGCCACAGCGAATGCGACCCAACAATGGGGAACTACAAGTCATATGCGTTCATCGCAATGACAATCTATGCTACATGCTACATCATAAACCGTTTATCCATAGAAGCAGCTACCATGTACGCCCCGAGTTCGGATTTCAACCATACTGTTTCGATTATAATATTGATTGTGCGATTAAGAGCGACCGCTGTGATTGGAGGATGAGCACTAACAAACCTCGATCTGTCAGACCAACAAATGCGCGTAGCTAGATCCACTTTAGTTGGGAAAGATTTATGGATCAGAAATCCAGCCACTAAAAATGTCAAACTGAAAGAATGACTAGAATGTGAGAGTACAAGAAATTATAACCTAGGAGGCTGTACTCTCTAAGGCACAACCCTATATGGTCTACAACATCACATACAAATGTGTTTGACACACCCCCTAGACTAGATAGGGGCAGTCCCTATTGAGAGACAAGCAGCTCAGGGTGGCACTACTAGTCCAACCTCTGAGGCAAGGGTCTAAAGACCAGTCAAACAAGTACAAACCAATTTAAGAGCAAGACCAGGGCGGCACTACTAGTCCAGCCACTGGGAGAGGCCACAAGGCCAGTCAGGGTAAAATATATATCAAGGTCTGTACATAATCAAGGCCCTAGCAAGTGAGAGGCTACAGGAACGAGACCTAGTTGTACACAGTGTCGCTGATGATCTTTAGGCGCAAGCGCATTCGTAAAGATATCAGCTGTGTTGGCACCGGAGGCCAAGTGTACTACGCGGGCCTGGCGACGCTGCTGAAGCTCGCGCAAGAGGAAGTACCGCAGCTGGATATGCTTCGCTCTGCCCTCAAGTCGAGGCTCCTGACACAGGAGGATCATGGCCCTGTTGTCAGCGTACAGGACCGGGGCAGAGCTAGGCCGCTCACCTAAGTCAGTGAGCAAGAAGGTCAGCCAGCGGAGCTCTTGTGCCACCATGGCACCACCGTAGATCTAGGCCTCACAGCTGGACTGGGCAATAGACGACGAGCGAGTAGCTCTCCACGAGATGGCACCTGAACCAAGGTTAAAGCAATAGCCCTGCGAGGACCTGAGGATCTCAGCGTCATCTGCCCAAGAAGCGTCTGTGTGCCCACTGAGGACCACTGGCCTACGTCCTCCTAGCACTAACCCCA